GTTTAATGTGCACTTATCCCACATAAGACCTACAATGATTATAGACTGCATGTAATCAAAACATGATTTAAACTACGTATTTGAAATATTGATTTTCTTCAATGGGAATGTAGTAGAGTTTAGTTAAAGTGTAGAGGACACCAATATTTCACCGAATTTAGCTCAATGTGAAAACGGTCTTTGCTTAACAGAAGTAAACAGAAAAAACAAAACTGCAGGTTTTATTTAACAAATAAATGACAATTGCAATTTTTGTGTAGTTTCCTATCTGAATAAGACGTACTCACATTTAAATTTTTCATCTGTGCTATCAAATAGAACATAGTAGCTCATCTTCTATTTGAATTTATTGTTCCAGGTATCCTCAGATATATTAATGATATCCGGTCACACAATGACCCACATTTCAGCGAGTGCTTGCATCTCATATAATCAAGTGCACTTAAAATTAAGGATACAAACAAAACTAGAAGGTTATTTTCCTCGATATTGACACACTTTCCGCATCCAGCAATAATATTACCCCTGTCTAATCGTAAAGTGTATACATATCTCAATTAATACATAACGCCTGTGAATTTTAACAATATACGGACTTTATTAACAGGGTTGTGCACCCGGCACGAACACATTTTGTCAGAGTTATGCGAGAAAACAAGTGAAATCGATACTTTATGAGATTTAGGGTCACCATCACGAATTGGTTGACTTATGCGATGTATCTGTGTCTGAACTCACTAGTGACATGTTTTAGCGGATCTTAGATCTATCTATCTATATATATATATATATATAATCTTCAAAATTCAAGAGTCTATCCTAAATTGAGGTAAATTATATGGCCTTCCAAATACCGTTTCGATTCCTAACAGCACTGAAGAGACATTAATTGTCGAAATCCGGATATGGTGTACCAATGTTTGCACCTCATGTTTGCGGTATACCATCTTTTCCGCAAGTTTATTGTTTTCTGTTTGGTATTAAATTAATAATTAAGATCCATTTTGTTACATTTGGTGATCCGTTTATTTGGCAATCGCCATGGCAGTCAGCAGGGTTTAAGAACATCTGTTGTTCGACCTGCTAGTCAAATGCGTTTTGTTAAAATATACTTTTTCAATTTTTTGGTCTTTTGGAAAATGTTGTTTGTGATGTATTTAGACCCCTCTACCAAAAAATTTGTTTTGTATGCACACGTATAAAAATTGCGGTTTTTATCCAACGCAATCATAGGTTTGAACGTTGTTTTCAATTTAGACTTGTATATATATATATATATAAAATGCTCCATGATACGACCGCAGAGGTCGAACCCTGAACAGTTGGGGCAAGTATGGGCACTACATTCAAGCTTGATAGAGCTCTGGATTTGGATTATGATTAAATATTTAAGACACAGCATAGGTTTCTGACACAGAATGAATGTGGTCAAAGAACTGAAAATTTTGAAAATGGACTTTTACCTATCATGGCCCAATATCCAAAAACTAAATACACGGTTAGATTCAGCATATCAAAGAATCCCAAGAATTCCATTTTTTTCATTAAATCAAACAAAGTTTAATTTTGGACCCTTTGGACATCAATGTGGACCAATACGATAAAGGGGCCCAAAATCCAAATCTAAATAAACTATTATATTCAGCATATCAAAGAACCCCATATATTAAATTTTTGTTGAAAACAAACAAAGTTTAATTTTGGATCCCGATTTAGACCAACTGAAAACTTGGCCCAAAATCAAAAATCTAAACACATGTTTAGATTCAGTATATCAAAGAACCCTTGAATTTATTTTTTCATAAAATCTAAATAAGTTTAATATTTTTGGACTATGCGGACCAATTTGAAAACCTGTCCTAAGAACCCCAAGAATTCTTTTTTTTTCAAAAATCAAACAATGTTTAATTTTGGACTCTTGAACCAATTTAAATACGGGGCCAAAAATCTTAAATCCAAATACACTGTTAAATACAGCATATCAAAGAACCACATGAATTCAAGACTTTTAAACCACATTGAAATCGGTCGAGAAAGTAATTTTCAAACTATAATTTCTTCTCCAAAATCAGATATGATGCTGTATCTATTTTCAACTTTGACTCAACTTAAAATTTCTGTTAATTGAGCAATACATCTCTGAATTTAGATTCTGATTAAATATTTCATATAGCATAGTTTCGGACACAGAATGAATGTGGTATAAGTATTTAAATAATTTATAATTGGACATTTACCAATTATGGTCCAATATCCAAATTCTAAAGACATGTTTGGAATCAGCATATCAAAGAACCCCAAGAATTCCGTTTTTGAAGAAATCAAACAAAGTTTAATTTTGGATCCTTTGGACTTCAGTGTGAACCAATTTGATAACAGGACCCAAAATCCAAAATCTAAATACACACTTAAATTCAGCATATTCAAGAACCCCATATATTCAATTTTTGTTAAAATCAAACAAACTTTGGACACCAATTTCAACCAACTTGAAAACTGTGCTAAAAAACAAAAATCTAATTATATGCTTGGATTCAGCATATCAAATAACCACATGCATTCTTTTTTTGTTAAAATCAAACTAAGTTTCATTTTGGATGCTTTGGACCTTGATGTGGAACAGTTCGAAAAACGGGCCCAAAATCAAAAATTTAAAACACTGTTAAATTGCGCCTATCAAAGAACACCAATCATTCAATTTTTGATATAATCAAACAAAGTTTAATTTTGGACCCAAATTTGGACCAACTTTGAAAACCAAGCCCAAATTAAAAACATTAAACACTGTTGGATTGGGCATATCAAAGAACACAAATAATTCAATTTATGGTGAAATCAAACAAAGTTTAATTTTAGATCTCAATTTGGGCCAACTTGAATACCGTGCCCAAAATTAAAATATCTAAATACACAATTAGATTCAGTATATGAAAGAACACCAATAATTCAATTTTTGAAGAAATCAAACAAAGTTTAATGTTGGACCCTTTGGACCTTAATATGAATCCATTCAAAAACAGCGCCCATAATCCAAATTCTAAATACCCAATTAGATTTAGCATATTAAAGAACCCCAAGAATTCAAGACTTTGAATTAAACCCCATTGAAATTGCTAAAGAAATAAGCAATTTATACAAAGTATTACAAAAGAATTATTTTTGGCCACTTTTAACTAAACCGTTACGGTCATAACCCCTAAAATCAAATAATTGTCATGAAACATGAAAAATGCATGTTTTTAACCCTTTTTTGGCCCCTTATTACAAAACAGCTACGGCAATAACCCCTAAAATAAATCCCAAACCTTCCTATTGTGGTAAGGAACCTTTTGCTAAAATTGAATAGAGATCCATACACTAATACTCAATATGTTGTCTGTGAACAGAAAAATAATTGTTTTTGTTAGCCCCTTTTTTGCCCCTAATTCCTAAACAGCTACTATAATAACCCCCAAAATAAATCCCAACCTTCCTATTGTGGTATGGAACCTTGTGCTAAAATTTAATAGATATCCATACACTTATACTCAAGTTGTTGTCTGTGAACCATACAAATAATTGTTTCTGTTAGGCCTTTTTTGGCCCCTTATTCCTAACCAGCTATAACAACAACCCCCAAAATTTATCACAACTTTCCTATTGTAGTGTGGAACCTTGTGCTAAAATTTGATAGAGATATATACACTTATACTCAAGTTATTGTCTCAAAACCAGACAAATAATTGTTTTTGGCCCCTTTCTGGCCCCTTATTACAAAACAGCAACGACAAGAGCTCCCACAGTCCATCTAAACCCTCCTATTGTGGTATGGAACCTTGTGCTAAAATTTCATACATATCCATACACTTATACTAAAGTTATTGTCTGCGAACCAATTTATATTCTATGAACCAGTAAAACTGATTTTTTTTTGGCCCCTAATTACAAAACCACTAAGACAATACCCCCAAAAAAATCCTAACCATCCTTTAGTGGTGTGGAACCTGATGCTAAAATTTCATAGGGATCCATTCACTTATACCCAAAATGTCTTCAGACGCCGACGCAGACATGGCCATAACATAATACGGACTCAAAAAGTTTGCGGTCGTATAAAAAGTAAAATAACAAAAATACCGAACTACAAGGAAAATTCAAAACGGAATGACCTTTATCAAATGCCAAAATCAAAAGCTCAAACACATCAAACGATTGGAAATCAACTGTCTTATTTCTGACTTGGTACAGGCATTTCCTCAAGCAGAAAATGGTGGATTAAACCTGGTTTTATAGCTAGCTAAATCTCTCACTTGAATGACAGTCATGCAGAATTCCATTATATTGACAATAATGTGTGAGCAAAACAAACAGACTTAATAGGTAAAAATTATCCCGCCCGACAAGCAACATGGCCGAAATGACTAAAAATAAAACATAGAGGTAAACTTGAAGTGTTGTCTATTATATTGTTAAATTAAAATGTAAGCTTAACTGATAAGAAAGAAATAAAAATCGAATAAAAAACCAATTGTTCAGAGAACAATTGAAGGTCTTTCCACAGCAATTTTTAAATTTATTGGAAAGAAGCTACTTCGTGTTTACTCAAGTTAAAATTGGCATCTTATTATTAAAATTTTATTGAATCGCTTCGATCCAAATTAGCCAAAAATTCCTGAGGATGTAACGAACAATTTAGAAAAAGAATTTTGTCGACATCTTTTTTTGTTACGAAGGAGATGCCCACACTTGATAAACAGTGAATAGGGAGATAACTCTTACAAAGAAAATTGTTCGGCTTAGAATGGGTGAAAATAAAAAGCGCATAAACTGTATGATACTATATAAGAAATATCTTAGCGACATATAGCGAAACAAAAATTTTACGCGATAACAAAATTTGGCGGAAGAAAAAAATAATAATCAGAACAAATACAGTAGGTCTTTCCACAGAAAAGTGGAAAGACCTAATTATCAAGATGTTTTACTCTACAACTATCTAATAACTATTGATATTTTCATAGTTGGACGTTGGTGTCAGGATAGATTGAAATGTGAACATTTCTGTCAGACAAATGGTATATGTGGATGTAGACAAGGTTACAGATTACATTCCGATGGCAAGCACTGTTTACGTGAGTATAATCCGTCGTCTATGAAGAGAAGGAGATAAAAAGATATATTTCAAATCATGAAAGCATATTTTTGTTAATTTGATAATTTTCTGGTTTATTTATTTTGATGTATGCTGCTAACATCTGTGTCTTGTAAAACCTTCTTGAATCATTCGTGGCCATTTTTAAAAATAATGCATTTCTTGGTAAGGTAATTACATATATAGTTAATGCTTTTAAAATTAGCCTTAGCTGACCGAATCTTAAAAATATACCAAAGCATAATATCCTTAACTTAGAGGTATAAATCATGGTAGAGTATAAAAATATATCTAAGAAGGAGAGCGGATGGTTCTTTTGTTCATGTCCTGGGGTTGGGGGCAATGCAACCTTCTTATGGTAGCGGTGAGCAGCTGAGACATCAAGTACACAACCCTTTTCGTATATTTTGAATAACAAAAAAAAATTGTCTATCATATATTTTTTTTTCAAGAACTTTACCTGTAGCTATCATGGTTACGCTATTTCATGAAACATATTTAAATAATTATTTTGTAGGTACATGTTCTGCTGGTAATGGTGGTTGTCAACACAACTGTACAAATACACCAGAGGGTACAGCATGTATATGTGCTCCTAAATATTTACTGATGAGTGACAAAAGAACTTGTGTCGGTAGGTAATTTGAACATCGATAAATTCTAAAAACAGATTTTGTTGCTTTTTATGATAATGTCGTTAAAACCACCAAACGTTTTGTGTGCAATTTTAGCTTATCTTACAAGTATAATTCAGCCGAATTGGTTTTGAAGACACCAAGTTGTTTGACACTCCAAAGATGTGGTCTCGAGCATGTAATAATGAAGAGAAATTTAACGAATTAATTTTTAACAGAATAATATTATAAATCTGGACATGGCGGAATGTGAATGTTTTAAATGAAAAACCACTGGCTCTTCCCTTTATTTTTCATTTTGGATTATTTGAAATAAAAACCCTTACCTTTTCCCATTATTTGTTAAATTTCTCGTATATCGTCTTATTTATTTAAAAAAAAAACAATAATGCCTTATTTAGCTACATGTGAAGTAAACAATGGTGGTTGTGATAGAAAATGTACAGACACACAAGAAGGTCCGAAGTGTTCGTGTCCTAAAGGCTATAAACTTCATCAAGATGGACGAACATGTCTAGGTAAGAGATTGTGTTAATGAAGTATGATAGTATATTCAGTGGATATCAATGACCATGTACTTAAAAATAATGTAACTTGTATATATTTTACCAAAAAATACTTTCCTCTTTCAACTTTAATATTTTGCATGAGAGCATCAGGTCTCTGACAGGTTTTATATATGAATTGTCCAAAACATCTAGATTTTTCATTGTTTTGATGGAACTTACCTCAGAAAAAATGAGATATTTTGAAAACTTAAGCGATTAGAGATTTTTCAATTCTTTTTAGTATTTTTCAGTCTTATTGTTTTGTATATGAATAATAAATAATCTTTGTTTAATACAGATGTTAACGAATGTGAAACAAATAACGGCGAGTGTAGTCATCAATGTGTGAACAATGTTGGTAGTTATGAATGTGTTTGTCCAAAAGGATTCAAAGTTGAAATAAATCAGCGAAATTGTGTAGGTATGTCTTTGAAGTTCTTCTACTTTACAATTAACAAATAGTTATAATAGGTTTATTACATTATTCTATTTTGAATAATAAAAGAATTTCTTGAAGCGGCAGTAGTGGAATAGTCCAATTTCTAATAATACGATAATTTTCTACTTTTTTAAGGGTACAGACCACAAAGTCTTTTCGGTTTTCTATATTTCCTACCAGATTTCTTTAACAATTTAAAAACTATTTCAACAAAAATAAAATTCTGAAATAAGTTCTGATAAAATAAACCAAATCAGGTACGAAGATAAGACAAACGTAATCAAAACAGGGCTCACAAAGTTGGTTTACGCATAACTTTTTCATGTGTACAGTAGTCTATGAAAAAGATAACAGAAATTTCACCAATTAATGTTAAATAAATGAGTGTGTATTTTAATATGAGGGTATCCCTTTAGTTTTTGTTTGCTTGTTTTTTACCAAAATGTTTAAGTAAAAAGTTATTTTAACCGTTTATGTATGAAGATGTGAAATTAATGCCTTAATTCTTGTAACTGCATAGCATACTACTTTCATAAAATTTGAAGAATAATTTGTATTAATTGAGATATTTGTTTTCCATTTGCACACCAGATATAAACGAATGTGAGGTAAACACTACATGTGATCACACGTGCGTCAATACCCCTGGAAGTTATCATTGTCAATGTGATAAAGGATATCAACTGTACGGAATAACACATTGTGCAGGTAGGATTCTTAAAACTGGTTCCCCAATGATATCAAACTGGAACTGTATCATATATATAAATGTTGGAGGCACAATTGTAATGCCATTTATAAACTGATATATTATCTATGCATTCTCAAGATTATTGGAACGGTTACATGTATATCATGTTTATAATTTAAATTTAAATTTTCGTGTAATGTTTCATAACTTTAAAATTCTATTAGTATTGGAGTATTCCGTCATCTTGGATACTAAATTACTACAGATAAACGGTAAAAACGTCTGTTGTATTTGATGCAAAATTGAACTTGTTTGTATATTCATTCATTTGCCTGAAGATAGTCATATGAATTTATCTTATGATTATGACTTTTTTTACATGTACATAATATTTTTTCACTGATTCAATTACTTAAGAACTATTGCTTAATAAAGAGGGATAACTCAGATAATTTACTTTTATTGTTATAAATGTATCTATTTGGCCACGAAGCCTTATAACGAGTTCCGTAACACTGTTTAATTTTGTTTTTATTTTAGGATTCAATTTATCAAAAAAGTATATATTTCTTTCTTTGTAGTTATAAGATAGTATAATTTATAAACTATCATTTGCCAAAAAAAATTGATTGAGCCTGTATGTTGAAATAAATCAAGAGTGATCTATATTATCAATCTAATTAACTTTTTCGTAAATAGAACGATATGAACCTTACTGTCGTTTAAAAATCTTTTTTTGGGGTCTATACTCCGATGCTACACCAATTTGTCTAAATTTTGAAAGTAACAGTCATATCTACATGTGAAACTCGCATGATCTAATTTTAAAGAAGGCCAGGAAACCATAATGGATCGTTTTGTCCTGTGAATTTTCAATGTATAAAAAAATGTTTGATTTTATTACAGATATTGATGAATGTTCCATTAACGAGGGTGGATGTGAAAATGACTGTGAAAATACCGAAGGTGGATTCAGATGTAGTTGTAGAAATGGGTTTAAACTACATTCAAATGGAAAAGATTGCATCCGTAAGTGCCACTAGACTAGCAGCAAGTACTTCGAATCTGGCATAAACATACGGATATTGTTTGATTGAAATCTGCTGTTATGAAATTTTTAAACTCATTTAAAATTAAGAAATATGTTTGCCCCTATCAGAGCTCTGATTCCTTGTCCGTATTTGGCAATCCTAGGGTTTCATCAGCCCCTTCAACGTAAGTATTAGGTTTTTTATTTAAAAGTTTTGTCAAAAAGCATCACCGATGAGACATAAATTGTTGCAATGCGAATATGTAGCAGTTAAATTGGTACTGTTGATAACATTGTATTATTGCATGTTGAAGATTATATTTTAATTCTAATTGACAAAATCAAACGTTAATTGAATCACATTGATTGAACTTTCGTATATATATATATGTTTATGTTTATTATATATCTGTTCTTGGTATGAAGGATGAAATGAAGCAATTCTATTCAAATGCATATATTTTGTTATCTTATTACAGCTAACAACATTTGTGATAAACTGACACAACCTAGTTATTCGCGATTAGACTGTCTAAAACAAGGAGATAAAGAAACATGCAACTTTCAATGTCAAAGAACGGCAAAATCAGCCACAACAAAAGACAATTTTGCTCTAGAATGTGGCCCGAATACAAAATTCCAATGGAAATTTGGTAACTCAACTGTGACGTCTCTTCCTCACTGTTCCAGTAAGTATTTCATAATAGCAGAGGGTATTCCATTCTGGTAGCGGTTTGAGGTAAATAAGATATATTGCTTTAAATAATTGTTTTGTAATGACGGAATTAGAAATAAATAATATGATATACATTGGTTGGCTGCTGTTCAATAATTTATACTTTTCGAAGTTCCCATTTTGTTTCGAGCAACATAAACAATAAATGTTAGGTTGTGTTGGTCATATATCTCATCAACTGTTTCGTATCTTATGCTTCCTTGGCTTCCACATATTCAGTTTGAGCGTTCCTAATGAAGGTAAATCTCAAAAAGTCTTCAGACGCATGCAATTGTGTTGCAATTATATTTTTTCGTAAAGCTTATTCAAAATTATATCATTTTTTATACTGCCTATTTGTTGGTGTGACTTATGAATGGTAAAAATCACAAATATATTTCCAATCTTTCAAAATACTAGTAGATCTATCAGGAAAACAAATACCAGAGGGTACAGAGCAACGTAAAAGATCGTATACGAGCTATGAAATATTTCTAATTAAACAAAATATCACATTCATTTCAGAAACTATAAAAGGACCAAAACTTAAAAGAACTGTAACATTTTTGTTTGTGGCAGACAAATGTCGAACAAGGAGAAGTTTACGTGAGCTGATACGAAGGAACATAACACAACAGTTAAACGGTAAAACACGGTTTCTTATACATATACCAAAACCAATTGAGTGATTAAAAATGTTTACAAAAGTCTAATACAGAGTGTATTAGTTTCAAGCATGAGTTTATACTTCTCAATGGTAAGCACTGTAAAATAAAAGAATCTGATAAATGATACTTAGAATCATTACACAGATAAATTTTGCAGAAAAATATATATGTTAAAAGTTAAATCACAAAAATACTGAACTCCGAGGAAAATTCAAAACGGAAAGTCCCTAATCAAATGTAAATTATAGTTCTAAGGCCAAAATGTGGGGTTGATGACGTTTTAATTTATAAGGTTATCTTATACTATGTTCATTTGAACTTTGTCACTGTTTTAAGAGCACCTCTCTATCAACCAAAATTTCAGGGAATTCTATTCAAAACATATATCTTAACTACAACTACTTCTTAATGGTTTATGATTCATGAATTTGATTTGATATTTGTGCGAGCAATTACATTTTAAGAGCAGAACTTGACTCAAATACATTTTCATTAGATTAGTAACAATATGATATATCATATTACAGAACAGAAAAAGTATAAATGTCGTCAGACGTGTAATGTGAATACTGTTGAGATTGATTGCAATGCTAGACTCCCGAAGAAATTCCGAAAGTACACAAAAGCTAAGCAGGCTGTTGTGGCGGCAGAACTTGAAATGGAAATTGATTCATTGCCTGTTAAAGGTAATATTTTGATCTGATAATTTAGCTAATGTTGCCTTGCTAACTAAGATCCCATCTTTAAGTTTAGAACAAGAAATATTTTTGTAAGGAAAAGATTAGTCAAATATTAAACACCATTGCACGAGGAGATTGACGTATATTCTGTGCATTATAACAGATATTTGGAATATTTTTGTAACCACATCTGATTCCATAAAACTTTGTATCAGGTTGTGATTGCTGATAAAATGGATTTTGTTCCTTTCGTGGATCATTTGATAGACTATGCATTAATATAAAAACTCATCAGTGATGCCAGCGCGTTTTATCTTCATACGACCCATCAGTGGCGCCCAAATCAAAACAGTTGGAAGCGAAGTCAAATACAAAGTTGAAGAGCATTAAAATCCGAAAATAAAATATTGGACCAAATACGGTTAAGACACGCTATGTCAAGGGGTTCAAAACCTTGTCGTTGAAAGGATACTTATGTAATTGTTGTATCCAGTAAATTGAAGGAAGACAAGATCATCATCTTTGGTTTAATATTTTAAAGGAACATAAAACAATGTTTGTAGTAAGTACTGTTGTAGTATATGTTGGTTTTCAAAATTAATGGTCAATTTCTAGTTATATTAACAAAGGAGGGACGAAAGATACCAGAGGGACAGTCAAACTCATAGATCGAAAACAAACTGACAACGCGATGGCCAAAAATAAAAAGACAAACAGACAAATAATAGTACAGATGAGAAAACATAGAAAACTAAAGACTAAGCAACACGAACCCCACCAAAAACTGGGGGTGATCTCAGGTGCTCCGGAAGGGTAAGCAGATCCTGCTCCACACCAGATGTTTATATAATGTGATTTACACATAAAACAATATTGTTGGTGATTTGTTCGGAGGGACAACATATTTGTCATTGAGGTAAGAAAGATGTATTGTAACAAGTAGATCTTTTAAGATAATTAAGCATAACTGTTCTAAGAACAACTAATTTCTATAATTTCGTTATGTACCAACGAGCTCAAATTCTTAAATCATTAGGAAAAAGAATCTTCTTTTTCACGCTTTTTTTATTTTCTCACACAGGGAAAAAGGGAAATACGCAAATGTGTTATTGAGGTAGAAAAGTAAACAAATTATTTTAGGTTAAGAAAATCGCAAGCAACGTGCAGACAATGGAGAATCTAAATGCAATTGAATATATATTTTCCTGCTAACAAAATGCGACAGATGCCGAAATTCATGTATGCTGTATATAATATATGTTACAGTAAGTGTGATACTATAGGGAAATAAAGCTTGCACACTTAATATGTTTAAGCTGTCAAAGGAGTTGATAAATATTTAAAATCAATTAAACATCAGTTCAGCTAAATATTATTTATTTTGGCAATTACGATACGTGCATTCGACAAAGTTTTCAGAAACTGATACACATAATAGTTGGCACAGAGATTCATTTTAATCCGTATCAATGTGCCAAAACAATTTGGAAACCAATGCTTTTTAATGTATAGGAAAATGTGATGCTGCATGTACTGCGAAAAGGACAGAACGTCGAATGAAGAAAGCACTGAAAAAGATGAGAAAAGCAGCAAATAAAAAAGATTTTTTCTTTAGGTAAATCATATTAAAGGTATTAATAAGAAAAAACGAAAATTGCAGAAAAATTACCTTTACATGGATAACAAATATTTACAATGTTGGCATCCTATCAATGTCGTTCACAGGCTTTAAATCTGTAAAGGTAGTTGTGTGCTAGGTAGCTATGACAATTTGTGCTTTCTTACATAGGAAGTGTGTCCCTAGAAAGAAAAAAAGTTACCAAGATGGCAATGCAAAATGTGTGCCAAAGTAAAGCACTAGATTTGATTTTTTTTTAACAGCTTAACTTCAATATTCAAATCAAACGTAACTATTTAAACTTACAAATGACCAAAAAGTAAAATATCAAAAATACCCAACTCCAAGGAAAATTCAAAACGGAAAGTTCCTTATCAAATGGCAAAATCAAAAGCTCAAACAATCAAACGAATGGATAACAATGTCATATTCCTGACTTAGTAAAGGCATTTCCCCAAGCAGAAAATGGTGAATTAAACCATGTTTTATAGCTAGTTAAACCTCTTATTTGTATGACAGTCATATAGCATACCATTATATTGACAACAATGTAAGAGTAAAACAAACGGACATAATAGGTAAAAAGTTTCCGTTCATCGGTCTCCCTAGCGTATCATTAGATTGATATGTATACTCACTAGCAGATTTTCGAGTCGCATGAGCGATTATGCATATAGCTGCACTTGATATCATCTAATTATTGGGTACATTAAATTCATGATTTTTATATCTAGTGTATGCCTTTGTTTTTTATTTTAAGCTCTAACTTTTATATCTGACCACAAAACACATAAAATCACAATGTGTATAAAACAAGTAATATAGACCAGAAAATATTTACATTGACGTGATAATAAACATTATGATTATTGCAAAGTGGTTTAATATTATTTAAATAATAAATATATATTGTAGATATGACAATGCTGATCGGTATATTCTGAAAAAATCCTTAAAATTTAAGAAAAAGGTGTATTTCTCTTGTTCGGACGGATTCTTATTAGTCGGGGAAGCATGTGGTAAGTTAAAATATAACTACAAAGGTAGAAATTACATTTTAGGAAATGCAAAATTGACTCCTCCACTGTAAAAAGTAGAAATAAACACCTATTTGAGGTCATACATAAAGTTATAACACATTGTTTATTGGCGTTGTATTCATAACATGAGATGCTTACACTGTTGACACACAATGTCGCACTTTTTTTGGAAGTAATGCGATCAAGATTGTTCTATTCCCATTTTAGCCGTCTATACCTTGAACAGTATTTTTATGTAGAAACATTGGTATAATACTTTCAATTTTAAGACAGTCATTAATGGTTATAGCATGTTCATAATCGTTCGGCGACTTATATAGACACAATTCTTTTAATTAATCTTGCAGTACATTTTCTTCGACGATTAATCCTAAGTCTGATGCACTATACAATTAGTGTGAATAAACAGAAAACTTTGTATTCTTATATATCAGATGTAATATTCATCTATTTAAAACAATGAATTTTGTCACTACTCTAATAAGATAACTAATATAAGCCAGTGTAACACAGATAGTAAGTTAATATTGTCGGGACAGTCACAAAATAAGCGAAGGCGGCCATCAGCAAACCCTTGAAACGTTTCCGCTAATGAGCAGATCCTCAATCACGTTTAAATTTCCCCTAAAAATAGAAAATTCCAACACATACGACTAGAGGTCGGAAAAGTTAAAAGGATTCACTCAGAGTAAGAAAGTATCAACTGATAAAGCTGGTGATATGACACAGGTACACAATCAGGTGAACTAATTTTAACGACCATTATTTATTGATCTATAACCTCATTATGTATTTAATTATCATATTTTAGTGGCATGCAGTGTTGGAACGTTCTTTGACAAGAAACAAAAGCAATGCAAAATCTGTCCACGAGGAACATATCAAGAAAAAGAAGGACAAACATTGTGCAATCTTTGTCCTCAAGTCAAACTCGGTATAGGAATACTTGGAGCTGTCAACATAACACAATGTACAGGTATGTCCCATGATACTACAAATACTGTTAAACTATATATTGAAACGTAAAATCTTATTCCAAATTGCACAAGTTTTTTGTTTTTGAAATGGAGAATTATTTGAGGGAAATGAATCACGAGATAAAATAATAGCATCATTATTTGTTTGAAGATTTTACATTCTAAGGATAAAAGCAAAAATATGATTACTGTACTAAATGGTGAATACTGACTTAAATAAGTTAAATGTAAAACAAAACCGGATTTCTTTTAGTTTTATGTCCACCGGGGTCGTATTCCAAAGATGGGATGTTACCTTGCCTTGACTGTCCAAAAAGTTTCTATCAGTCTGAATATGGTCGACTCAGGTGTGTTCCTTGCGGAGGAGGATTGGAAACTACTGGTTTAGGAGCACGTAGCTTCAAACAATGCTCTGCTAAAGGTGAATACTAATTAATCATAAACATAGTTTGGATGTTTCCATGTTTAAATTTATGCTTTAGAAGTTACATAATTTTTGAATTATTGTTATTTCGGTTATAGAAAAGATACTACAATATATTTGTAAAAAATAGTCTTAGAACGAAAAAACAATATTAAAATAGATAGAATTGACAATAAATACATTGACAAAGTTGACTTTTCCTTCTGACAAAAGTCGGAATGACTATTTTATTGTTTTCCATTCCTTAGCAACTTGTTCACCTGGCCATTTCTACGACATACGAACACACACTTGTCAAGTTTGTCCTACCGGCAGTTACCAAATGGAATATGGTCAGAACTATTGCACAGCTTGTCCTGGTGATACCATTACAGATCAAGATGCAACCACAAATGTTTCTGAATGTAAAAGTGTGTATTGAAACAAAGAAACTGATACATTTCACATAATAATTCTATTAAATAAAAATACAGAAACAAGGATCTGAAAACGTATCTTTCTACTTCAAAGACTTTTCGGGATACTCTGGTTTTGTTGGAATGATACCCACCTTCAAAAATTTTAAGTCTGAAATTTCATTGGCTGATGTAATTATTTCCATAGCAGAAAGTGAAACGGAGTGTTGTCAGATCCTTGTAAGGAAAGCTTGGACACAGGATCTGTATTGTAATAAGATTGTTATTTGGAATTTATGTCCTGAAACAGTAATACAAACTAACCAAATCCAGTTTTAGCTTCACATTTTGTTAAATGGTTTATTTCAAAAGAAAATTATTTTTAAATACTCATGACAGAGCAAAATTTGAAACTGCAATAAAGAAACAATTTTGCATTTATTAATATCTTGTTTTTGACTCAATATACATATTGTACCACAAAATTCTAGAATTTCTTTTTAAATGAGGGTTACATTTTCATTTTTAGACGCAGCATGTGGTGGACTCATCGGAAAGCTACATGGCTTCATTCAAAGTCCAAATTATCCAGGAAATTATCCAAACAATAGAGAATGTATTTGGAAAATAAAACCTGGGAAGAAAAGAAGGATCCTTGTCATCATTCCTGAAGTATTTTTGCAACAGATAGACAAATGCGGTGATATCCTAGTAATGAGACAATCAAGTAATTGTTATTGCTATATCAAACTTTTCAAAATAATTGTTTCATATTTTATTTGAAAAAATCATTTAAGAATCCAGGCTTACGATGATCACAATGTATATACTAAAAAACCAGTAAGCAAATATCTAGTAGGTGTATTGATTACCACATCATGGTAAATGAAGAAAACTAAAACTATTTCATTCTTATGAATGAGTATTTTTCTTCCATTAGGTATAATCATATCTGTTTAGCAGACACATCTGTATAGCACCATCAATCTACTATTATATTACTATAAAATGAATATTATATGCGAGCAGTATTTATAGCAGTTGGCCAAAACAGTGTAGTTCTTAATATATATAAGTTCATTTGAATGATAGTATCAAAACAGCAACTTAATTGTTTTGTAGTAAATAGCATGATTTAGTTCCTAACGATTGGGCATTCGTTTGTTTTAACCAAATTATAGAAAAAATGTAAAATCAATGTTTCAAAGTATTTCATAACGATTAGAAGTGAAATACTAAAACGACAAACATTGATGCATCAGCAATGGGATAATGACTATCGAAACGGTGAGTACCTCTTTTTCTGATTTTGAAGTATGAAAAGATAAAATTGAAACCCATTTCAAATTATATCTTTTTATAAAATTATTAGATTTTTTGCTATTCAGTTATTAATAATAGTGAACGTAATTTGCAGAAAAGCCATCATCTGTAACATCATATGAGGCATGTGAGACCAAGGAACGACCAATTGCATTCACTTCAAGATCCAAAAGGATGTGGATTCAGTTCAAATCTGATGGCAAAAATACAGCAGCTGGATTTTCTATACCATATGTAACTTATAATGGTACATATAGATATTATTATTAACAAAGAGCTATTTCAAACTAAGTTTATTTCATTTGCGATCACTTTGTCGATACCGCTGCTAGAGGACTGTTAGTCCTCGATGGTATCACGAGCAATCAGCTCAGTAATCAGTGCTTCGGTACTAGTATGATTTATATATGTCTGTTTGTTTTGTCCGCACATTGTTGTCGATGTAGTGGAATTTTATGCGACTGTCATACAAGTGAGAGGTTTAGCTAGCTATTAAACCAGGTTTAATCCACCATTTACACACAAGGAAATGACTGTACCAAGTCAGGAATATGATAGTTGTTTTCCATTCGTTTGATGTGTTTGAGCTTTTGATTTTGCCATTTGATAAGGGACTTTCCGTTTTGAATTTTCCTTGGAGTGTTTTTGTTATTTAACTTTTTTTTAACATAGACAGATTTAAAAATCCCTTTTCTCAGATTAAGAAATTGATAAGAAACTGAGGTTCCAACTTCCTCAGACAAGTTGACCCTAAATGACTTTGGCTATTTTCTTAATGTCCTTTTTAACCAAACTTGGCCACAATGACCATGGGGGTATCTAGTTTAAAAAAATGTGTCTGATGACCTCACCTGCCAACCAACATAGCCGATATGGCTTAAAATAGAACATAGGTGTAAAATGCAAGTTTTGTCTATTATTTTGAAAACCGTTATAAATAGAGAATATCTGACAAGAGCACAAATGTTCAGAATGTTTAGCTCTACCAAATGTCTATAAACGTCAAAACTGTCAGACGACTTCTTATAGGAGTTATTACCCTTATTAAATTGAAAACTATACTTGATAGAGAGAAACTTTAAATTGCAAAAATGATCAGCAAGACAAGTTCTACAAATAAGTCTAATAGTCGAAATCGTCGGTCGACTCCTTATTAGAGTTATTGCTATTTGATGAACATTTCTAACATTTCTTTTGCGTTTTTGCCTTATATCTTAAAAATTATAATACTACAATTAGGACAATTTGGAGGAAATCATCCGACGACTCCTTATTGGAGATATTGCCTTTTAATGACGATTTTTTCTATTTTTATTGCGTTTGCCTTATATGATAAAAATTATAATAGATAAATAGACACTTTAGATAACAAAAATGATCAGCCTGACAAGATCTACTAACAAGTCAAATTTGCCAATATATTTAGTAGACTGTCACTCTTTATAGGAGTGATTGCCCTCTGTTGTGTTTTGAGCAAAAAAATACAGAAGATAGAGAAAAACTAAACAGACTAAATGATCAGCAGTACAAAATCAACAAAACAGAGATTTTTGTTATGAATTCTATTCTCGTCTACAATTTTGTAGGGTGTCCTTTGTTGAATATGCACATAGACCAAGGTGAGCGACAAAGGCTCTTAGAGTTTTAATATAGCTCCGAAGGGCATTTCGACAATTAATTTCCCGTAAGTGATGCTCGAGGTCAAAATATTTGAAAATCTTAAATCATATGGAAACTGTAAAGAGCTTTTGCGGTTGGCTGCATGAAGTCAAGTGGCAAATATCAATTACATACTGAAGAAGACATTGACATAACAGTTCAATGTTTTATACTCAGAAGAGTTTTTTTTATCTTTTAATATTGGGGTTATATTTTTGCTGCAATTTAGTTTTAAGTTGTCTTGAAATTACAATATTGGTCCGTTTAAAAGTAAGAAGTGAAAATATCACGAAACAAATTATTGCCATCATAGCTTTTTTTAGACGGAAACTCGGAGAATTCATGCCCGTTATGTATTCTCAAATGTTTGCACCAGAATAAAATTGCAACTAGAAAGCAAATCTCATGTATCAGGGGCAGTAATGTTCCGAGACACAGTTAGCCAGATAATAAAAAACAAAAACATACTATGATACTGACCACTATTAGTAAGATAAAGGATATTTGTCTCTTCCAAAAAAAATACAGACTAATAATTGTATTCTATTGCAGAGGAATATCAACCACTTATAGAAGACATTGTAAAAGATGGACGGCTATACAATTCATATCAACACCAACACATTTTAAAGGTAAGAAATGAACTTGACGTATCGATACTACTATATGACATGAAATAAGCTATTTGAAGAACTTGTCTGAGAGTCCTCGCACTCAAGTTAATATGCACATTGTCAAGACGTTTTACTTCCGATACAACTACAAAAAAGCATTCAATTCTCCCGTCTTTTAATTACGTTTTAATACTAAATAGATATAGGAAGATGTGGTATGAGTGCCAATGAGACGACTCTCCATCCAAGTAACAATTTATAAAAGTAAACCATTATAGGTCAAGGTACGGCCTTCAACACGGAGCATTGGCTTACACCGAACAGCAAGCTATAAAGGGCCTCAAAAAATTACTAGTGTAAAACCATTCAAACGGGAAAACCAACGGTCTAATCTATATAAAAACGAGAAACGAGAGACACGTATTAACTACATAAACAGACGACAACCCAGTAAAGTTTCAGTTAAGTCAAGACTTGTATTTGTATTGTTTAAAATACTTCTAAGCTTTTTTGAAACAATAATATGGAGGACACGTGCAGTCATGTTGCGCAATTTTAGGACATAAAAATATCACTCTAAAATTCTTTAAGTTTGTTGTCTGCCAATTGAAATTATTTGTTCCTTGTAAAATATCTATGTAATTTAATAATTTCAAAACAAACAAAATTAAAATTCGAACTGTGACTACTCATTGTTAAACTGCAAATTTAAGAATGAACTATTTTTGAAGTACATCGATACGCAAAACTAAGAATGTTATTCTATTTATCATGCTAAATACTAATCGACAAGTCTATGCGTAAGCACCTGGACGACACATGATTAACAGGGAAGCACTAAGTTAAGGTTTTTTTCTGACACGGCCGTCATCTAACTTATGAATTACCGATATACAGTGGATAATGCTACCATACGTTCAACAGAGATTTATGCAATAAAAATTCATTTTACAATCATGTGCAGCGATAGATTCGATTGTTCATTGGACTTGGCATAAAAGTGAAGCTCATCAATTCACAGCTATATACAAAAGTCATTTAATATCTGCAGTAGTGAAGAAATGGATTTACTAACTTGATTAAAGAAATATTCTTTAAGTATCTGGCTATAGATCGATGAAATGCTGTATAAAATTTAAGAAAATTAGCTTTAAACTTTCTTTTTTAAACTTTTGGGTAAGTCTCGATAGGACATTTGAATTCGTTAATAGGTTTTTGCATACAGTTTTTTTTTTTATCATATTACGCCATCAAGTCATTTGTGTAATTATTAATAATGAATGGTAAAGCATTTTACTAGTCTTCATTTAATTGTTATTCTTTATAAAGCATTACATTAAGTTTTGCCTTAATGCTTTTTTCAATGAACTATTCATATTTCATCAACCTTTTTTTTCAGGACAGGAAACTGTTGAACGCGTTGATGGAAGTGATAGCACAACCATTAAATTATTTTAAGTATGCAAATGTATCGCATACACTAATGCCACAGTCATTTATTAAACTATTGACTTCTAAAGTCAGAAGATTCTTTTCCTCATGACTAGACGTGGGATAGTGAACACATTCTGACATTGTGTCATTGTTCTAGTTCTTCAAAATAGTGGCAGATACTGGAGGACTACATACGTTTCCCATAGATGATGGAAAATGTGACACAATTTGTACACTATACTCAAAGGATCCCTCTCTCTGGTTCAAAAATGTGATGCAGTTGGACCGGATTTGTGCTTTTGTACATATTGTATGACGATACTAGAGTTGTGTACATATATGTTGGTTAATTTACATTTAAAATATTGATAGTTGTCAAACAACTTGTAAATATGATTCTCAATTATACATCCCGGTCACTTTTGTCACCATAATTCATTGTGTTCACAAAACTTAAATTGAAAGGTATTTAATTTATTTGTAAATGCTTCAGAGTACAGGTGCTTAAAATACAACCAACCAAGTGCAGAGACAAATATATGCTTTTATCGTTAGTCGGCACTTGTGATAATTGGTCTTACATGAAATAACAATGTGTACTAAAAATTTACTATGAAATTTAACAACATAATCCTTTCTGCTAGTCAACCAAACTCGAAATCTGAATTTCAAACTACAAAACAAAAGAAAAAAAAAGATTTAACCCCAAAAATGAAATCCAGAATACTTTAGTATAAGGGGAATTGAAATTGATATACAATACTAAAAAGGAGTTTAAAATCATAAATATGTTGTAATGAAATGACTGTTTTTGTGCTATTAATTGTGATAAAATGTATTTTCGGAAAGCAAAAATATTAGTTTTAATAGGGCATTTACTGTCATATTCATGTTCACCGATTTGACTCAAATTATCATATTTGATTTATTACATACTAAATCGTTTATCCAAATTATAAAAAGTCTTAAATAAAAAATTTACAATGCATAGGCTCGATAATATGTATCAGCATTTTGTGCGTATTTAAGTCAAGACGCCATCTAATTTACCATCAAGCTGACCCCCGAAGACTGCCGACGGTCATATAACACGATATAAACATAAATATAGATATAAATATAAAGCGAACTCGTGCAATTGGATTTTTCTAGGTCTGTTTGAATTCATATTATAGGTTAAATATATATGTTAATCATCGTTTTTACCTGTATAAGAATGAGTTTTTGTGGATCGAATCAGTCAATCAAATGGTTAACCCTTGTTTCACTTTGAATGTTGACATTTTTCTTTTAATAACTGAACACTTCTAAACTTCTAATGCATGCGTAACCCATCTCTAGCTAAGGGGTTAAATTGAAGGTCACATGAATACGGATTCAATGAGGTCGAATTATTCACTTGCAAGTGAATTATTCATCAGCGATGTTTCTTAGATTATTTTGACAAAATTGAACCAAACTGGCTTCTAAAAGCGAATTATTATTTCACTATTTCACTTTCATTAATGATTGAACAAAAAAAAACAACATATTTTAATCTTTTTATATTTCGTAGCTAATGCCCCTTTAATAGAGACTTCGTGAGAAGCGACGTAATTCCAACTTTAATATCAGACTTACCTCTCAAACAATGCATGCACTGTTGAAGTGATGAAACATTTTTACATTGAATATGTCTCCATTTAACCAGATAATATTAAATATGATGGATTACATTCGTTGATAGACTATGTCGACTTCCTTCGAATTTGAAGTTTTTTGTTTCATCGTTTAGATAATAAATAGCAAATGCCCATATTTTGATTTCATTTTGTTAGTGCGTTTCAGGGGTCAAACTTTTAACAAAATAAAATTGTTAACAGTTTGTTTACTTCAGTGCGCCTTGCATTTAACATTAGAGGCACTGAAATAATCATCAGTTATACAGACTTTGCAAAAATTGCGGTTTCTATGTAACATGTTGCTAGGCTTCCCTAGCAGGTTGCAAAATGTTTTACTGATGTGTGTAAAACTGATTGAACTGATTGGTTGTGTAAAACAAACCGATGGAACTGATTGGTTGTGTAAAACAAACCGATTGAACTGATTGGTTGTATAAAACAAGATTGAACTGATTGGTTGTATAAAATGTATAAAACGGATTGGTAGTGTAAAACACACTACAATTGTTTCAATATTTAACATATTTCATTTTAGTTTGCAAATAACACTATCTAATAAAACTTTCAAGCAAATGCTTTAAATCTTGCAACCACAGAATGGAGAATAATTCCCCTGTGATAGATTTTACCCCTTAACATTATGCTAAAGTGAACATGAATTTGCTGACTTTGTGTGTTTTACATCAACAGAGAAGCTGTAAAACAAATGTTTAGTTGTACAAATTTTGTAGATTATTTTCAGTTATTGTCGAATTCTTGTATATTTTGTCAATAAATGTCTAAATCTTCATTTGTTGTATTGTCCAGATATATATGACAATTTTTTTTAATTCGTTGTTAATTTTACAGTAAATGAAGTAAAGTTGTTATTAAATATGCAAACGGAAAGACAACATTTTGAAAGAAGCCCTATATTCAAGCACTATGCATTCCAATAGCAAGTGTTTTCTCCTAATGTGATCAGACAAAATGCACAAAACATAGATAAAACTGTTTAAGCGTATGAAGGAACAAAATGTTAAGTATTTATCGAATGAATCATATGGCGGCGAGTATGTAAGTTTCATCACTAACCAAATGTGACAAGATTATTATTGTACTTATTTTGCACCCTATCGTTCAACTTCTTTTTGTACTCATTTGAAGCAGAATTAATATTGAACCTTCTCAAAAACAAAAGAAGAATGCAAGCATCTTACAAATTTCTTAAATTTCACTTTGAGATACATTGATGATATCCTGTCACTCAATAACCAATATTTCAGTGAGTGCTTGCATCTCATACATCTAGTGAACTTAAAATTAGGGATATTACGAACACCTGAAACTTGATGATTTCAACTCTTCAATTGCCAACTTATAATTTCTCAGCAGTTACATAACTTTTTGCCAATCGTATGTAGTTTACATATTTCAATTTTCAATACAGGGGTGTGCTCTTTACAAACAAACTGCCCCAACAGAGTTATAAGGAAGAACGATTGAAATCAACATTTCATAAGTTTTACAGTCACCATTACAAATTGGTTGAATGGTACGATGTGTCGGTGTCGCAATTCAGTAGTGACATGGTTTCGCGTTCTTAGATCTTAAGGTAGTAGATAAGTCGTCTCACCTATTATTTTACCATTAAGCCCTATTTCAGATTGTGACATTTTGATTGAGTGCGGATTTGCATGGCGTGCTATACATGCATAGCAGGAGACGATTACTCTCTCCATGCACCTGGTCTCGCTGCTTTCGAAGTTCATAAGATTCCCTTTGGTTTTGTTTGTTACCTTGTTTTGTCATACAAAAACATATTTTTTAGATCTGAACAACGTTAAACTTCTGTCACCTAGATATAAAACATTTAAATGCAGTTAAAATAAAGATACAGTTTGTATTATGTTTTCATTACTCCATTTTGTCAGATCAGAAAAATGAAGGCATATAAAAAAGGAAAACATCAAAACATGAAAAAAAGATCGAAAATAGGTAATGGATAGTTGTTTTAAGCAATCTGTACATTCATTTCCTTTCTTCAAATCTCATTGAACTGAAGAATAACTATCGTTTCAAATCATTAAAAATAAAAATGGTTGCCATGAGCACATTGGAAAGCATAAACTTTGATCTGTATTTTCCCTAATAATCAGTAATGCCACAAGAATAGTTCATCAAGCTTTTTATTTATATACAATGCCAATAAATATGTCTAATATAGTTATACAATATATACTATTAAAAAGTTTAGGGTTCAGATCGCCATTTTTTATTCATCATTGACATCTCTGTTTTCACTTGTACTCAATATCGGTTGACAGGTTTCAGTGTCACCCTGTGAGAAAAATATGAATTAAAAAGAATTGTAAATGGATACACTAATGTAGTAAATGGAAATCCGGCACATAAAATTGTATATCACTATGGTTGTCATTGCCTTTACTATTAATCTAAATTTTAGTTTAGGATTGAAGACTGGCATGTAAAAACGCAACAAATGTGCTGTACCTCCGACATATTTGTTTATTCCTCATATATCAAAAGTTTGTTTTTATTACAATCATCAACCCATATGTTTTCTTTTTGATAATGACGACAAATATCTCTGTTGACATGTTGGGATGTGGCTGAAATAATTGAGATCAAATTTGAACTTGTATGTGATGAGTCATATCTTAGCTGCTGAATATACGTCCTTGTCCTATATTTTCGGCATAAATTAGATGTAATTAATTGGATAGATTGTACCAACAGCTAACCTTTAATTCTTTAAATACACACTGACCTTTTGATCTGCATATGGGATATCTTCTCTGGCCAGGAGGTATCTCAAAAACCGTTCATGGTCACTTGTTGTGCTATCTGCATCAATATCCTGTAAATCAAAGAAATGTCAAGAAAATTTCCACCTAACATATTATTTCATTTCCATACAATTGGTCCATTCTAATCATTTTATGCGTCATTTGAAATTAATAAAAACAAAAACAACATTTGTTCGAACAATAATCGTTCATATAAAAATATAACCTTTCTCTTCTATTAAGTTCATTACTCAGCCTATTTTATTCATCATAAACTTTTGACGACAGGCTTCAACATATATTCTTGATTAAGGTAATACATATAATATGGAACAAGAAAACATGAACAAATAAATTACGTTATCAGTATTTGAGTTTGTACAAGTTTGTTTTGGAACAGTAGATTATCAAATGCTTTATAAAGATACAAGCATAAGACTTTTAGTGTTCATATTGTATATTTGGCACTAAAACATAGGTGTTGGCAATTAACATCATTCATGGACAGTATTACGTACGGTTGACTATATTTAAAAGTGTATTATTGATTTAGTAAACTTTATCGCTACCATTTATCTCATTAAAAATAAGGAATGACCTGTTCATCTTCCCTGACTAGGAGGTTTCTTGAAAATCTTTCATGGTCACTCAGTTTACTCTCTGTATCAAGATCCTGAGACAACAGAAGAGAATAATGAACATTTACACACGAACATTGTTTTTTTTATTATAACGAAAATTCAAGCACGAAAGGTTCCAAAATTAATAACTCGCAATTTAAATGTTCATTTCATTATTTGTAAATTGCATTTCGTGAAATCCCAACAATTAATTTAAAACGTTTGCTCATTGTACAATAAACATAATAAAAACTGCATGCAATAGTTTTTTGAATTCAGTTTCTAATTTAATTCAACTTGTCAGTTATAACTAAATTTTATGCAGTGAAGTTTTAAAAACAGACAGTCGTAAAAAACTGTCGTTTACAGATTTCATCATATGCTCATATTTAAGGACAAAAACGCATAACAAATAAATCTTAAACCAAAAATGACTTGAATGCATCAACTTCCCTAGATATGAGTATTCCTTAAGGCAAGAAATCCTAAACAATATATTTGAGTACATTTCATAAACCTGGATTTAAAAAAAACATAATTATTTGGCTAAGTCAGTTGGTAAGTAATGTTTTTCTTTTTATAAAAGCATTAAAAATTTTGGACAGTTTGGAAACAGACAGTGACATATTTTTGGCCTAAATTAAATGTAATTCACGAATTAATTTACACTATCACCTCAGGAATATATTACCTTAGCTGTATTTGGCAAAACTTTTAGGAATATTTGGTCCTCAATGCTCTTCAACTTCGTACTTTATTTGGCCTTTTTAACTTTTTTTTATTCGAGTGTCACTGATGAGTCTTTTATAGACGAAACGCGCGTCTGGCGCAAATACAAAATTTCAATCCTGGTATCTATGATGAGTTTATTCACTACCGTTTAATCAATTCAAGGATCACCACTGACCTGTTTATCATCCATGTCTAGGATTTTTCTAGAATCTTCTTGGTCACTCAGTTTGCTCTCTATATCGACATCCTGTAACATTAGAAGGAGTTAAACATTCAAACTAGAACTTGTAGAAAGGTTACCTTTTATTGATAAATTTGATACATTCTAATTCAACATCATAATATATAAAGTGCTGTTTAGAAAAATAGCAGTTGTTATAAGCAAACTTACTCAAGTGGAATTATATCTATTCTTTAGTTTATTACTTCCCAATATCATTATTGATTTATGATAAACTTTCTTTTACATACTTCACAATATCCAAGGTTACAAATGTATCTAACTAATAAAAATTTAACCGAAAGTGTTTTAATACCTCAACTGAAACGGTATCTTGGGCACTCAATTTGCTCTCTGTATCAACATTCTGTAATAAGAATAAAGTACATTATCTTAGTATTAACGAATTTCTTGTAATTCTAAACTTGGAGTGATATTAAAAAAAAAAGATAGTTGTTTAAATATACCCAGTATTTCCCTTTAGAACTTCAAAACATCATGATAAATATCTGCTGACAGACTTCATCTTTCTTATACATGTGTAAGGTTTAAAATCAATTTAACAAAAAAAAAATACACTTAAGTTAGTTAATGTCGACACTTTCCCGAATTGTCCTTTTTCTCAGTACAAAAAGATCTAGACTTAGTCTGGGAGAACATGATTTATGTTTAAATTGTATTTGGCTTTGAACTAGCTTTCTGTAACTGCGAGTACCTTTTTTTGGCGCTTTGTGTTAATTGTTTTAATGTTAGTAATTTTTGAGCCTCGTTCCCATCTTTTGACGTTGAGAACTCAAAAACATGCCTAATCCTGTCACATTCTTTATGTGCCTAGCCAAAATCAGGAGCCTGTAGTTCAGTGGTTGTCATTGGTTCGTGTCTGTCATATTTGTTTTTCGTAAATTGTTTTGTTATAAAAAAAGGCCGTGAGTTGGAGCCGTTAAAAGCCGAATTTTTCTCATTGTTGAAGGCCGTACAATTGCCTATAATTGCTTACATCCCTTCATTTGAACTTTGATGGATAGTTGGCTCATTGGCAATTATACCACATGTCCTTGTTTTTAACCTGTACATGTACTTAACAAGGATTTGCATTTATTGCATTTTTTTGAAGGTACAGTATCTATATGTAGGTTAGCAATGTTACATATAGGTATAATTATGAGGGTATTAGACTTTTAACTATCCATATTGTATATTTGTTCCTAGAAGTCTATGGTGCGTGCAGTAAACAACATGGACAGTTTGGAAACAAAAATATTTTGGCATAAATTAGATTCAATCAATCAAACTGGTTGAACTACCGCTACCGTTTTATTCAATCACAAAAATAATCACTGACTTTTTGATCTGCATATGGGATATCTTCTCTGGCTATGAGGTTTCTTAAGAAGATTCCATGGTCACTAAGTTGGCTCTCTGTATCATAATCCTGAAATATTGGAAGAAAGACCATTTACATTCCAATCTGAACACATGTTAACTTATTTGCATACATTTGGTCGATTCTCACTGACTTTTATAGAGTGTTGTTTACAAATAATGGTTATTGAAATCCCAATATCTCTCATCCTAGCATAACTTGGAATGTGAAGGATGAGATTCATTCTAGAAATGGATCCTGAGGCTCGAGAAGATTTGGAGGGTATAATTTGCCCATCCCATGTTTTGTTGCACAAACAAACTTCAAATTTTGATTGAAACAGGTAACCGCCGCAGTATTTATAGCAGGGTATAGCTACGTCAAAGCCATAGGTCAGGATTTGACCTCTTTTAATTGAGATGCTTCGCTGCATCACATGAAATATGTCATCCTTGAATATTTAAAAAGATCATGATTAATTTGTGATTTTTTTTTGCTGACATACGTCAATGTTAACCATATATATATTGCATTTAATGAATCAATATTTAATAGATGGATACTAGAAGTACGAAACCCAGATTGATGATCTATACTGACATTAAGAACATACACTGCACAGTGAACTACTGCTCGCTTAAACCCTGCTTTGGTGTTTAATATGTGTAAATGGTATTTCTTATGGAAACAAAACTATCAAGCAGCTTTGATTTAAAGCTGTTGAGAAAAAGACTCAAATAGAAGGAACTGATATCTTTGTTAAAACTATGCTGACAAAAAGCTAAAAAAAATTGAGATAAATTCCTCAAACAATTCCTGAAAAGCAGGTGCAAAGTTTCAATATATGAACGTTTCAAATGAATTGGAACAATTTTAGAAAATAAAGCTGAAAATATTAATAAGGTTCTATGTCTGGAAAATTGGCAAACTGATACTCAAACATTTTGATAACAACGGGGGCACAACTTTAATGGTTCTGCAATCTTTATATAAAATCTCCTTGGTCTGGGTTACAAAATGTAGACATTAAAATACACAAAATTGGTATTGGTTTTTTTTTAATTTGCTAAACATTGTAGAAGTTTCCAAGTCTGGAAAATGTGAGGAAACAAATCTTAAAAACATTTCCATGATAGCAGTGGACAACTTTAGTATGTCCAGTCCTTTTTTGAACTGTCAAGGAACTGGGATTTAACCTGTAGGGAGACTAAATTGAACCAAATTAGTATTATATTTTGTTAATTTTATTGAAAATTACCGAGTTCGCAAATCTAAGAATAAAGGAAAAAAATCCTCGAACAGTTCCATGAAAGCAGGTTCACATCATTTATATGTGTACAATATGAAGTGTCAAAGATCTGGAATTAAAATGTAGTAGGAGTTGATTGCATAAGATAGAAACCCACTTTTCTTGGGTAAACCAGTATATTCTATTACTCTTTACAGGCAGGATACTATATACTCACTCTCACACGTGAGCTGATCAGTTACTTTCTAACTATCCTATACAGATTTTACAATATATTTACCTCTCCATTCATGTCTGAAAAGAAAAGTTGATAAAAATGACATACGATAGTTTCTTTTAAAAATTAAAAACCTTTGAATAAGTCTGACAGTATAACTTTTTATCACAAATTATCTTTAAAATTCATATGCAGTCTCACTAAAATAAAAAGGAAATGAGAATCCAAAAACTTTAATTATCAACAAGGTAGAAAAATATGCACCAAATTCAAGTGCATCATGTATATCGGTTTATAAGGATCTTTTATAGTGCTTGCTGACTTAAGGAATTGTTATTTACATTGCTGCTATACTAATGGTATACTATGTGAATGAATTTATTTTTGTACAACATAAAACCTTTATCTAGACAAGATCAGCATATGCAGGGCAGATTAAACACAATATCAAAGCTGTTAAACAATAATATATTGTAGAAAAGTTTAATTGTTTTGCATGTATAATTTGTTTTGATGTTTGCTCTTTCATTGGAACTAAGATTTACATGTAGAGACAGTGGATAAGTAGAGTTTCGGTTTCTATGCAGTGTAACCAGAATGATGGGATAAAGTAAATGGTAAAACATGATACAGGTATAACAGTATACATTATAAAAAAGATGACAGTGTTTCATTTTCCAAATATGCCAGGCCATTTGAAATATGCAAAATTATATGAATTGCTGTCAGTGAAATAACAAAAAAATTACCTTCTCTAAATCTCCAAGACAAAAGCAAAGGGTCTTTATTCTTGTAAAGTCTTCAACAAAAATAAGATATATAGTTAACTTTTAAGCAATACATATCATTTGATATTCCATAAGAAGCACATTTTATTGAATTGAGAAAATACACACACAAAAAAATTCAATCAAATACAATATAACTTTAAATTCACACTTAAAATGTACAACTAAGGACAATGTTGCAAAGCAGTTACAAAAACATTTACACTGAATTTATTATAAACAAACCTGGCATATATGACCTTTCCAAAAGATTTGCAACAATACACAAGCACTACACAGAAGATATCGGTTAAATCCTATTATTTCAAGTTTTTAATTGTACATCAAAACCATATCCCCCTTTTTTTTTTTTATCGTGATGGCATGATATAACTATTTCATTATATGCGCCTATTTCACAATCTTCTTCTTTGTCGTGAAATATACACACTTTAAAATGTAATTATAACATTATCATTTTGTATCTCAAAATCAGTCCATCGTATCATGAAAAAAATTAATAATAATTTGTGTACAGCTTTTCTTACAAAGCGTTAAAATGTACAACCCAGATATGTCAAAAGTGGAGATTTTGGTGAAATTTGACAGAACTATTCTATTCAATACTTGCATAAAATAATTTTACCTTCTTCTAAGCAAAATTGATCCAAGTATGATACAAATAACTACAAATAATGCTGCTAGAATTATCAGGGATATCGCCCAAGCACGAAGTACACAGTTGGGATCATCTGCTGGACAATCACAGTAATATCCGTTCAAAACGTCATAGCACACATAAGGTGGAACACATGGCGAACTTTGACACTCATCAATTTCATCTGTACAGTGTTTCCCTGTGTATCCTAGAGTACATGTACATATGTAGTTCTTATCAAAGTCTACTGCTCTATGTGCACTCCTACAAGGGTAATTTCTTTTGGCTGAAAGATATATAAACTGGTCATTTTGGTAAACACAACAAATATTTATCAGCTATATTTACACTAAAAGAGAAATTTAAAAGTATGCAAGTGTAGACATACAAATACATCTTGCGAACTTTTTGAACACAGGTATTTCACATTATTTTCAACTGGGTCTTTTAAGTACTGCAGTAGCAGAGAAACTAAGCTAATCCCTCAAAAATTTAAGATTGACGTCAGATCACTCCTGCAGAATAAAATTAACAAATAAACGAGCAGTGGACATTTGATAGAAGAAAACTGGAGTGGATGATGGATGTACATAAAAACAAGATTGTTACATTATACCAAAAGTCATGATCATCTGCCACCTGACTTTTAAGATACAACTTTTATTAAAATTGCAATAAAAACATTGTATACCATGAATGTATCTGCCTATAGATCGATCTAAAAAAAAATCGTTTGCTAATTTTTGTGAAAACGACTGATGAATGTTTGCTGTCAAAGATATATTAGGTTTGAATAAACTCATCATAGATACCAGGCTTGAAATTATCTTTTACGTAAAACTATGTAAATTACTGCATGAATAAAAGCATGAATTATAATACCATCTAGAAATCTGCCCATGTAAGGATTTTGACTATTTGGTTCAAGCCGCCGAACTCAAAAAAATCGTGAATAGATGAACTATGCTCAATTCTATAAAAATGCTTGACCTATAATGGTTTATTTTTACAAATTGTGACTTGGATGGAGAGTTGTCTGATTAGCACTCATACCACATCTTCTTATATCTAATATATTTTTTTATGATAAAAGTTTCACCATTTCTCAATTTTTAGCCTATTTTTAATGGTATTTCAATCTTTACAACATATTTTCCTTGTTCCTTTCACTTTAAAATGAAGATTTTGCTTTGTTAAGTATTTTCTATACAAGTTATTTCAAGTGTTGTTCTAAATCATAAATATTCATTTAGGTCTGTAAAAATGATTATGGATACATATGCACATACGTGTACAAACTCCTTTCTTTTGACATGGGGATTCCATCAGAACAAATTGGACGGTTATCACAGTAGAGGTAGCATTCAAAGAATCTGTTATATGGATCTTTACAAAATCATTCCCAGATGATGACATATTCTGTTTATATGTGATATTAGCATAAATCCAAGACAAAGTATCTTTGTCATGTGGTAAATTATGACTGAAATTTCCACAGGGTTCAGTTGTCAACTGAAAAGATAATAACACGCCCTTTGTTTTTTACAATACACTAAACTGCAATATTATTTCGTGTTAAAACAAACAAGTTTTTTTTTCTATTAGCAAGAACATTTAGCATACATTACCAACAATAACTTATCAATAGATTTCGAGAGGAATAAAACAACAGGTGTCACTGATGAATCAATGATTGCGGAACCTTTCAAATCACTTGCGTAAAACCAAAGTTAAAGGACTCAAATTACTATAAATTTATATAAAATAAAGAGATGGGGTATGATTACAAATAAGACAACTAATCAAATGAAGTGCATGCTAGTTTTCTGTGTAGTATTTCGGTTTTGTTTGTCTTTTTTATCTTATTAATTTTGGCCATGGTGTTGGCTGTGTTTCAAACACTCATTTTTGGTACAAATATTAATGAAATTAATGAAATGGTAATAGTAAATGTATTTCTTACAATCCAAATTATCAATTTTAACGATAAAACGTACTTTCTTAATTTTGTATGAAAGAGGAATACTATATTAGAAAGTTGAAAACTAAAATATGTGTTGGTAAAACTGTCTTTCCTACAGTTAAGTCAGTTTAACTTGATTTGAACAAAAGTTCCATACCATATTTTTTCAAAAATACTGAAACATACATGTTTGTAAGGAGGACAAGCTTCCAGGTCTGGAACTGATTCTCTTCCTTTTGATAACAGTATTCTACCATGTGAAGGTTCTGACACAGTTATAAATAAATCCTGTTTTTCTATATCATAGGCACCAAAGGTTGCAGAAAACTCACCGGACCATTTTTCTATATTAAAAGCATTCATTTGCTCTAAATAGACCTATAAAAAGATTGTATTGATCATATATAACTTTAACCCTCAGATATCTTGATAAATTGACATATTTTTGGTGAGACAGTCATTTACGCCAATAGACTCTATTTGAAGGCTTACTCAAGTTTATATTGCTTTATTTCATTGTTTGCAATGAATAACCGTGATTTCCCAGTGAAATAAAAACTGATAATTTCACATATGAAATATACACGATTATTTCACTCCTCTGACTTCATACAACAATAAGTGTTGTTGTCGATAATGTTACATCAAAACAAATTGTGAATGCGTAGAAAAAGATATGGTCACCTTGCATTTTCTATTTTATTTCCATTAAAACGCCCATTGCCAATGTAATAGAAAGAATAAGTGAGTTCTTGGATTAGTTATTCTATATTTATCTGTTTAAAAAGCAAAACATCAGTTTCATATATATGATATAATCACAATAGAGTTATGAAATAAAACTTTATGGTATGTTTTTAGATTTGAATGCTTAATTAAATCGTTAATATATAATTGAATAAACTAATACTTCTCCTGTATTTATCGAGTGATTTTGTTTTACCTGAAATCTTTTATAGTTTTGATTTCAACTTTCCCAAAAATAAACAAGTATATCAAAAGTTGGAGATTCCCAATTGTGAAATTTTCCATTTATATGTAGGAACATTTCAGCAGCGCCTGCATATGGAGTATAGATCTCTCGATATTGCAGAGCTTATATTTCCTATCAAAATTTCCTATGTTGCATAAAAGAAGCTTTTAAACCAAGAATTTCATGTGGTGAAGTTGAAATTATCCCTTCGGAAATTAACAGACGCGATCACGTGTTAGTTGACCGTTACGGAATATATGTTTCACAGATGATGACGGAAATGATACAATTGTTGTAATGATATTCCTGTCCTTTTTTCCGTGAATATGGCCTCCCAAATTAGGTGTATCCCAGGGTTTGTACTTACGCGAGCAGCACGACACGTGTGGAGTATAATCTGTTTACCATTTCGGAGCGCCTGAGATCATACTCGTTTTTTGATGGGGTTTGTGTGGCTCAGTCATGAGCTTTATATTTTGTATTTTCGGTTTGGTCGTCTTTTTTTTGCCCTGGCATTTTCAGTTCGTTCTTGACTCATGAGTTTGATTATCCCTTTGGTATATTGTGCCTCTCTTGTACTGTGAACTGTGAAATGCTTAAATTAAATAAGAATAATTGGTCAGCAATATCAATCATTACAAAAAATATGAAATTGTAGAAATAATCCCCAAAACTGTTTGAAAATACATCAACATCACTATTTCTTCTTGCTGTGTTTGTCACTGCACCCCTCTTCCTCTGGATTGAGTGTCACATTTCATTCTACTATCTATATTAAGATATAACAAGAATTATGTACCAGAACAGGTTCTGTCGGGTCATCATGGAGAATGTTTTGTCCATACTGAGTCATAAAGACAATTGGTGGATCATTCAGTTGTGCAACACTGATAGTCAACGTAATCAATCTGTGAACAGCAGTGATTGAATTATCTCGCTGAACCTCCTGTAGAACAACTGGTATCTGTTCCTTACCAGTACAATCTCTACATGGGGTATAAAGTAATCTGAAAGCAGAACAATGCAATGTTCACCCTAAACAAAATCATATTTTGAGTGACATGGAGGCACTTTGTTTACACGTTTTTATCCGCAAAGATAGATCTATACAATACTAAATCAAAATTTCACCGTTATGTGGATTAACTATCGACATACAATTCAAAATACACCAAATGAATAGAACAATGAAACTTTACTGTTTTTCTAAGTTTGGAAATGGTTACAACTTGTTCATAAATTTTAAAATGTCAGGAAATTCTGGCAAACATGGCAAACAACATATAATCAATATAAATTAATAATTAGGTTTTATAAAACTGAGAATGGAAACGGGGAATGCGTCAAAGTGACAACAACCCGACCAAAGAGCAGAAAACATACATAAGCTAAAATCTCGTTATTTTGTTTGTCCGGCGGCAAGTCAGTTCATTTCATCAATGGAACACTAAATGCATTGGGATAAAATATCAATGCCATCAGGAAATTAACTTAATCTTACAATACAACACTTCCTGGTTATGATGTTATATAATTTCGGTTGAATAGTTTAAAGGTTTCACAGATAAGACAGTATGTGATAATGACACAGACAGTGAAAGATCTATATGCATATCAACGCAGTTGACATTAAACTAAACTTACATTCCAGTTTTAGTTAAAAATAATGTTCCATTTATATCAGAAACATTGAAGGATGGTTCAATAAAGTACTCAATCAAATCATTTTCTTCATCAGAAGCTCTCAGAGTATATTGTATGGTGCCTGGAAAATTAAAATGCAATGGTTATATGAACACCTTTCATTTTGCCACTGAAAACTGTCAAGGTTAGAATATATTATCTTGATTTACAAACACATACTTGCATCAAACCATTTAAACCATTATTCAAGAGTTTATATTTGAAACTGATCAGTTGCATTAACCTTGACGTTTTAAAATATTTGTCCAATTCTTATTTCAATATTGATAAAGTGAACAGCTGATGTCAAATGATTTTACAATCCATCTTTCTGAGTTCGACCTGATCAACTATTTTGTTTAATCATATCATTTAAAAAAGCATTTTCGGAGGAATATTTTTACGAAAAAGTTTATAAACAACCAACATAGGTCATAATGAAAATATCTAAAATTTTTGTTTGCGCCATGTTGTGTAACAAAAATGGAATACGGTCATTGGACACAGATACCCTTGCTAATATAATGGAGACAGGAGAAGCATCAAGTATTTCAGACTAGAATGTTTATAAATAGGCATTATACGTCATTTGGTCTGTATTGGAGAGTTGTCTCATTGGCAATCATATCACATCTTATAATAACTCTGAAAAGCCTATTTGAAATGCTTTAATTTTAAATTAATCTGTATTAAATCACTCCTAACAATTTCAAATATTAAATTATTGAGTGATAGCTAACTCAAGTTTTCATCTGAAAACATTTTGTAGTATTTTCGGGGACTAAAAATTAACCCAAGATTTAACAGTTATTGCCTTTTTTGTGCAAAATGCACATATTGCAGGAATGTAGAAATTTTTCAAACTCATCCAAGACTAACTAACATAAAGAACACACCTTGATCTTCGTCCATTATCAAAATATCAGGACTCAACAATACAGGTGGTGAGTTGTAAACATTCTTATCAACAACAGCAACAATAAACTGTGTTTCTTCTGAGAAATAAGCTCCTTCAGCAAATCTTCTCTTCCTCTTTATGGTGTCTGATTGTACTGATCTTGTATTACAAACCTAAACAGTAAGTTGAGAGTATGTACTAAATACATTGTCAATTTGAATGATATATGTCTGACGACACAAACCACCCTCTAGACCAACTCTGCAAACATGAAGAAAATTTGAATTTACACAGAAATCGCATCTGATGTGGTACATGTTATGTTGCCACTATGAATACCAACTAATTAGTTACAATTAGGATTATTTAAAGAGAGTCTTCAAATCAGCATTCTTATACAGCTGGAAAATATTTGGCGTTGTTTGTTTAGAGGAGAATGTTAAAACTGACCCACAAGAATTAAGGACTGCCACTAGCAGGTATCTTTTTCATATAAGCTAAATGCAATGTGGATTTTGTTATACATAGGACCTTACATACATTATTCCTACTAAGTCTTTATCAAATTGATGGTGGATGTTAGAATATACGCGTACACAGGCTCCTTGTTAAACTTTCAGGCAGATCTGAAAGACATTCATTTCTGAGACTGTTATATCGGTCTTCTGGAAAAAAAATACTGCCAAGCGACCACTACAGAAGTTATATTTTTCATCATTTTTTTTTGTTTACAAACATTAATGATGTTTAAAATCTTAAGGTTTTATGAACCTTTTTTTACCCAAGTGAAGCACATACATTCTCTAAAAGAAAATATAATTTAACCCATTTCGTCCTATAATGGCAATGAATGTTGATGAACATTCAACTGTGACTTCACTGTTAGAGTTGATTTCCACCTATTGCAGTTCACTTAAAATTCTGACCAAATTCTGCAAATTGTTTTATCAAATCCAACTGTTCCATTTGTATGAAATTTTAACCAACTGCTGTAGAAAACCACAATATAGTCATAAAAGTGCACAGAGATAAAATAAAGCATATTTACAATCCTATAAAATGTCAATTCCACTTCAAACAATTTTGAAGGATATATTCATTGTAATGGGTCATTTAAAAAGAAAGGTGCTACTTTTCGAATTGTTAAAAAAAATGTCAAAATTAAGGTTTTAAGTATCTCTCCCTTAGGTTGTTTCTCTAGTCATGGTTCAAAGTTGTCATTAAATTAAAATCTAAACTACTACATGAAATGTATTTATACATGTAGCTTAAATATTTTTCATGAAGTTTAAAGGAATATTAGACAATGAGTATGAGGAAAAGATATTAGATTATCTCCACTGGAAACTTACCAGTAACAGCATATTGTAACTTCACATACATATTACGGAAGATAACATGTTTTAATTCAAACTGATGTCTGATTCTTACAAATATAGAAGAATTTTTAAAAGAAAAACAGTATGCAAATTTAGATTGGACATTTTGATAGCATTTCAAAAATTACTATCTCTCACCTTTTCAATGACTCTTTACAATAACAATATATAAAGAAATGTTTAGCAACACGTTCTTAATAGCGATGAAGTGGAATTCAAATCGTATTGTAAGTATGCTTTATTTTATCAACTTGCACTTTGAAGGTTGTGTTCTTTTCAGCATTTTTTTAAAAAAGTTTGACGAGTTGAACTGTGATTTGATAAAACTAATTGCACATTTTTAATGAACTACAATAGGTAGAGAGAAACACTTATAATCAAGTTACTGTAAAAGGAAACTACAAGTTACTGTAAAAGGAAACTACAAGTTACTGTAAAAGGAAACTACAACTAAATACTTACAAAAAAGGTCTGAGTTCTATCTGTATTTTTTGTTACTCCATCAGAGTCATCACATGTCCTATACGAAAGCATCCACTGCTGTTCAACTATGTAAACAAATATAATAAGTATTAACAAGAGGATCCAATAATCCTGTATTCTAATATGACGTCCTTCTTTCGCTTTGCAGACAAACGCATGTTTTTATTCCAATAGAACATGAGTTGCACAAGATTGACGTCACAATCAAAATTGCAATTGCTGTTGTATTTTGTACAACGCCGTAGATCAAAATGAACATTTGTATTGGTGTGTTCGCTAGGAAGTTAAATAAAGATCACTCTAAAAGTAAGTTTCAATTTTAAATCGAGAAATAAATGGTTTTCTATAACGTTTTATCTTTCTCAAATTTCAAAATGGCTGCCTTTTTAATGTGTCTTAAAGATACAAATTTAAATTTTCGGCTGAATCAAAATTAAATGTAAAATGGCCTTCAAGTAGTTTCCAAACCTTTTTGCCTTGTAATTTTCTGAGACGATTTTTGAAAATTTACTATGTTAATAGCCTTATGTTAATTCTGCAAACTTTGGTTCAATTTCGGGCAGTGGTTTAAAAAGAGACGAACATGTCAATTCTCTAACAACAAACAGATAACAAGATTGACAGGCAGAAAACAGAAAAGTAAAATAACAAAAAACCGAACTCCAAGGAAAACCCAAAACGGAAAGTACCTTATCAAATGGCAAAATCAAAAGCTCAAAAACATCAAACGAATGGAAAACAACATGGTAAATTGATGACTTCGGCTCACATAGCCCTATTTTCAGGTGGGGTAATTAAAAGTATGTATGTATACATTTATGTGACGGCAACCCTAAAATCCAATAAAAGTAGACACCTGAATGGCCATTTCGCAGGGGCCTTATATCCATGATACCATGGTGCTATCTGCATAGATCTGAAAATAGAAAGTATTGCACATGTGGGGATAAGGAGTAAGTTTGGTAAGGGTTATTTTTGGCCCCGATTATTAAGTTCAATGTTTCAAGATAAAAAATTTATTAAGTTGATGAAAAGACATGTGAAAAAGTGAAATAGAACTCTTTTGTCAAAGTCTTGTTATAATACGTTGATTTTTACATCCCAATTAGATTTTTGCGAAATTTGACAAAATCGTCTGGATTTTTACCAAATTAAAGCTTGGGAAACATAGAGCGCAGGAGTCGACAAACTAAACATTCAAGTCAGAAATGTAAAATGTCTTAACAAACATTATGTTGTAAGATCTTATTTGTCGACGCATGCGCCCTATGTTTCCTGTCCAAAACATCAATAGAAATTTACCCGTTTTCATTGAATTTTCGTGGAAAAATCAAAATGAGTGATATTTGTGACGTCATGAATAAGATCACAAGTACTTAAATTTTCAACAAAAAGACATATCTCTTATCTAGTCATTGTATTAGCAATGATTCGTTTTGATATTGGTCAATGAATCCTAATTTGAAATTTTAGCTTGAAGTAGGGGCCATTTTTAGGGGCCTTATCGAACCAACTCCTTTTAGAAAACGGTGCTATATAAATTCAATGGTGCTATTTGATCAAACTGGGGAGAATGCTGACAAAAGGATAGTGTTATTAACATATATTAAACTATAAACATTCCAAGCCTAGGAAAGTGATTGATACGACTACAGTCATGGTCTTACTTGGACAAAAAAGATTTGTTATCAACAAACACAATTTGAGGAATAAAACCAAGTAAGAATATATCCTATCTGCTGACTTTGGATAAGTATGTATGTCAGGGTTATATTTGTTTTTGCCAACCCAACCTTTACTCTCTATGAGCAGAATAAAAAAAAATAAACAATGAATATAAAGAAAAACTAAGGAAAGAAAAAACATAGATAATGTTAAAAGACAATATATGTTTACACTAATAATATTCAATGATACTTACTTGGGTTCCAATGAATAAGAGAAATTCTTGAAACTTCATCTTCATCCTGTTTTCTTTCAACTGTTATGTTCAAAGGTCCTGGCATAGGCAGGTGACCAACTGGTGTTATTGAGAAAGAATATAGAATAGATCTTATCCTACAATGATATGAAAGAAATCATTATAATATTGTATGTGTTTATTAATGGCAGAATGTATGAGATATATGAATACGCATACAAAACAGATTTTCAAATGAAAGAAGAATGTAAAGCCCGTTTTGGTCCATTATATATATTAACTTTTAAGATATCAAATACCATCATTCAGATATACATTGGACATTAGTTTGTCAGAATCAGTTAAAATATACTTGAATTTTGTCCTACATATTTCCTATACACATTAATCTTCTCACAATTTAAACTTTTAAAATTACTGTCTTTTTAGATCTTTCGATCAGTGTATTTATATTTGAGCAACAACTGTGCAATTTGCACTTCTTCTTGCAAATTGCTGGTTTGAGTAAAAAAAATCTTTGGGGGTAAGTACATGTACATCCATTAAATCACAATCAATATGCACATGGCACTTTGTTGTCAAAAATGTAAATTAGGACATAAAAAATAACCTTCCTGTGAAAGAGTGACCAGACAAAACTACTAGTATATCATCAAACTCAATAATCAATAAAATAATATTATTCTGAAAGGATTGAAACAATTTTACAACTACTATTTAGAGGCCCAAAACAAAGACTATATCATATCCCTTGTTTCGAAACCCAAATAAGTTTTTTTTATCAATCTTTACCCAGAAAAGATTTCAGTCTATATAATATGAGAGTGAACAAAAAAGAAAAAAAGGTGTTCACTTATTGTAAGTCATAAACAAACCTTTTATACAATAATCTCTCTACCATATCCTCAGTTTCAGAAGGATTTACAATATATGGCTGGAAATTAAGTGCAACATCAGCTCTGAAGTCTGTTGATAAGTCTTCATCGTCTAATGGCTGCAGCATTATACTTTGTCCTGGCATTAATCCTGTCAAAAGTATAGTTGGTAAAAATATAAAGACTAGTTATGGCTATTACAAAGGATATATGCTACTGCTAATAGCGTTACTACAGACTATAAAAGAGAGGCGAAAGATACTAGAGGGACATTCAAACGTATAAGTCGAAAATAAACTGACAACGCCATGGCTTAAAAAGAAAAGACCAACAGACAAACAATAAAACACAAAACACAACATGAAAACTAAAGACTGAGCAACACGAACCCCACCAAAACTGGAGGTGATCTCAGGTGGTCCAGAAGGGTAAGCAGATCCTGCTCCACCTGTGTCACCCGTCGTGTTGCTCATACTAGTACAAACCCGGTAATAAGTTTAATTCGGTAGGTAACATTCGGGAAAGGGGACGGAATTGTAGTTACGACATTAGGAACATATCCGCTATCATCTGTGAAATGGATATTCCATAACGGTCAACCAACTCGTGATGGCGTCCGTAAAACTTACTAAGGGATGATTTCAGCTTTTCCACTTGGAACTCTTGGTTTAATAGCTTCCATGTGAGCAGCAACCCTCTATCAAGGAAATCATGATAGGAAATACAAGCCCTGGAATATCTATGGCAAAACATTTAAGTAATTCATGAGATTTTTCATTATTTCCTGAGCTTTAAATTTACTAGAACATAGTACTTGCAAGTACTTATTATAATCAAATATAATACATCAAGTTAAGCTTTTTTCAAAATATATTTTAATGTAAGTGTTGGTGATCATCCCCACCAATTCATCTCCAATTTTACCCAATTGTTTTGAGTTTCATTAGATCAAAATCAATCTGTTCAGAAATTTATCCAATCTAATCTCAAAGAGCCACTGTGTTATAGTGCAAGTGCAAAAATAAAAAAAAAATATTGTTACAATCCTATTAGATTTTATTTTCACTACATCTTTACATTCATACTTTGGCTTAATAACTTTCATGTTAAAGTGATATGAAAGATAAGGTAACGAATTTTAAAGTGCCATGTTACTATCAAATTCAAGCATTCACTTTATGGTTAACAAACATCAATTTGAATTTTAATCCTGAAATATTCAGTAAAATAATTGCAATCTTTTAAAATCCTTAGATAATGTAATTGCTTTTTCTCTTCTTATTCCAAGTCATCTAGGATATTTATCAAATTTGGAATTTCTGATACCAGAACTCATCCAAAATATCTTAAAGTATTTGTCAGCTATGTATGGTACTACAGCTTTGAAATCAAATAATTTCAATCCATTACAATGTGTCAATTAGACAATATGATTCCTCTGTTTTATTTACAGTAACATGTCAGCAGAAAAGTACAGAACTATTTTTCAAAGTGGACACCCTAAGGATGACATTAGCCAAGTTGTACATTGGCATAAAAGCAACATTTTAGCTTAATGGCATTAGGATCAAACATACCTTCAGGAGTTGTTACAGATAACACTGGAGTTTCTCTTTTTTCTCTTCTAGAAGAAGACATATCATAATCAATACGGATACTTTCCCCATGTTCTGAAGTTTGTAGTTTAGTCGTGTTGTTTGTGATAGTAACAGAACCAAGGGATTTATTAGAACACAACATAGCTTCATTACAGACTCGCATTGTCATAAACAAAGTTCTACCAGGTTCCATGTGAAATGTTTCACTCACATCAACACTTGAATTGTTGCTATTATTCTGAATCTGCATTACTGATAATGGTCTAGTTTTATATCCATTTATATAAAGATAACCATCCTTTATCATTGCTGACCCAGATGCATTTAATCCAACCCACTGGCAAGGTAATATGTCATCTATGTATTCAGCACTTCCGATACACATATCTAAAATGAAAAAGAGGGTGCAAATAGGACATTGTTTGGCTTCATTTATACTTATCATACTGTTGTTCTGGTTTTGGTAACATTTAATTAAGTGATGTCTGTATTAAATACAATATACTACGGTATGAAAAAAATCAGAATAAATAAGTATTTGTTAAGCAGGTAACTGCTGAGCGATGAACCTGAAACCATGTCAAAAGGAATAGCATGCTGACATGAAACTTAAATGCGACGGAAATTTAATTGGACGGACATACAGACGACAGACGAACATATTGACAGACCGACAGACAGACAGGAAAAAACAGTATACCGAACTCCGCCGGAATATATGATTTCATTTGAAGAAGTTCAGTATTATATTTATTTTAAACAGAGAAACAACAAGTATTCCATTTTAAAAATGTGTTGAGATGTGTTATGTACGGTTATGTCACTTCATTGTTTTATCCTGCTTTAATTTTTGGTTTTTATACAAAGCAATACTTGTAATGCTGCTTGAGAATCGAAATTTGTGTCTAGAAACAATAGATATAAGAATTCAATAATTCAAATTCTTTATGTTCCTCTACATGTATAACTATATTATTATGGATTGTCTCAAGCTTGGCAGACACGGTCATTCCAACAAAAAAATAGTGATAATATTTAATGACATCTCACACTTACCATATTTAATAACAGATTTATCTTCACTGGCAGTAAATGTCATCCCTATAGATGTGGGATCAGTTGATTCCCTGGCATCTCTAGGATTGACTTTATTTGGAAATTCTTCTGTTCCAGGTAAAGTATTGTTCAAATCATCTGTTTCTGGTGGCACTAACAATACTATTACTCCTGAAAACAAAGATGTATAGCACAATTCATCATTTTATTAATACAATTTGTGACAATTCTAATTATTTGATAAATAAAAAATGCTGAATTTACTATAATCTTTTATTTGTTTTTTGTATTTACTACACAATTTTTTAAAAACTGTAAGCCTCAATCGTAATTTTCATATAAGACTATGTACGTACCTTTTGTTTCATTCCACTGTGTGAATGCCCCACCTCCATTGATACATCTAACAGAAACAAAATATGAAGTATTGTGATGTAATATTCCACTAAAGGTTTTATTTTCTGCTACCATTTCTCTACCAACAGACTGAAATTCCTGCAAGTCTTCTGCTCCAACTGTATTACCAATAGCCCATTGAATATCCTAAATAAGACATAAATAGATGTCATTTTTTAAACAAAGTGGTGAATTTGATCCATCTGTGAAAATGATTTAAACCACGCATTTGATTTTTTATGTACAAACAAAGACTTCGTCCAAGGTGGTGGCTGGGGCCATGCCTACTGTTTTTATAGATATTGATATTTGGTAAAAATAGTGCATACACGTAACATAAAATTGGTGAAAGACACACATAACCAGGTTGCAATACTTATCGCTTTTTTATTGTTAATGGATCATTTTAGATTTTAAGCCTGGTATCTATGATGAGTTTATTTATATGGTTTAAACAGAGAAAATTAGATAACCGCTTACCACAACTTGGCTTTCATCATCATAACATCTCCAAAATGCTTTTATTGTATCTTTAGATGCCTGATAATTTACTGGCGTAAATTCTCCTTGGGTGACATCTATATAGATTTGAGAATTCATTATATCAGTGTCAAAAACAGGTGGTGTGTCATCAACATAAAAGGCGCTTGATGATCTAGTAGCTTCTAGGCCGGATCCAAGAACAGCTTTCACTAAAATCCATAAAAATGGGGAAATCAAGTATACAAAATTTTATAATGTGAATGAGGAAGTAAGTAATCATTTGTGTTTTTTTCAAAACTAAATGCAAAAATATATTGAATTGACACCTCTAGGTACAATTTCATTCCTGTTTTTGGTCTAACATCAAACAGGAAATAGTATATGCAAGGTTACTTTTTTTTGTTTACTCAATATTATCCTTAATTAACTCAAGTTCTCAACTGATTTGCCACTTCAGAATTTAAAGGACTATGGGTAATTTCATTGTTGGTACACAAAACTGAATGTAGCATCATACCATTGGATGAAATTACACGGTTTATGACGTTTCAACCGATCAAATCACTTTGTATATACTTTTAAAAAACTTACACAGAAATCGTTAGATTTTGAAATGGCAAAACAATAAATCAACATTAAACTTAACACGGTGACGTAACATAGTTCCTCATTTTCATACATTCTACAAAGCAGATTCCAAATGGTATTTTATAATTCATTATAGGAATTGACTATCTGCACATTGAAGACTGACGTTATTAAGGGTATACATAGTTTGTATGGAACATGTCACTACCTGTTATATAGTAAGCCAGTGTTTTATTTTCCTGATGACCTGTTTCATTAACATATGTCTTTACTGGTGCTAGGTTTGTATCTTGTAAGGTAAATATATAATTTGTTGTATCATTAAGATTGCAGGCTGAATTACACATATATCTAGAACACAGTCCTTGACATGGTAAGCATGGTGCAAGTACTTCAATAAATGGTGACACATCAGTTAACAGTTTTTCACTCCCTATACCGGCTTCAAATTTTATAACTGGATTTGTTCCACCTCTGAATGGGTCACCATAGCGACAAAGGGAACCTTGTGGTGCCGGCATTATCAGATCTTTAAAAAAAGCTTTGGTGGAATATCTATTAAACATGTCTGCATTTTCTGGAACTGTGTTTTCACGATTCCAAACATGTAATACTAATTTTGCCTGATTACTGAGATATGGAATGCCACACATCATTGTTAGTTCCTCTCCATCAACAAACACAAATAAACACCATGAAATCTGTAAACAATAAGGACAAAGCAGTTCTAAATTGTGATGAAATAAAAATGTCAGCAAATGCTAGGTATTAGACAATGTATCCAATATATTTATTTATAGACATTCAGAGTTTGGAGATTGACATGCTGATCTGTGTAAAGTTCATATCCGAATCAAAATATTGTTTTCAAATGAACATGGTTTTTGATTAATAAGGTATTTAAATAATCAGATGCAAAAGAACTGGCCTTTCTTTAGTCATAAATATAAAAAATAAAAAATTCTAACAAATCGATTTACTTAATTAACAAATATTTTACTAACATCAACAGCATCATCTCTTTCAGGTCTGATTTCTATCTTAAAATCGTGAAAATTTTCAGAAGGGTCAAACCCTAAACTCATCTTTGTCTTCATTGGGTTAAATGTGTTGTTGTAAGACTGGCACCAGGTTACAATCATTGGGTCTTCGCCTAAAACAAATAATGAGCATATTATAAAATATCGAAGGAAAAAGAAAACTACATACTGCCTTTAATCATTATTTGGATGATGCTTTTTTCAAGCCATGAACTCTGAAAAGTTTCTTAACATTCAGAAAAGTGAAACTGTTGGCCTTGTTATATGATTTTCTAAGGAAAAACACTCTGCCTACAGGATTTTTATTGTAAAGGAAGACAATTCCATTTGCAATGTTTATTTTATTCAGTTTTACAATTTGCCAAGACCATAATTGTGGATTAACTTATAACATGCAAGATCCTTGCTTATAAAACAGTTTTTGATGTGAAGTGTGTGTATATAAATATTGTAATATAAAACTTAGTATAGTCTACATTGATTTATTACCACAGGGTTCCATTCCAGTTAACTGTTAGTCCTAATATGGTAAGTATTACCTTATATGTTGTTAAAGTTTCTACATTGGTCAAGACTTAATTAATAAATTGTAAACAATTCCCAGCTAATAAATGTTTCAATTTTTACAAAAACTTATTTTGCAAAGCACTCAAAAATGTTTGAGTCTGCCAAGGAAGGTGCCTCCGAATGATATAAGCAGAAATTGCGAAGTCTATGTTTTGCTACACATATGGGGAAACACAAAAAAAGATTAGATAAAATATCAAAATAGCAGGGGCACAACTGCTTGTTGAATAAAATGTTTTTGTACGCAGAAATGTCTTACGCAATGTTTTAATAGGGGAATCTCAAAAATCTCTCATATCTACATTTTACAGTATACATCTTCGAGTTTTGATTTATGGCCCTTTTACATTAAGAATTATTGGTTGCCTTCCGAATGACATATACCCGTAATGCAAATAAATTCAACTGAATACAAAAATAATGCCTGTAGTAGCATGTATGATTGTGTCCAATGGAGTCTCTACAAATGAAAAATTATGATTTGTAAAAAGTTACCAGAAAATATCTGTATACCACAAGCTGCCTGTGTGATAGGTATACTAGTGTCTATTGGAGTATCTACAATACTTCCATCAGGATTGTTTACTATTTCATACTGTTGTATTGTTGTATTTAGCACTGGTTGTTCTGTTGTTGTTGAAGTTGTTAAAACTGGCAATGTTTTGTTCCCATATTTGTTATATAAATATTCTGTACAATTACAGTAACTACAAGCCTAAAATCATTAATGAATACACTCATGAAACAAATGTACTCTACAGAAGACAAGGATTTCTGAGAAAATTTTTTTTTTCTCAAGAATATGTGCACATCATGCTACCCTCGCACTATTAATTTCATTGTTTAGTCACCTAAACATCTTGGGCTGAAAGACCAAGTTCATTTTAGCCTTGAATTTTAACTTTATCATAATATACAAAAAAAGACACATTTTGGGTCTTAAAAGGTTCTATAACAAAAGTTGTAATGGTAAATAAAGCAAATCAGTTTATTACAAGAGTGCATGATATGATCAAAACACAGCACATTTTGGATGTTTTGTCAAGACACGAAGATTTTTGTGCATTTCATCGACCTGAATGCTTCAGAAAATTTTAGCCTCAATCTATGGTCCAACATGTTCTGTCACCAAAAAAGGTGCCTTGGTTAAATTGAATTCCAGGAAAAAAATAGGTAGGGGCCAACGATATTTATGCAAAAATATGTTCAAAGTTATGAAAAAGGGACCAAAACAGAGATTTAAACATTCATAATGCATACTTTAGGAATTAATCAACTCGTCATTGATATTCCAAAAAATGGTTTCAGAAAGTATCAAAGGTCAAAATTTGTAGTACTTCAAACACATCATTTAAACATCGAAGTTTAAGGAACAATCTTAATCCTTTGTAAACTCTCTCCCTTAGCATAACTTTTGAAAATTCAACACGATAAGGAACATGTGCACGAAGTTTCAAGTAAATGACCACAACTTCATGGTAAGCTAACGTAAACCAATACTTCAATCCAATATATTTTATATTCAATAAACCGTGAAATAAGGATACAAACCATAAATATTCTAACACTTTTCTATCCTTATGATCATGTATTGATCAGATAAGTTAAGCCCTATTCAATTGAAGTTTTTATATGATGTTGTACTGTTACACCACTGTCCCAGGATAGGGGGTGTTGGCACCGGCAATCATGTTTAACCCAACCACATTCTGTATGTTCTTGTCCCAAGTCAGGAGCCTGTAATTCTGCGGTTGTTATTTGTTGTTGTTCATCTTTTATTGTTTTTCGTTTATTGTTTTGTATATAATCAGGTGGTCAGTTTTTTCGTTTGAATTGTTTTACATTAATTTTCTCGGAGTCTTTTGTAGCTTACTATGCGGCATAAGTTTTGTTTATTATCGAGGCCGTAAGGTGACTTATAGTTGTTATCCTGTACTTCATTTGGTCTCTGGTGGAGAGTTGTCTCATTGGCAATCATACCACATCTTACATTTATGTGTACTAACTAAACTCATCATAGAGTTAACATTTTGTACGCCAGACCCAAGTTTTGTCTACAAAAGTTTCATCAATGATACATAAAATTGATTTTAATTTGATTGCAACACATTATTTGCAATGCACACCAGTCATTGTGAGAAACTAATAACTTTTGAAAATTAAGCCCATTTAAAGTTGTCACCTTCATCTCATATAAAAAAAAATCAAACTAGTGGTGTCAATATAGAAGGCATTAAACTCTTAACCAAGTTGGCACATTTTGTCATTCAAGTTAAAATTCCGAATGATTTGTAAAACTCAGTAGATTAAAAATCTCTGTTAGATTGAGTATTTTTATTATCACTCTCTGACAAAGACAATAAGCATGATTTTACTCTGTCAAGAAATTACCGGAAACTACAGACAGAAAGATAACATTTAAAGTCGGAAAAGTCAAATTCAATGTTTGAATGTCAGAGCATCAAAATGATTTTTCCTTACTTACTCATTGTTTCGACATCTATCATGAATTGTGTTAATGGAATACCTTTTATCGAAGATAATTTGGAGAGGAATGGCATCTCTAAATGAGAACTCCATTAAAAGTTACAGAATCATAGAAATTAAAATCAATTGATCCAACTTATGTATAAAAAGATTAAGATTAAGATTCAACAGAATGGGGCTTAAGGAAAAAGCTAAATACATGAACAATTCATTACGGACTTACAAATTTATTTTGAACTATGTAAGAATAAAAAAGACTGAAGATGGGTACTTTTTTTTCTTTGTCACAGAATTATAACTCACAACCTTTGATAACTCAAACCTCAATTACGTGAAATATTGAGTCCCCGATATATATGGTATCGACTGTAAGTTGATTGTTTTCTATCTATATGATTATATCCAACTTAAGCATATAATCAAAGTATTGCATCAGCTTTTTCTTTACGATACTAATGTATTATATGCCGGTAATATACATACAACTGGAACTGGATCCATCAAACAGCATTCACAAACATGGGCTGCCCAATCATAGTCTTCTTCATAAGTGAATGTAGCTATTTCAGCTTCTGGTCCATCCCAGAACATGACACCAGTGATAGCTAGACCATCTCCTCCCGCTGCTTTAATAGTTACCTGAAGTATCAACGAAAGTCTTGGTGTAAACATCTATACTAAAATGGAAATATGATTTTTAGCCTAGTAATACTGCATCATTTAAAGGAATAAAATGATAAGCTCCGAATATCTGCATATGTATAAATCCTCCTCTTTTTTGTTTCATAATGTCATTCATTAGTATTAATTTGAACCCATTTTATAGCCTTATCACTCGTATTAATAAATAACAAAATTTCTAAGCAATTTGATTTACTCCTTCAATTGAATACAACCTCGCACAGTTTTTTTTTCGTTCTGAAACTGCACTATTATTTTGATCTCTATACTAGTAATACTTTTCATCAGCTACACAAACAGACTTTAATAAGAATATTTCAAACTAAAACAATTTTAGCATTTGCAAGTATTAAATTTTCATTTTTATTTAGTATTAAACATACACTGCTGTTTTAAAAAAAGATTATTATATTTTTAGAAAACTGTCATAAAATGGTATCTTTGAAGCAACTTACATGATAAACTCCACCATTTTCTATGTCGGCTGGTCTAACATAAGCACCTGTGAACATTTTATTCATATTATTGTGTCTAGCGAGCTTTACAGAGATAGCATTGTCATAGATCAGTGTATCGATGTTCTCTTTACGGTGATGTAACTTCCATATCGTACCGCTGGGATCTCTGAATCCTATTTGCTCAAGTCTTCTCCAATCACTATCGTTTATCATAGATATATGTCTGGATGGGCATCCTGGACCATCAGGGCTAGGCAAGTGTATTAAGGTACCTGCATTTAACAGAAATAATATGTGATAATATTGATTATTTTAGAGCTTATGTTCTTTGATTATAACCAATAAGGAAATATCCCACAAGTGAATGTATCATCACACTGTTGGGTAAAAATCAACTCCCTCCTTAATAATTATATATATAAAAAACAAAATTGATAAAAAATTGGCGATCAATTGAAATGTTTTCTACATCCTTTTAGCACTCGTGTGTTGCTCAGTTTTTTAGGGGACTAAACATATCTTACTTAAAATAATAAGAAAACAAGAATAATTAAAGAGGAATTTTGATTCAATACAAAATAAGACCTTTAACGATAGAAGAGTGATATACTAGCTAGCTATGAAATCGGATTTAACCCTCCATTTTCGTCCGAAAATTCTAGTATTAAGTCAATCTTACATAGTTCAAAATAAATTTGTAATTAAGTCAGGAATATAACAGTTGTTTCCTTTGTGAGGACTTCCCCTTTTTTAATTTACCTTTTAATTTTGTTTTTTGTTAATACTATTATACCTGTTACTGCTTTTCCTGAACTGAACCATACTTGTTCTTTTAAGAAATCTCTTCCAGCAACTACTTTCCCTTGTGTCGGTGTTGACAAGTCATACAATACTGGCGGAGAATCTTCTATTGTGTATAATCCTGCTTTATTTGTTACTTTAAATTGTACAATATATGGTGTGTATTCCTGATAATGAAATTGGAATAAAATTATGAAATTTACTGATAATTCCAACTGCACGTTGTATTAAAATGTATATGCATCTTGGTTTCATTACAACAAAGTATAATTTACCATTGTACTGCTATCGAGGACAAAAGAATGGTTAGAAAAAACTGGTATAGTTTTGTCATCAGTTCTTTTTAAAGATGAAGAATAAAGTTGTTTAAGTCTTTTCAATAGAATAACATAAGTCTGCATTTTATTAGATAGAGTTCCATAGTAGACCCCATATCAAAAAATTTATTTCAACCAATTGAGTACGTCAAACGGATAAACAGAAAGGTATGCCTCCTGTACACATGGTAAAAAAGTTAAAAAAAAGATAAATTCACCCTAACCTGAAACATTAGTATAGCATTACAACATAAAAATCAAATGAAATGGCTGAACTCGATCAAAATTTTTTTTTACAAAAGCAAGGAAACATACACTGAACGAATAAATTTGATCGATGACACAATATAAATACAATATGTAAAACAATGTCAAAAAGACAATTACAACCTTGGACAAAATGACGTTAAATAGAATAACGTACATTTGTAACTTTAAATATGATAATTTTGTTGTTAGGAGTACCGAAATATTTTTACAAAATAAATTTGTTGTTCATAGTACGAGAACAGAAGTAAAAATTTACCGTTATACTTAACACTTACCAAAGAGGGTACATATAAACAAGAGGCCCTCAAGAGCCTGAATCGCTCACCTGTAATTTTTTGCTTAAATCTTTCTTCAATGATTATTTTTGCTTTTCAATATATATTATTGAGTGGCTTAAAAATGCCATTTAAATGTTCTTTGTATCTGTCATATTTTCTTCAAAAGCAAAAAAAAAAAAAAATGCATTTTACCCTTATGTTGCATTTTAGCCATAGTGGTTATGTTTCTTGACATACAAGGAAATAAAATACAAAATTTATACTCGATACTCTGAAACTCATTCAGCCCAAGTTTGGCTGAAATTGATTCAGCAGTTTCAAAGGAGAAGTTTTTTTTTAAGTAAGCAAACTAAATAAACAAATTGTGAAAAATTGTCTTTAAAGGGCAATAACTCCTTAAGGGGTCAATTGACAATTTTGGTCATATAAAATTTATTTGTAGATCTTACTTTGCTGAGCATTTTTGCTGTTTACAGTTTATCTTTATCGATTATAATATTCAAGATAATAACCGAAAACTGCAAAATTTCCTTAAAATTACCAATTTAGTGGCAGCAACTTAACAATGGGTTATTAGATTCATCTGAAAATTTAAGGGCTGATAGAACTTTACCTTATGAACACGTTTACCCTATGTCAGATTTGCTCTAAATGCTATAGTTTTTGAGATATAAGCCAAAAACTACATTTTACCCCTATGTTCTATTTTTAGCTATGGCGGCCATGTTTTTTTGACGAAAAAAAAAATAAAACACAAACTTTATTTTAGATACCCTTAGGATCATTCAGCCTAAGTTTGGTTGGAATTGGTTCAGTAGTTTCAGAGGAGAAGATGTTTGAAATAGTTTACACCGTACGGACGACGACGACGGACGCCTTCGGAAAGGTGAGCTAAAATTGTGAGACGAGATATAACACAATACAAGCAAACATTGAATAACAAAAATGCATTAAAAATTGTGTCAACAGCTCAAATCTGCTTTTGCAGTTGTTAACTTTAATAAGTTGAAATATTAGATAAATTACACTTATAAAAAACCCATCAAAATGAGAAGAAAAACGAGAACCTGCATGACGTCATGAACCTACGTCATTGACGTTGTCTAGGAAAATCAAGATTTTACCCGTCGAACATAATGTTTCATCAAGGAAGATTCACTACGTTATTGGCCCATGAGAAAAGAAACATTTTATAGTCATATTATAGTCATTATTATCATATTTATTGGTCACTACAATTTTAAAGCATTAAATAATGATTTACATTGAATGAATAACACTATGTGTAAAACATACCTCAAGTTGTAGATCAACAAAGCTGTACCCCGTGTAATTACTTGTCAACTCTATCCAGTCATGTAATAATGTTTGTACATTTTGATATGAACAAGAAGAAGAATTCCATAAAGAAACTTCATAGGTTTCTATACCAGACTCTGGATCATTATAATCCTCCCATAGTACTTGTATGGTGCTGTTATCAACAGTGTAGGTAACAGACTGTGGATAAAACAACAACAATAAACTACTTTGCAAAAGTAACAAATGTTGCAATTAAAATCTGATTGCACGCCTTTTTACTTTACTGAAACATATTCTTACCTTTTTCTTAGAAATAGATAAGATAGATATTTTCCAAATCAATTTTTTGTCAAATACATTTGTAAAATTAGTTGTACAACAAAAACCACAGTGTTTTAGGAGATAACTGTTTTGTATTTTAAGCTCCGACAGCATCAATTGGTGATTTGATGGTAGTAAACGGGTATTTGCGACCATCAAATCACCAATTGATGCCTTCGGAGCTTAAAATACAATATTGTTATCTCCATTCTAATGAAACTGATGGCAAACAACGTCAAACAATACACTTAAAATCTGTCTTACGTCGTCTGCGTTTGCGCGTACGTTTTCATAGCATCAATTGTGAATTGATGCCATGAAAAATAGTGACGTTTTCAAATCAAAATGAGCGTTACAAACGATGTTGCATTAGAATGTCCCTTTACTGGTCTAACATTGGAACCTCAAGAAATATTTAGGATTCTTTTTCTTCTCAAGAACAGCAAAAACCAGATGTGAAGATTACAAGGAAGGGGTATTTACCAATTTGTTTTCTTTGGGTACAATTAAATGGCCACGATCACATTTATAATGGAAAAATAATCCTATGTAGTTGTAAAATTTCTCCCAGCCAAATATAACTTACCATATCATACAATGAGCCTGTAGTTAGCATGCCTTTGATAGGAGGTGTCAAATCAACAACAAAGTGGTAGGAAGTCATTGCACATTCACCTGACTCATCAACACCTGGAAAAATAAATCTTTTTACCAAAACTCCAAGGAATCATATATTTTACCTAATTCTGTCATAGATTTTATGATTTGGTTTGGAAATTTGTCTGCACCTGAAAATCTTATATTAGAGAGGGAATACAATACCTTAATTTTTACAACTTCGTCTTATTTGCCCTATGAATTTACTTATTCGTAAACAAAGGATATTGAATTAGCATTGCAGTAAGATCTTTGAATATTGCCCTTCATGAAACTAAAATCGACTATGTTTGGATAATTCAAAAAATAACTTAACATGAATTGCCAGTTGTGTAGCTACATGCATTTACATAAAATAATGATTGACAAAACTGCCTTTCAATTGTCCCCCGCGTAGCACACATTTTATATGTACATGGACAATAACTCTATATTAAATCTTTTCAGATTGATATCTTACAAGAAATATATGCAGATGTACGACCACATACGCCCTGTCATAAAACTATCTCTGTCAGGTGGGTGGGTCGCTTTGTAACCATGTTCCAATTTGCTCATAGGTTTTGTGTACACTACATTATTTTGCAAGCTACACCGTTAATTGCTATCCAGATATCCAGATATTAACACTAATATGATTTTATTTTGGTATCCTGATTTGCTTAGCCTGCTAAAGTCATCTTTACACTAAATTCATTAAAGGTTGCTGATTAATAATTTAGACCGAGACAATATGATTTATTTCTTATTTGAAATTGTCCAGGTATCTACATGATGATACCAAATCATTCTGCTAGGTAGAAAAAGCAGCGCTCCGATGAAACTAATATAAAAATAGATTTTATAAAATACCGTTCTTGTTGTACATTATGAACACATAATTAAAAACCTTCCAGTTATAGTCAGCAATAAACGAACTGTTCCAAAAAAGCATATTATATACATTGTACATCTTATTCGCATATATGATGCCATCAAGTGGCACATAAAGTAATTCTAAGTAACCTTTTTCAAACTGAATGAAAAACTACTTTCTTTACTTCATACTGTCTAAGATCTTTAAACATTAACATTTAAATCACTAAAGCTTACACTATGGTTAACGCAATATGATCATACTTTTGATAAGGCATGTAACCATTTCAAGACTTTGTGCATCAAAATGAGAAGTGGTTAAATATCACAATTTCAGCAAAAATGGGTCCAACACGTTCGTTATGCATGTGTGTGTAGTAATGTCATAGATATTAACGAATGTAATCAATGCATCACTGGTAAATGATTAAGTCAGGGATTTCGTTACCATAAACTACTTAAAACGTTTACTAAATTCTTTCATAGATACAAAGCTTTGAATAGTAAATTTGACCTGTTCAAAACGTATAAAAAACGGTATTTCACATCCTAAATTTAACGGTAATATTGTACTTAAAGCGCGGAAATCACAATGTGATCCGTGTAAACTCATCGAAACTTTAAACAAACTTATTTGTAAAGGTTATCTTATCAATGTTGTAATACGATCTTTGAATATTGTTTACATTGGCACAAATATAGATTTTATCATCAACAAATTAAAACATAACTAAATTTGTATTCTTTTCGAATGTTTTTTTTGGGATGTATAAATACACATCCACGTTTATTTTCTATATATACATTATACATATTTATTATAAGGTTAGTCTTAACTATCCTACTGCCTGTACTTTTATTTTTGGCATTGCAAAAGTCATGTCTTCTTTGACTATCCATGGCGTTAAAACACTAAATCCGTGGGATGTGTTTTGAATGATTTAAGTCTCTGATGCATGATTTTTTTATTATTAATTGTTTTTGGCTTTTTTAAATCAAACTAGCTTTCAGTAACTGTAAGTACTCTCAAATCGTACTTACGTGTCGATTTGACCTATTGACACAATTTGTTATGCATTTTTGTTCTTCAATAATTACTTGTTTTGTGTTATATCTCGTCTCACTATTTTTTATATGTACCACGTTTTAGAAGTGTTTAGTATTACGATAAATTTTCACTTCTGTTCTCGTACTATGAACAACAAATTTATTTTGTAAAAAATATTTCGGTTCTCCTAACTACAAAATTATTATTTAAAGTTACCTGTGTACGTTATTTTATTTAACGTCATTATGTCCCAGGTTATAGTTGTCGTTTTGACATTGTTTTACATTTTGTATTTATATTGTGTCATCGATCAAATTTATTCGTTCAGTGTATGTTTACTTGTGTTTGTTAATACTTCTTTTTTGATCGAGTTAAGCCATTTCATTTGATATTCTATAGTGTGTATTTCTATGTTGTAATGCTATAGTACTGTTTCAGGTTAGGGTGAAGGTTGGCGCCTGTTAAAACGTTTAAACCCGCTGCATTTGTTTTCACCTGTCCTAAGTCAGGAACCTGATGTACAGTGGTTGTTGTTTGTTGATGTCGTTCATAAGTGTTTCTCGTTTCTCGATTTTTATATAGATTAGACCGTTGGTTTTCCTGGGTATCGGGTCCGTTCGCCCTGATTACATATTCGCCCTGGGTTCGTTCGCCCTGAGTCCGTTCGCCCTAGGTTCGTTCGCCCTACTTTAAAACTAAATTAATATAGTGGTATTAAGGTTTAATAAACATATTCAGATATTTATATGATCAATATTACCGAAAATATATATTCTCGAAATTATGAAAAAACATGGAAATATTTAAAAATTAATGGCTTGTTTTGGAGCATTAATGGGCTTCATTCTTACATTTGTTTTATTTAGAATAAATTTTAATGACTGTTTATTGTAATTTAGGGTGACATATGATATCTGTTTCTCCCACTTTTAATTATTTAGAATGCTGATTAGGTATAATCATGATGTTTTTGAGCTCACTTATTTTTGTATTAATTATATTTGTTGGATTAATAATGAAAGTAATATTTTTTTTTAAATAAACTAGTCAGCTTGGAATGAGTAAAAACAACGATGTACGAATTGTAAGACATAAAAGGGATTTTTGATTCGCACACAAGTTCGTTTTGACACATTTCCTATATAAAAAATAAGTGCTCTTTAAAATAATAGTGTAAAAAATTAAGGACATAACTGGTTTGTGATGCGAAGTTCGAATTGGATCTTATACTGTTAATGATTGTTCTGAAATTGTTAATATTTATCAATAAGGATAAATACATGCAGATAACATGGTCTTTAGTTGTTTTATATCAAATACCTTGTATTCCCGGTACTCTACAGTGCAGATCAAAGGAAAATAATTTTTTGGTAGCAGCAATACAGCATAAATATTCAGCGAAATTTTCAACAAACTTTAACATACTCTTTTCAAATAATAATATACAACAAGACAACAAAATAAAATAAAAATCAAGAGCGAACGGACTCAGGGCGAACGGACCCAGAGCGAACAGGTATTAGCGCGAACCTGGTACTAGGGCGAACACGAATCAGGTCGAACGGACCCGGATTCGTTTTCCTGTTTGAATTGTTTTACCCTAGTCATTGTGGGGCCCTTTATAGCTTGCTGTTCGGTGTGAGCCAAGTCTCTGTATTCAAGGCAATACTTTGACCTATAATGGTATACTTTATACAAATTGTGACTTTGATGGAGAGTTGTCTCATTGACACTCATTCCATATCTTCTTATATCTACTTAACACAGACAAATAATTTAAATAAACGGAATAGGTTTTCCAACAGCTCTCCTCAACTTCATTAGGGTAAATTGAGAACTGTAAACTTTAACACACTGATACAACCGACTTAATACTAACCTATAACCCAGGCAAAATAACTTTCTCCATGTTCCAACTCTAGATTCTCAAAACTGTAATAGGTGTTTTCATTTATATTTGTGAGAGAGAATATATTGTACAATTTATCCCTCTCTTCATTAGAGGCCTTTCCACCTTCAATCTAAGAAAAAACAAGAATAACATAGAACTTATTATGCTTCATTTTTAACTTAATTATATTTCAAGAGTTGACACACATTAATCTCTAAACCTTCAGCAATTTTCAAACTCTTTCAAAAGGTAATGAACTATTTTACTTCAGATAAAGGTCAGATAAAGCTTGTCAGATGTACAATTTCCTTCATAATCAAAATAACAGTTTTCGCATTCTTTTTTAATCCAAACACTTAAAGATTTTTTTAGGATTTAACCAGCATATTTTAATTTCAATAATTGTATAAAAACATCATGAGCTACATGTACTAAATATGGTAAGAACAGTTTGGATCAATAGCAAAAACCAAATACCATTTTTACAAACACTTCAAAGGCTTTTCTCATGGTCAGTAATTTAGAGCAATATTCATAGGTATGAAATGTTTGCCTGTTACATATATTTAAAATAATTCTGCTCCAAACTGAAAATAAAAGATAATATCTTGAATTTGTAAAATTAGAAAAATCCTGCATGGAACAACTTAAATAAAATTCCATGTTTTTCAGGGTTCAAAGTAGCATTAGAATCTTGAAAATATTTTCAATATATCATGCATATATGTTTTGTTCTTTTATTTCTGAAATACAGATGTAGTCCAAAAATAGAAACCCTTCCAACTGAAGCTTGAAAATTATGGCATGTGCATAAATATATTAATTCCTTGCAGCCAAGTCACACATTAAATTTTGTCCACCATAATGCTCAGAAACTGAAGTGAAGTTAAGTCAAGTCCATATAAAATGTCAGATTGGCATATACTAATCATAATGTATTATCATATGATAATGTATAGACCAAAAAAATACTTTTACACTAAATTCTTTAAAGAATATGCTTTTTGTCAAATTTTTTGCATCATGTTCCATCTTTAAATTTCAACTGATAAAATAGCTTGGCATTATCTATACATTTCGACGTTATATCTTTGGATATAAACCGATAAAGCAGCTAGTCATTACAAAAAACTTTAGTTTAAAACTTCTGTTATGAAATATTGAGATACATTTGATTTCAAAATGCTGCTATTTATTAACTTCGAATTTAATGAATTTTTAAGATTGTAATTTTCGCCTAAAAAGTACAATGAATGCAATTAGTTAGGCAATATTAACTTTTGTTTTTTGTTCGTCAAAGTAAGTTTGTGACTTTATAGTTTTTCAATATAATATATATATATATATATGTTTACAATATGATCTGCAATTCTACTATTAACGTTTTGAGAGTACAGAAAAATGCAAAAATCTCCGTTTTCTTCACAACAAGTTTATTTGTTTTATCATAATAAAAAGACAAAAAACAAATATATATAAAGCATACATAGAATTGACAATCTGTCCCATCGGCCTCTGAATGGTTAGATAACGCAACATAATACATTAATATATCTAGTTTGGACTGGAATCCTTCAAACTGTACTCCAACCTGTGTTCTGTTCTTTACAAAATCTGCCATTATCATTTTCCCAGCTAGCAAATACAAAACAACCGTTAAATTATTATTTACAGAGTGTGCTAGTGACCCCATATGGAATAAACTGACCCCATATACATGTTGTATATCGTATTAGGTCACTAGCACACTGTGTAATGAATTTATCTTACCGACTATCGTAACATGTGGTATTTAGACTAGTGGCCTATCAAAGTGATCAAGTCTTCAATACTTATTATTAAGAACCTACTTCCATTGGTATATACACAATTAGCTTTTATTGTGCTTTATGAATTTATTTCAGTCGTTGATCATCAATTTCTTCGTCTGTTGATATATTTCAGATTTTTCCTCAACATCTTGATGTTTTTACAAAAGGACGTAACACCACTACTAACCGCCGTTTATTGAAATAAGTCACGCCTACTAACCCCATATGACATATACACGGTCTCCACGCGGTTGCTTTTAACCAATTATATTCCTAGAAATGTATAGGAGGTAAGATAAGATTTTATACCATATTTACCAAGTCTTTTTTCAGCTACTTTTGAAATCTTAATCATAATATTATTTTTATAAAACAGAGAGCTATATGTTATGGTTGCTAATTTGTACTCCGTATCAACTGTCTCTTTTTTGGCTGTTTTTCTCTACCTAACAAAGTTTTCAAGAAAATGTCCTTAAAGTAACAAAAGTTTTCATAATTGTCATTTAAAGATAACAAGGCAATTGGCAATTTTATTCATGTTGATTTATTTGTAGGACTAATATTGGATCATTTTACTGCTTACAATTCTCTCTTTATCTTTTAAAGTTTTGAAATCAATTGTAAAATAGCAAATTTAGCGTAAACAAGTCATCTTTTAAGGGGAGAAACTCCTCTAAGTAGTGAATTGCCAGTTCTAGTAATTTGACAAACAACATAAATTTAATCCTGCTGATCATTTAGGCTTGTTTACAGTTTTCCGTTATAGTTTTTTTTTCAAAGCAATTACTTCTTAAAGGAGACGATAAGTGAATTTTGATAAAAAAATGTATGGTTGGTGATATCAAAGCTAAGAAATATTTGTACAAAAGTGAGTTGAAAGGCATCATACAGTGTATAATAAAAGGGACAAAAATGCTTAGAATATCCACCTACTTTTTCCCACAAAAATGATCAGGCTACTGTTTAAAGGTTTTACAATGTATAGCCCTTATTCATAAACGTTTTGATCATTATTTCATTTTTGGTCAATAATCTTTAAAACTATGATAAATAGATATAAAACGTTAAACTACTAAATAAGAATCCTGAATGCAAAAAACAAATACAGACATCTATAAAAGTATGAATATTTAACACTTTAGCTGTAATCTATTAAGATTGTTCAATATTATATTAAGGAAATATTAACATAGTGAACACTATTTCAATATATCAATAGCAAAGAATATAACATTTTGAAGTCAATAATAATATTTCAAAAGTCGAAAAAAAATTGTTCTGGAATTTTTTAAAATTAGAATGGCAGAAAGGACAGAAAGAACTGTCAATAGGTACATATCAATGCTTTTTTTTTTTACTTGAAAGGGCAGATTTCAGAAATATCAGTATAGTAAATGAACTTCGTCAATTAACAATGTCCTGTTTCATTATTTCTCTATTCTGTATTGATAAATACCTGCAATACTACCATCAAATCCAACACGGAATCCATTAGATGTTACAGTGGCAATGGAGTAAGATGCACTATAGGCTTTAACAGTGGAATAGTACAATCCTGAACCAGGAACCAGATCAAGGTTGTAGAAGGTTACAGATGTATTCCTGCCAACATCAGTAAATGGTACAATGTTATCCCTTGTTTTAGGAAATCTTCTGTCAGTTCCCACAGCTACCTCATAATAGGTAACTTGTTGGTTGTCATTTTGTTCCTCAAGTATTCCTTTGTTTACATGAAGTCCAGGATTTCCTTTAAATCAAAAATATAATCGAAACAAATGTCATTAATTGTAATAGATTGTTTTGATAGTCATTACTTTAACATAAAATAATTGATAATAAAATGTCATTTAAAGGTAAACGTTTAATCAGCATTCATCTGATAATTTTGGTACACACACAAAATAGGTAGATCTTGACATTCTGTACAATGTTGTTCTAATACATGGTTCCAGGTATTAGCCATTTTTCTACATTCTAACCTTTTATATATCTTCCGCCATGGCATTCATGGTGCGTGATGGAGTGAAAATAAATGAACAAACTTTCCTCGAATCCTCTTAGGATCGTCATGTGAAGTTTTAATTAAATTGGTTCAACAGTTTTAGATGAAAAAATCTCTGAAAAAGGTTACAGTAAATGGAGGGTAAGTCATAGCTAGTACTCATACTACCAAAAGAATAGATTTCCTTACAAACAGAAAAGAATGAAGTTTAAAAGGCCTAGATAATAAAAAATTGTTTTTCTGTGACCATATTTTGTGGCTTATATTGGGGAAATATTTAGTGTTTTCTCTGAAAGCATAATTTTTTTTTATCTAAAATAAATATATCTATTTCTTTGGAACTCAAATGACTAAATAATAATAATATATTAATGATAAATTTAATAAAAAAAACCTGCATATGTGCATGTTTTTTTTGGCTACGGAAATAGAATTAAGCACATTGAGATTTTTGAAATTTTTGGATAATATGTCAAAGAATTCTTATACAAACCAAACATGGGAATACTGAAATGCAATTATACCATTATTTACAATGAAAATACCTGAAATAACATCAAACTGTGCTTTAGCGGCAGCCGGTAACCCAAAACCATCCCAGTTAGCTGATACCCTTGTCCTAGATGGCTGGAAGTTAAGGTCATATCCAGTTATATCTCCATCAAATACTTTCCCAGGGATTAGTGGGTCTTGTTGAATTGTGACACCATTAGATCTTATAATATATGTATAATTCAGTGCATTGGTTACTTTTAGTAATGAATAGTACAAAGCTCCACTTTTCATGTGTAGTTCATCATTCATTCCAGAGGTTCTCACTTAAAAAAACCATCATACGTATATACAATATATGTACATTTCAGAAAATCTGAAAAATAGTTATTTGAGCTTTAGAAGCACGATCAGTAGAGGCCTTATGGCTGGTCATTTATATTGTTTACAGTGTCTCACTATCTTATAACTTCTACAAACACAAAAGAGTGTAAAAAAATCGTTATTTTCGGGAAATCACTCCTATAAAGAGTCTACTATTTCGGCAAAATTTTACTTGTTTGTAGATCTTGTCTTGGTGATCATGTTTGTTATTAAAATTTTCTATCTATGTTTCTAGTTTTCAAAATAAAAGCCAAAACCGCTAAAATTGGAAAAAAAAGTAATTAAAGAGCAAGATATCCGATAACCTTAAATAGTCGACAATTGATTTCAACCATTATTTGTATTTCTTGTCTTGCTGGGCATTTTTGCTATTTAAAGTGTCTATCTATCTATTATAATTTCAGGCTAATTTGCCAAAAAAAAAACCCACTAAAAATTGGTAAAAACCGCCATTGAAGAGAAATAAAGAGTTGACTGAAGAATTTGGCCATAATACTTATTTGTAGATCTTATTTTGTTGATCAATTTTCAAGATTTTAGGCAAACATCGTCAATAAAAGGCCACTGACTCTAATAAAGAGTTGTCTGACGATTTCGGCTATATAGCAGTTTTCAAAATAGTATACAAAATTTGCATTTTACCCTTATGATATAATTTAGCCATGGCGGCAATCTTGGTTGTACGGCAGAGTCATAGAACAAGTTTCATAAACAAGATACCCTAACGATGATTGTAGCCAGCCACGTTTGGTTGAATTTGGACCAGTAGTTTCGGAGAAGATGACATTTGTAAAAGTTAAGGGACATCAAACGATGAAAGACGACGACAAATGACGGACGCGCACTGATGGGAAAAGCTTAAAACAAGGCTGCAAACATTTTTTAATTCCCAACATTATCAGTTATTATAGATTGTTTTATAGTCATTACTTTAATATACAATTAAAGCACTGCTGTATTTTATAATTTGTATTAAATAATGGTGTAACATTCAAGACAAGAATCTTTTCAAATTGCAATTGTTTTGTTGTGTATTCAACAGTAAGGATATTTAAGAATGTTGAATATCTTATCTCTTTTTCTTCTGGTCTGCATGTCCAGTAGGATAACTTAAAATTGTACAGTTTTAAAAAATATCATTAAGAATGTGAAACAAACCTCCCATATCCAGCCATTGCTGAATGATCTGGCCATCAAGTCTTTGTACTTGCCACTCATATTTCTGGATGGAACATGGATCACCAGAAACAACCCATGATGCTCTGTAGGTGTCAAAACTTTCCTGAAAATCTCTGATAAATATTTGCATAAAATCCATAAGATACATGATTTGATACATGTGTATCTAACAATATTACAAGCCATCATTTTTTTTTTAATCAGAACTAAATGACAGGAATTGTCGATCTTACAGACTGACTAGCAAATAATATCACCTTTCTTGAAGTGTCTGTTTATAAATTATTATTAACTCCTTCAGGCAAAGTTGACCTTAGATGGATTAAGCTATTAGTTTTAGGCATTTTTTAAAGTCATATGTCTTTTCAACTGTACCGGATTTGAGAAAATCCTTGGCTTTCAAATATTCGGCTATGAGCGTTCCTGTTGAAAACAAATCGAGAAAAGAGCTTCCGACGGTTGAAATTTGAAAGGTTTTATTTTCATTTTTCATCAGCATGGCATTTGATTTTCATTAGCATGATGACAGGCGATGGGGTTTTTAAAAATTGACGCTTGACTATAAGCATAAAAGAAGTAAATTAGTTGCCATTTCTTTTATTATTATTTGACTCTGATGAAAATCTACATTGTCTAACGACAGGTTATCAACAGAAAACAGATACCAATTGACGACAAAGGCTCCATGAATGAAAAAATAAAAAATAAACAAAGATTACATATATACAACTGGACAAACAACAAAACAATTATTTCACTTCTTTCAAATCCAAAGTCAAATGGATAGAGATATTATGCTTTAAAAATGTTATTTCAATCCACTTCTTATAAAAAGAAAATAGATCAAGTCTTGAGATCAGGAAAAGAGCAGATAACAAATTATTATTGAACAGATTGATATACTTACACATCTCCTATGGAGTTCCTAAGAATGTCATTTATTCCAATATGAGACACAGGAGGTAATCCTTGACTTAAATAAGATAGATGTAAGCCATTTGATGTAGCAACACTGGCTAACCCTGCTCCATTTTCACCTTTTACTGATACATACACCTTAACAAAATAATGGAAACATTTTTCAAAATAATTCAATTATACTTAAATACTTACAAAAAGATAATTTCCAACTAACAATATAATTAAAATTTGGGCCAGTTGAGCTGTCATTAGACGTTATGATTAAATTAGTTAGATGTAACAATTTACAGGTATTTTTAAGACAACCATCCCCCTTTTCTTAAAACACTCCTGATGAACGATAACAATTCATTTGAACAAGATCTTTAAAGCAAAGTCCTTCAGCATGATTTGTGTCAACTGTGCATAACCTTTACTGTGACTTTCTCGCTGGTATTTACACCTACACGCAGCCTCCTTATTTCATTAATTAAAAATTGTTCATCAAAATGTTATGAAAAGGTAAGTGTAAAACACGGACTCTTTTTTATTAAGTTTATAGTAACAAGATGAACCGCATGACTGTGCAAGAGATTTTGTGTTATTACCAGATATTTTAAACAGGATAGAATCATCAACATATGAAGTTTGATTATTTGTAGATATTGTTAGGGTGAGGGATATTTGGATTATGATATATGACGAATGTGCAGAGCTATGATGTCCATCAGATGCATCCTCATTGTAGCATATCAAGATCAAACGCTTTTGATGTGGGAAAAAATAAAATATGTTATAAAGCAAAATCAAGCTTTTGGATAGTATCGAAAAATTTACCGTTGTATATCCCATTAAATTAAGACCAGTAACTGTATGATATTTGGCATCTATTGGTATGTCAAAGAATGACCTTATCTGTCCTCCTCCAGGAGTTGTCCCTACTGCTATTTGATATCTGAAAAAAATATCAAACATTCTATAATAGTTTTAGCATAAAAGTGACAGCTAAGACATGAGTGAAATCTTGTATTGAAGAAACCATTGAATTTGGATATGCAGAAGCATAGTAAGATGATATAACTAAGAAATAAGCTACCCCCCTAAGTAACAATTTTTTTCCTAATGAAAACTTATCAATCCACAGTGATATAAACAACATTTAACAGTGACACAATAAAAAAAAGACTATATTAAGGTAATGATATCAATTTTCATTATAAAGATGTGAGTGTAACATACCTCACAATTCCTGATTCATAATCACTAAATGGTTGCCAAGTAACTGATACAGTGGATAAGGATTCTGAACATGTAGCATCAAGTGAATCACACTCTAGAATAGAAATAATAAGTGTTCGACTTGCTTAATTATTTTTTGTTATGAATATTAACATCCCAGTCTTATACGCAGATATGCACGTTTTTCATGTAAATCTTATTGCCCGTCAATAAAACAAGAAATAATGAAGAAACTATTGTTGCAACTCCATCAACAATGACCTTTGAAGAATTTTGCAAGAAAACTGCTAAAGTTTCAACGTATTTAGTCATCCTTGGCTTTCAAATATTTGGGTCTGGGTTTTTCAGATGATATTTTAAATTCAGAAAATCGCTTCGAATGTACAAAATAAAAAAAAATTACTATTTATTAATTATTTTTGATTATCTGATCATCTTTTCATGCTTCTGTTTGGTTTTCAATCTGAAAGGAAGTCCTTAGAAACAACCATTGTTGTTACATATATTAAAGCAACAATGGATGAGTTTATTTACAACTACTGAGACGATGACACGGTTGGTGGAGGTTTTCTCCCCGTTATATTATACAGAGAAAGATATATATAGTTGTGAGAAGCTATGGCATATTAGACAATAAATAAATATTTAGTTGGCTAGGCATTTGAATTTGATACTATAACGATTTCTCACCAACCAAGTAGTTAGCACTTCTATGTAGACATGAATTGTCATTGAAATGGTCATATATATATATATGAATTAACTATACATGTTTACCAAACTTCTTCAACTTCGTACTTTATTTTGAATTGGTTGCAATTTTGAAAAATGTCCTGTTTTATAATTCTTACTTGCCGTTTTTGAAATTTTAGTCTTTCTATTTCTTCAGGTTATATTAAAAAACTTAATAATGATAGTTCTATACTTTATATTGTGTGCTTATTTTTTTTATTGCTTATTTTTTTATTGATAATTAGAACTCATATGGATGTATGAATCAAACATGTATCAGAGGGTTTGCAACACTTAAGTCTAGTAGTAATTTATTTATTAAGTGTCTACATGTTGGACAAGTGCAATTAATTAGCTCATTGTTTATTTGGTCTATGATGTTGACAATCATTTAGTATTTCAATCTTTATTAATCCTTGTAGTTAAACTACATGTACCCTTTCTTTTTACAATCTCCTATCTGAACTTGACAGATATTTGCATGAGGTTAAGTTTACTCTTACCTTCTTCTTCATCGCACACTTTGGCATTTAAGTTGACAGTAACCTCGTTATCTGTCACATCTAACCTGTATGTTGTATGTAAATCTATCACTCTCCCATATTTTGGAGGAGTGGTATCTATAGCGATTGATCCAGAGAAGCCGTACGTTTCAAAATCAACCATATTAACGGCAGTCACAGTAACATAATACGATTTACCATGTTTCAGTTGTTTCGTGACTCCTAAAAAAATATATATATATTTAATTTAATGTTTGACTATAATGTGTTTTGAACTATTCTGTTGTGAAAATTGTAAAATGAGTAAACGATGGTTTCATTTAAATATATTCTTATAATTACTAGCACTAGATCTTAACCTTGAAATTTTAGCATGCGTATTTACAACAGTGTAACATATTTCATAGTTATTTCAGTCCTATTAAGATTGTCATCCTAAAATCAACTTGTTTGAAAGATCATCTCACCTTTCATGCAATACGGAAGGAATTTATAAAAAAAAACTTTTTAGACTTAATTAAAGTAAGTGCCTGTCCCAAGTAAGGAGCCTGTATTTCAGTGGTATCATTTGTTTCTATGTATCAGATTTGTTTTTCGCTAAGGCTTTCACAAGCTATGGAATGATGTTTACCTTGAATAGAATGTTCTGTAAAATACCCTGGTACCTCCATAGAATAAACATCAGAGGCACCTTGTTCAGAACCCATTGTAATTACAAATCTTTGAACAGGACTTTCACTGTCTAGAAATCCTGTCCACTTACAATAAATAGGAACCAAAATCTGCAATATAAGAGGATAGTGGATATATAATGGCCAAAATATTTAGACATTTTTCCTTACATTTTGATACTCAAATATTATAAAATACCACTAGTAATTCATTCCCATTTTGGACTCTTTTAGTCAAAACATAGAAAAACAAAGGATATGGTGAATTCATCAATGAAACAAAATCAGTATCTGCACAGCAAAAAAACACACAAAAAGCAAAGGAGCAGCGCTTTTATTGCAGTTATTCAACTCAAAGTAATACCTCACTGCAAGTTTTAGACCTTGTAATATGTAACACTACCTAATCTGGCCCGGTAAAAAAAAAAACTTACTTGAAAGTAGTACATATTTAAAACAGAATAGTCCCTACGCATAAAGGTAAATCTTATACTATGTAGCATATATTTTAGTAATTAAGGTATCAGGTGAAAGGTACATACATAGTATGGTCTGTATAATAAATGTTTTTAATATTCACAAATATATTATGTGCTTGTCCCAAGTCAGGAGCCTGTATTTCAGTGGTTGTCGTTTGTTGCTGTGTTACATATCTGTTTTTCGTTCATTGTGTTGTACATAAATTAGGCCGTTAGTTTTCTCGTTTTAGTTGTTTTACATTTGTCATTTCGTGGCCTTTTATAGCTGACTGCGGTATGGGCTTTGCTGATTGTTCAAGTCCGTACGGTGACCTATAGTTGTTAATTTCTGTGTCATTTGATTTCTTGTGAAGAGTTGTCTCATTGGCAATCATATCACATCTTCTTTTTATACAAAACGTAATACAGTCATCATATCAGAGGAGTAAAACAGAAGTAACCAGATAATATATTGCTTAATGTTCTATTTGAATCTATCACTTATGACCTCAGGATATGTCACTACATATTACATTGATAAGTTGTGTAAATTGTATAATTACAGTAGTTACCAATGTTCAAATCTCAAAGATTAATTAATAAGAAGAAACAAAAACGGAGGGATTCGCTTGCATTTCAAAATCAGTGAGACAGCGTTGACAGGGTAAGCATATCCTGCCATGCATGCACCACCATCATACAAATTCATACTCATTCAAAATTTCTAAATCAGGAATAGGACACAATCTGTAAATTTACAGATCGAACCACTCGTTATATCCCTTCATACTCTGCTTGAATCCTGGTTAAAACAGCACATTATAAATATGAATTATTCTTAAATGATCTAAATGTAACAACATGATGACTTGGTGAATTACGTTGTCTAAACATTAAAATCATATATAACTTACCCCTACATACTCTGGACATTTAACAACACCTGGACCTGGTGATGTTGTATCAAATATCACTCCTCCTGATGTAATTCGCCCCACAAGACCGGCTGCATTTTCTGCCCAAATACTGATTATGTTTGGTTTTCCTATAAAATGGAAGGAAGGTTATTTCGTATGATTTGTTATTATATTATAGAAATAAACCAGTGACGTATGTTTGGTTTTCCTATAAAATGGAAGGAAGGTTATTTCGTATGATTTGTTATTATATTATAGAAATAAACCAGTGACGTATGTTTGGTTTTCCTATAAAATGGAAGGAAGGTTATTTCGTATGATTTGTTATTACATTATAGAAATAAACCAGTGACGTATGCCCTCTTTGCTTTCTATGTTAAATTCATCAATTTTAGGCATCCATAACACTTTTTTTGAAGTACAAATAAAATGACGTCAAGTCAAAGATACAGCTTAGTGTGGTTTGTGCTAAAAAAAAACCCCAATTTTTTTTGCAGTTTAGAGCGTACGGATTATCGAAACATTGCAAGTACCATAAGCAGGTACAACATAAAAAATATGTTGCTCCTCTTTGAATATTATATTTTTAGTTTCTTATTAAAACAATTAGTCAAAAGTAATTTAAAATGGTCTCAAGTTCTTAAGCTTGGATTTTGAACCAGAGTTACAAAAAAATATTCGACATATTTTGAAAGTAACTCCCTATGTATAGGAACTATTTTGTTTTAAGATAGACTACTTTCTGGTGTAATCTTCTTGACTTGGCATTAAACAGTGGTTCTACATCTATAACTCCTTATGTAATGATATTGATTTCAATAATTTCTGAGTTAAAAATCTGAGCATTCTTGGTAGTAATTCCAGAAGATACTTCAAACACATCATTTCTTAAATGCAAAATTATTAATGTTTTACATTAATTTATACCTGACAGGTCTGGTAACACTGATGCCAATGGCAAGTTGCTTGTTAGTGTGGCATAGATATTAACTTCTCTCTTGTCATATACATCACTGCCATAAGGATATGTCCCAACAGAAAACCATGCTCTTTTTACATTGCTTTCTGTATCATTGTAATGCCACATTGCAGATAAAGCATCTGGTGTTTTCTGATACATGGTTGATCCTGCTCCTATGTATGTCTCTGAAGAGGTTTTATCAGTCAGCCTGCAAAAAAAGTCATGAAACTATTAATATTTTTCTAGTCACACAAACGATTCAATGTTCAATACATTTTCCGAAAGCTTAAGCTTTTATAAAACGTTTTCTGTTTTAAATTTTAAATATTCTTGAGCATCACCATAATTTGAGGTGACCTGTTGCATGTAAAGCCATCTGAGCTTTAAGGTATACGTGTCATTTATAATAGTAAGAATTGACATATTGACAATAAATTCATCAGACACAAAGTCTTTAGATATACATGTGCGTCACCATAAGTAAAGACGAACTATTAAAAGTGAATCCTTCAGATACAAAACTTTTTTGAATCTATAAAGTTCAAACCTGTAAGATATACCTATCCATTATGAACATATCAACAGTAAATATATAAGGTTCAAAACTTTAAACAAACTCATCATTGATACCAGCATTAAAATTGTGTATGTCAGAAGACGCAAGTTTCGTATTAACAAGACCCCCAGCGACGAGTTCAAAAGGCAAAAAACAGTACGAAGTTGAAGAGCATTAAGGACCCAAATTCCAAAAGGTTTTGATAAATACAACTAAGGTAATCTATTCCTGGGGAAGAAAATCCATAGTTTTCGACACATTCAAGGTTTTATAAACAATTAATTTATTTTTATGACCATATCAATGATGATTAATGTCAACACAGAAGTGCTGACTATTTGGCAAGTGATACCATCGGGGAATAAACTTCACCGACAGTGGCATCGACCCAGTGTTTGTAAAGAAGCTTATCATATATAACAGGATTAAAATTGTGTACTCAAGATACCCGTTTCGGGTAAATTACAGATGATAAACTGTAAGTGTACTGAGATAATTCACTTGCAGTCAGTTCAGCTGCTCTTGAAACAATTCAGTATGTTATTAACGTGTACAGGTAAATTACAACTACTGAACAGTCCGAACATAGACTGAACAGATCTGAATTGACTGTCGTGGATAAGTTTGAAAATTGTCTCAACGACTTTATCATCAAAGTAAGTCCATCTTAAACAACGCCTTTCTATATACCTGTCCATTACAACAGTTGGAGGTGACCGATCGACAGTAAATCCATCAGATACAGACTCCAGTACATTCCCAACATTTGTTATTCCTCTAACAGTAGTGTAATAAGTAACATTTGGTTGTAATTGTACTGTTGTATGAGCAAAACCAGCACTTGTCACACCTAAATAATAAATCATGAGTTTTCACCTGCATTATTATTATATTGAAATTCTATCCTAAGGAGTAATACTAACAGCAAATTCGTATGTAATTACCAACTTTGATTCCTCCAGGAAAGCATTATATCCTCTACCAACGAGGACATGAAAGGCCACCTGCATTTCTCTTAATTTTCTGATTCGTACACGCATTACATGTTATTACATATCTTTAATGTTTCACTGGAGTTGTCTCATTTAATTATATTTCCATAGAAATATAATACCATAGATTGAAATTTTTCAAAATATGGATTAAAATTTAAAAAATGCATCTTTTCAAATAAATATTTAACGAACAATGAAAGTTGCTAACATCAACATTATTTGGACGCTGGTGGACAGTTGTCTCATCGGCAATAATGAATGTCAAAAATTGGCATCAATATATTGCAAATTCAAGAAACAAGAGGGATGGTGTTGGGATAGTTTGTTTTCGAATATCATGGAATGAAATGTGAAAAGTCCAAATGATTTCAGAAAGGGTATTGCAGGCATTATGTGAATACTTTTGATGATTTTTTTAAATGTTAAGATTTTTTATTTATATTTGAACTTTTACAATGAAATCTAGATGGTCATGCAATATCCCTGGGTTCACCGTAGTTGCTTAGCACTAGTATTATATAGGACAGATTAAGAAGAAACGAGCAACATTTTTTTTTTTCTTATTCTTTTTAAAATCTATAAATTCAAAATATGGTTATATCTTTCCGTTATTTTCTACAATTTTTTTGTAACATTTCAGAGTATCATTACCATCTCCCTTTACATTCTTCTCCTCTTTATGAACAATTCCATGAGAAGTAAATGGCAGAACATCTTCTGCTGTTGGTGTTGTACCTACAGACCACTCATAGGACATAACACCATGCAAATGGCTGGTAAATTCACTAAACTGTGCTGATACTGTAGATGTATCAGACTGGTAGTTGATATCGTTTCCAACTGTATAATAGCTTTCTGTTCCATCTACTACAATGCCTAATAACAAAAGGAAATTCAGGATCATAATGAGTCTTTACTTTGCAACAATGCACAACTATAACTTAAAAGAGACTTATTTATCATTTGATAAATTATAGATTAAAATGTAAAACAAGGGATGAATCATAAGTTAGAGAATTCTTTTGATTATTCAGGTACAAGTAAATTACCTAACGGTTATTGTTATTTTCAATTTTTTATTGTTAACAATATCTCTTCATTCACCACTTATGTCAAAAATTGGCTTTGGTGGACACGTGGTCTAAGCAACCCAAACATACATAATAGGTTTATGTGACAATAAGTGGTATCAAATCATTGGAAAATACTTATACACGAGTTCAACTCTCTAAATTTTGCTAAAAAATGTTTTTGCTTGTCACTGTACACGTTTTTTTTAAAACTGTTCCAACTGAAATTGATGGTTGCAGGATTTGCTACAAAGTTACAACCCTTGGTCAGCAACTCATAAGGAACATTCATGCCATGTTTGTTTTTATTCCATTCAGTGGTTCTTCAAAAGAAAACTTTTGTATGTATTTTACATAGGGTCCTTTGTTAAACTAAGTTCCCCGCTGGCAGCCATCTTGGGTGATTGATTGGCTACAAAGTAACAAGACTTGACCAGCACCTCATTAGGAATATTCATGCCATGTTTGGTTTCATTCCATTTCAGTGGTTATCTAAAAGAAAACATTTGTATGTATTTCCCATAGGGTCCTATGTTAAACTAAGTCCCAGCTGGCGGCCATCTTGGATGATTGATCGCGTACAAAGTTACAACACTTGGTCAGCACCTCATAAGGAGTATTCATGCCATGTATTATTTCATTCCATTTAGTGGTTCTCTAAATGAAGACATTTGTATGTATTTCCCATAGGGTCCTATGTTAAACTAAGCCCCCCTCTGGCGGCCATTTTGGATAATGAATCGGCTTCAAAGTGACAACACTTAGTCAGCACCTCATAAGGAACATTCATGCCATGTTTGGTTTTATTCCATTCAGTGGTTCTCTTAAAGAAGACATTTGTATGTATTGTCAATAGGGTCCTATATTAAACGAAGACCCCCGCTATCGGCCATCTTGGATGATGGATCAGCTACAAAGTAACAACACTTGATCAGCATCTCATAAGGAACATTCATGCCATGTTCGGTTTCATTCCATTCAGTGGTTCTCTAGTAGAAGTTAAAAATGTAAAAATTTAACGACGACGACGACGAACGACGGACGCCAAGTGATGAGAAAAGCTCACTTGACTCTCCGGGACAGGTTAGCTAAAAGAAAGAAAACGGCATGCCTATAAATCACTCATGAAAATGCATATCTAAGTGTACACAAACATACGTTACAGTGTAACTAGTACTGTTTTAATTTTCATAGATTATTTTTTCCAGTTTCCATTTTCTTACTGTCTGTCATTCTTGTCAAGGCCATAGGCAAATACAAAAAAATATGTCAAAATTATTGTCATATGAGGATATCAACTGCTACAAGAAGTGAATTTCAGTCCTTTTTTTTATGATTGAAAGGAATATATTCCTTTAGGATTTTCATAAAATGAATCTTAACTTAAAACCTTTCCAAGTCATAAACGTAATAACAGTTGGTTGCACTATATATACGGATGCAATAATGAATACAAAACAACATATTGTTTTGAAAATTGACAAGGTTGTTGCTATACATACCAGGTTGATCTTCATCCACTACAATGATAGGTGTGGATACAATAGATTCACTGATTATTCCTGCTCCATTTACAGATTTCATTGTCACATAATACATTGGCCATTTAGTATCCTCATCCGTCACGGTCAGGGATATACCATTAATGTAGGCATCATTTCTAGTACCTACAGACTTCCAACTTAAAATATCTGTTCCTCCTGGAAATATATTAAACACAATAGTATAATATGCATGAAAGCGGGGGAAAACGAAGCATCCTTCATGAAAAAAAATCTTTGCTAACAAGATGTTATCTATCCTATATTCTTAACTGTCGTGATATCCTTATCTGATGTGGTTGAACAGTCTAATTTCAGATGGTAAGAATAATTTACTACCCAAAACATTAAAGTTTTCACACCCGTCTCTCGTAAACAGTATCATATTTGGTGATAGGAATCCTATGATACAAGAATTTATATGCAACTTATTATATTTGTCAACGTATATTTGTTCAACTAACAGAAGTTCCTATAGCAACTATATTATAAACATTCCCATCGTAAGGAACAAATATTACAGTTAGTGTATTGTTTCCTTATGGAATTAAGGGTATACAATATATGTTCTTACATGACCTGTAATAATGTTCCAGTGGAAATAATATTACACAATAGGAACTTAATTATGAAGGAACTTCTATTTCATAACATATGTATCCACAGGGGAAAAGGTGGCATTACTGGTTAAATATGAACGTAATCATTCAAATTATATAAATGTACTATGATATGTAGTTCACACCCTTCTTTTGACAAAATAGATATGAAGTTGTAATTTTTATGCATTTATGGACGAGATTTCATAGTTTTTAAACTTCTTTAACCACAACTTATTTAAATTTTGATGTAACACGTCTTATGATTGGCTGAAAGTTTTTTGTATATCAGCTCATAGACATCATTTTTTCATGTGACCGTGACGTCATCAATATTTAATGATTTACTCCTTAAAAATGAAATTTAGATTTAAATTACTAGGAATGAGTGTAATATTTTTTCTGTCTATTTAAAATAACCTCAAAAATGTGGTGCACACCATTAAATTACTCGATACGCGGGTTATTCAGTGTGCACCACATTTTTGATGTTATTTCTTGATAGACAGAAAAAAATATTACAGTCGTTCCTTAGATAAAAGTCAAGCTTAAACTATCTTTGTTCAATAAAAAGCTGGTTTGTAAATAATATGTCCTAGGTTCTATATAATTCTGAACTTTCAATTTTAATAAGTCGTGCTTTCAAGGATACATGAAGTGTTTCTAATTCATTTAGCTGAAGAAAAAAATTATCAACTGCAGTAAACTACTTATTAAAAACACCTTTGTTGGTACCAACTGAAACCAGGTATTCTTTTATGCCGGACTGAGGATCAACAGCATCCCAAGCAGCTTTAATTCCAGATGTATCTGCTTGCCATACATAACCATTGATTTTCTCCTCTCTATCACCTACAAGTTCACCCACTCGCAGCCAATGTATCTGTGATGATGGAGTAAACATGTCAAAATAATTCTAATATCTTTCATTGTTAACTAATATACAGTGTCAAAATACTCGGAATGTATGCCAATTAATTAAGATCAAGACACTTCTTGTAGAATTAGGTCAAAATCTGAAAGGTAGCATCTTACGGATTTGCATAATGCCCATGAATGTAGTTTTGAAATCTTTTAAAAAGGAAATTTTTAAAGATGTGACGTCACAAACCATGCATATTGTATCATAAGTCCATACTGACAGACATTAAAAAAAGTCCACAATATGACTATTTGCATTAATTTGGTTTTGAAAAGCATGAGTAAGTTGAAAAAATATCACTATGAGAGTTTTCAATGCATTCTCTTTCTACTCTAAAGATTACATGTTGATTATTAAGGTAAAGTTTCTCAGAAATGTTGTAAGACTAATTCAAAGGTTGCTTCAAACTGAAAAAAAAGAACACAAATAAGAGACTGTGTTTGAAAGAACTATTTTGTATGGTCCTATGTAAAACATTATTAGAAATTTTCTTTAAACTTTGAGCAAATAATGAAGTTGTTTTAAGAACTTGAAGAAAGCCCTCATGATACTTTCTGCTTTGTAGTCATAGGACGATTTGCTTTAGGTAGGATATGATCAATACGCATGTCATTGCATGCTCTTTGGAATATCAAGATCTATTCTAAACATTTTGATTGTGCAAAACCTTCAGAGTAATTTGAAAACATTGAAATTCTAAAAATATTTTCCGTTTTGAATATTTCTTGGAGTTATTTTACTTTTTAAAGGGTCTAAGACATTATTTGTGTATAAGTAGTAAATAACACACCTTAAATTTAAATTCACATAAACTCTGTTGAAGCAGTATAAATAATGAGACGTGGTTTTCTTCCTACATGTCCAACGTTACTAACCTTTGGAGAAGTAGTATCAACTAAAACACCATTTGTTTCAAACGTTGCAATCATACCAGCATTGTTTACAGCTCTTATTTTCATACTGTAGAATCCTCCTTGTTTGAGAGACAAACCAGGTACGGTAAACTGCATACTCTTTAGTTCATCATCTGGAACCTCAATCCATTCACTTCGTTTAACTAAAACAATAACATAATATTTAAATCTCATTAAGTATCAAAACAGTTATATAACTGTATCATATTTAAGAGGCCCTGAGTTTTTGAGATCCCCAACTACATGACACTTTAAATATTTTACTTTTACAGCTACTTTCATCTTTAGCAAAAGGAAATGTACTGAACAAGAGCATTCAATTTTATATATCAGTGAATATGTGGCCTTAATAAAATAATTTGAGACAAACAGCACCCTTAAAATGCATGATGCAAGAAAACCCGAGTGTAAACTATGCAAGCAAGCATCATTTTAGAAAAAACTTAACATTCAACATTTTTTTAATTCTTAATTTATTAAAATCAAACCTAGAACAACTTGAATCAATCTTTGAGATAATTCGATTATTGCTTTTTTAAAATTTAAAATAGAAAATATTTCATCCATATTATGGACGGCTAGACTTAAGGCTGCATATCGTCACCTGACAATTTCGAATAAAATCGATCCAATGAAATAAGAATTTTTGTGTTGAACTGAAAATATGGGCAAAATATGGGCTAAATTCTGGTCTTGATTTTCATTTTTGAAAGGACAAATGTTTTGTCTTTCCATAAACATTCAAAATAAGAACATTCCTAAATGAAAATAAGAGGGTCATTAGAGTCTCAATTGCTCACCTGACAAACCCATGGCATCTGGATATTTATTTTTACTTTTTTTGCAAATAAAAAATATTTTTCAAATTGTCAGCATCTTGAGGGCTTTCAATTTAAAACAAGGCGAATGACCTATTGTTTCTTTGGTATTAAGATCACAAAAGTTATTTATGAATTAAATCGGGATCAAATTTTTAGCAAAATCTCCCAAGCCCACTATCTCAATTCCGCCTTAATTCAAATCGCCCACCTCTGAGAAGTCATCATAATATCAAAGACCACAATAAATATTATGTTAATCTTAATTTGCTTGTATATCAATTCTATAATTTACAGTTTTTTCTTTACCCGTGGCTTTTTCAAGATAATATCCTATAACATTAAAAGTCAATAAAAATCAGCAGTCAATATCCCTTGTATGGAGTCAATTGAGGGTTTCAGTCATATTGGCCTTTTTTGGGAGATCCTGTATTGTTTATCAAATTTGCTATTTTCATTTTTTTATCTTTTAATTATATTAGTTTTTAAGGAAGGTAGACAAAAACGAAGAAAGTAATACAAAATTATAATTTAAAGAGTCATCAGATAATTTGGGAGGAAAAGGGAAAAAAAGTAGACACAACACTTTGAACATTTCAAAATCAGATTTTCTATTCCTTGTACGGTTTTCAAATTGTTAGACAATTACCATTATTTTTCTTTTATGCTCTATTTCAGTGAACAAAGTCATGTTGGTTGACAAGCCGTATTAAATTTCAAAAACTTAAAATCTAGATACCCTAAGTATAAATCGATCGAAATTGAATTTTTAACTTGTTCTTTAGTTTCAGAGAAGTAGTTCTTAAAAAATATACAGACAACAGACTTCAAGTGATTGCAAAATCACATTTGAACCTTCCACATGGGCTAAAAAAATCGAAACGTATTGAAATACTATACATTTTTGTTAATCCTTTCATACAAAAGTAAATTAAAAATTACGAGCCAACCTTCTTTTATATTTGCTTGAAATTTGCTATGGGTCCTTTTATAAAAATTGAAAATTGTCTCCTATATTAAAATGCATCAATACAGAAAATAATACACCATACCTGGTAAAATTTGAGATCTGATTCCATGATGTTTTTGGAAAATCTGGACTTTAATCTGTCCAATGCCTGATTCCTCATCTATAAACTTGAATCGTGCTGAAAAAGCTGTCACATTGGACTGTAAATTACACTAAATTTATTAAATATAATGGTACACTTTTTTATTCACAACTATCTTATTTATTTTATCTAACTATTATTAGGAGTTGTATTGATACATATTGAAAGTGTACAAATTTTAGTTGAAGATCACACTGAGGAAATTTTGTTAAAGGTAATTTTTTGGCTTTAGTATCTATTTCACATTATTATCGTAATAGCAAATCTCATCGGTACGTGGTGTGGTTGTGTATAAGTCAAGTACCACGATCGTTTAATTCTATTTTTACCACTTTTGCTTTTTGGTACAAAGCAACTAGTCCAGTATAAAAAGAAAGACAGCTTGGATTACATCTACTACGTTTACAAAAATTTACATTAACCATGGCATTATTGACGGGTAAAGTCATCCTTATTGAAGATCCAAAAGTCTTCATAGACAGTTTGAATTGTCTATATTATAGATTGGCCTAGGTGTCTTACTACACTCTTTCAGATATGGTTTTTCCCAGAAAATAAATGTATTCATTATGCTAAATTTTTTTTCAAAACATCTCATTACAATCATATACAAATACGAGAAGATTTTAGAAAAAATAACAGAAGGCTCTAAAGAGCCTGTGTCGCTTACCTTGGTCTATGTACATATTCAACAAAGGACACTCTCATTGAAGACAAGAACAGAATTCATGACAAAAATATCTTATGTGTTGACCTTGTATTGATGATCATTTTGTCTGTTTAGTTTCTCTCTATCTTTTTGAGTTTTTGCACAAAACACAAAAGAGGGTAAAAAAAATCCTCATTTAAGGGCAATCACTCCAATAAAGAGTGACAGTCTACTAACTATATCGACAATATTTAACTTGTTTGTAGATCTTGCTTTGCTGATCATTTTTGTTATTCATAGTTTCTATTTATCTATAATAATTTTTATCATACAAGGCAAAACGCAAAAAATATGGTAAAAATTGCATCAAAGGAGTCATCAGACAATTTACTCCATCTTTTTTTTAATTGTAGACTATGTATTGCTGGTCATTTTTGCTTATTCAAGTTTCTATCTATCTATTACAATTTTTTTAAGATACAAGGCAAAAACGCAAAAAAATGGAAAAAAAAAACGTCATTAAAGGGCAATGACTCTAATGAGGAATCGATTGACGATTTCAATCATTACCCTTTTTTGTAGATGATGTCTTGGTGATCATTTTTGCAGTTTAAAGATTTTCTGTATCGATTATATTTTTCATGATAAAAGGCAAAATTGAAAAAAAAACGGTAAAATTTGTCATTTAAGGGCAATAACTCCTATAAAAAGTACCCTTACAATTTTAACGTAATCAGAAAATTGGTAGAGCTCAACATACTGAACATTTATTCTCCGTCAGATTTAATCTATTTATTACTGTTTTCAAAATATTAGACAAACTTGCATTTTACCCCTATATTCTATTTTTATCCTTGTCGGCCATCTTGGTTGGAAGGTCGGGTCATCGGACACATTTTTTAAAACTAAATAACCTAATAATGATTGTGGCCAAGTTTGGTCAATTATGGAAGTAGTTTCAGAGGAGAGGATTTTTGTAAATGTGACGACGACGAACGACGGACGACGGATGACAGACGACGGACGCCAAGTGATGGGTAAATCTCGATTGACCCTTTGGGTCAAGTGAACTAAATAAAAACCCATCAAAATATGACTGAGGATTGGAAAGGGGATAGTTAGGGATTGTCAGATGTCTTCATTTTATTTTATGTGCATATTAGTGATTATAACTAGATATTTTGTCCTTTAAGGATTTGTTGTTGAAAATGCTAGTTTCAGTAAATTTTATTGCTTGTAAAACATATGCCCGTTATATGATTCTGACACACACCTTGGTTAAAGACTTTAAGTTTTTTTTCACTGAGCTCAAATTATCAATTTATGTGTCCTATCGTTGTATTTTATAGTTCGAGTTCTTATCTTTTGACATTTCATCACAAAAAGGATCGATCAAACAAGAGTTCAAAAAACCTACCTGAAATTCAGCATCTTCTTTATCATCAGTACCATCTCTTATAAAAATCAGTTTAGGAGGGGTCAGATCAACAAGAAACCCATCCGTTTCATTAACAATAGAGTTCAAAGCTCCATTTGTTGTTCTCAGTGTCAATGTGATATAATCATTGTGATGCAGATGAAAGTTTAACCATCTTACACTCTCAGTATCATTGTTAAATGACACCCAGTTTCTAATAATATTAAAATCAGTTGAACCATTGCTAGAAAATAAAGCAACTTCATTGAAACTTTTATTATATGCTGAAGGGTTTTGCATTTATCATGTAAATTGAAATTTCTTTTTTTTCTTTACAGCAGATAAGAAATGTCCGTTTATAGATTTAGAAATAATAAAAAAAATCAGGTTTCAATACATTCAGGCAGAGTTGACTTTAGATGGATTTGGCTTTCATCTTATGTCCTTTTTGGTAATATACATGTAGCTCTTCAACTGTTCGGTTCATATAATCCTTAGCTTCAAATATTCGGTTTCGAGCGTTCCTGATGAAGTTAAATCCAGAAAAGCGCTTCGGACTACTGATATTGAAAAAGAGCTGTTCTCATTTTTGGATACAAGAGAGAGGCGAAAGATACCAATGAGACATTCAAACTAATTGGTCGAAAATAAACTGCTTACGCCATGGCTAAAAAAAAGAAAAAGACCAAAAGACAAACAACAGTTTACAAAAAACACAACATAGAAAACTACAGACTGAGCAACTACAACCCCACAAAAACCGGGGTTGATATCAGATGCTCCGGAAAGGTGACGGATCTGGCTTTCTCACATGTGGCACCCGTCGTGTTGTTCAGTACAAATCCGGTGATAAGTATAATTCGGTTGGTCACATTCAGGAAGATGTTCGAAGTGAGGATTTCAACTTCACCACTTGAAATTCTTGATTTGATAGCTTCCCTGTGAGCAGCAACCCTCTATCACGGAAACAATGATTGGAAACGTAGGCCCTGGGGTATCGTATCAACTTGAAAATATGTACTCCATATGCAGGCGCTGCTGGAATGTTACCACATAGACATAGAAAGTTCACAATTGGAAAGCTGAAATAATCACTTTTGTCGTAAAGTTTGTACTCAGCCGACCTGCATTGCTAATTTTAAGATGTAAGTCAAGATATGAAGCAGACTGAACTGCATTTGGTGTATCCTTTATTTCAAAATTCACTGGTATACAATAGTATATGTTTGTGTAATGGAAAACTTAAATCGTATCAACGAGAAATAGGAGGTGAACAGTCATAATGTATGAACAAATATATAGTTTTCAAAATTAGTCCTATAGGGGACTGCAAAATTTAAATAACGATTACAAGCAACGCACATGTATGATATATACTAGCTGATAAAAATAAAATTGTAGAGTTTCCAATATATGGCAAAAATTTCAAATGCTAATTTTTCGATTGCTGAACTAAGTTTATACTTTCCGTTAAAATCTTGTCACTGTCAATTAGCACACATTAGAGTATTGTTATGTGCCATTTTTAGTGTAATAATACATATGGAATAACATGTGAGGAATATTTTGCTTTCTTTCCAAAGATTTATCGACCCCCTTATATGCTTGATTCCTATATTAATAAAATATGATTTTCAAACGCAAATGCTTTTCTCTGTACCGTTTAGCTTCACATTAACTTGTAATTTCATACATTTTCTATGTCTCTAGTTATATATAAAACGAGTTTTCAGTATAGAGTATGGTAAACTACATTAATGTAAAAGTAAACCATGAAATTCTCTCAACTGATTTTTAAATCTTGACCTAAAATGATTTATTAAAAATTTGACTTTGCTCTTTTCCAATGGTTAGAAAGGGCCTTTATATTATGGCTTCAGACAAACATTGTTCTATAATCCAATTGATTATACATTTCAATACCCTAGATTTGACCTCCTACTTGTGCCTTTTCAATTTTGTAACCAATTATTGTACTAACTTTGAAGACTGTACTTGAATCTCATACTGATGAATTGTAGACTCTGGGTCAGTATAGTTTCTCCACTGTACTTCAACCTTTGCTGGACTGGCTGAGAACTGAATGTCTCTAAAATCTTCATTTATTCCGTCTTTTACACTTCCTGGTACAGGTTTTGTCAGATCAATAGTAACTGTTTACAATAAGAAGAGTGTGTACATGTAGAAATTTTTAAATGATTTATTGCTGACAAGATATTGTTCCTTAATAACACTTTCATAGAATAGCAGTTCATTTAGACCATCACTTTTAACCAACTAAGAATAAAATCAAAAGGAATCTAGTTCTTTCAGAGATGGTTGTTCTATATCTAAGTTTGAAATATTACTGAAAGGATATCATACGCACATCTAACTTTTCTAAACTTTCAGTCTATCAATCGCTACTTTGATTAGTGGGTAACAAATCCAAGAGGGATCTATCAACCCAAATAAAATAATCCACAATCTGATTTTTGGCTTAACCAATATTGTCTAGAATAAAAAAAATTCTCAAAAAAACAGTATATCAACCTTGAATCCACAAAATCAGTACAGGCTCTCACAATTGATCCTTATTAAGCTTAGTTTGGGAACTGTTGGACAAATGATTAAAAAGATATCACCTGGAAACGAAATATTTCAGACTATATATTGCTACTGTGACCCTGACTTTTGACGTAGTGCCCAACAAATCGATAGGGTCGTCTTCATCACGTGATTCAAGTCTCCATACATAAAATGTTGTAAAAGTTTGACATATGGTTCAAAAGATAAATCCTGAGATCGAAATCTTGCGTAAACTTCAGTCTATCAGTAGATACAGTGACCTTGACCTTATAAGAACTTTTGACTACGAAATCAAAAGGGAATCTTCCTATTAACAAAGAATGTTTTCCAAGCAAGGTTGGTAAATTTAAAAATATGATTAAAATTTTTTATGCTAGTCTATTGATAGCTGATGTGATCTAAAGGCTTGAAATTTGACTCCAAAATCAATAGGTTTCTTCCTCATTCAATGAGGCATTATCAAGTTTGGCAAACGAATTATTTATGGCTAAACGTATTTTGAAAGCAAACTGAAATGCTGATGTCCAAGGCCTGGGCATTCTTTGCTCATTATTGAATGCTGTACATTGACACTTAGTTGTTATATCCATGTAATTTTGGTATTTGGTGAGTAGTTGCCTCATTGGCAATTATACCACTTCAGATGAATACAATTATCAAAGATACCAGTCTTAAACTAGAGGCTCTCAAGAGCCTGTGTCGCTCACCTGATTCTACTTTGGTTTTGGAAATCAGGTAAAAATAGATTAAAATCAAAACAGATACCCTAATAATGAGTGAGGCCAAATTTGGTTTAATATTGGTCCTGTAATTTAATAAAAAAATCCTGGTGGCCATCTTGAGCAGTAAATCGGCAACAAAGTAGCAACACTTAATCAGCACCTCATAAGAAACATTTATGCCATGTTTTGGTTTCATTTCATTCAGTGCACCTAGAAGAAGCATTTGTATGTATTTCCCATAGGGTCTTATGTTAAAGGAAGTCCCCCTATTGGCGGCCATCATGGATGAAGGATCAGCTTCAAAGTAACAAAACTTAGTCAGCACCTCATAAGGAACATTCATGCCATGTTTGGTTTCAATCCATTCAGTATGTGGTTCTCTAAAAGAAGACATTTGTATGTATTGTCCATAGGGTCCTTTGTTAAACATTGTCCCCATCTGGCAGCCATCATGGATGGAGGATCAGCTTCAAAGTAACAACACTTGGTCAGCACCTCAAAAGGAACATGCATGCCATGTTTAGTTTCATTCCATTCAATGGTTCTCTAAAAGAAAACATTTGTACGTATTTCTCATAGGGTCCTATGTTAAACTAAGTCCTCCGCTGGCGGCCATCTTAGATTATGGATCGGCTTCATAGTAACAACACTTGGTCAGCACCTCATAAGGAACATTCATGCCATGTTTGGTTTCATTGCATTCAGTTGTTCTCTAAAAGAAGATATTTGTATGTATTTCCCATAGGGTCCTATGTTAAACTAAGTCCCCCACTGGCTGCCATCTTGGATTTTGGATCAGCTTCAAAGTAAAAACACTCGATCAGAACCTCATAAGGAACATACATGCCATGTTTGGTTTCATTCCATTCAGTGGTTCTCTAAAAGAATACATTTGTATGTATTTCTCATAGGGTCCCATGTTAAACTAAGTCCCCTGCAGGCGGCCGTCTTGGATTATGGATCGGCTTCAAAGTAACAACACTCGGTCAGCACCTCATAAGAACCATTCATGCCATGTTTGGTTTCATTACATTCAGTGGTTCTCTAAAAGAAGACATTTGTATGTATTTCCCATAGGGTCCAATGTTAAACTAAGTCCCCTGCTGGCGGCCATCTTGGATTATGGATCAGCTTCATAGTAACAACACTTGGTCAACACCTCATAAGGAACATTCATGCCATGTTTGGTTTCATTCCATTCAGTGGTTCTCTAAAAGAAGACATTTGTATGTATTGTCAATAGGGTCCCATGTTAAACTAAGTCCCCCGCTGGCAGCCATCTTGGATTATGGATCGGCTTCAAAGTAACAACACTCGGTCAGCACAACATAAGGAACATTCATACCATGTTTGGTTTCATTCCATTCACTGGTTCTCTAAAAGAAGACATTTGTATGTATTTCCCATAGGGTCCCATGTTAAACTAAGTCCCCCGTTGGCGGCCATCTTGGATTATGGATCGGCTTCAAAGTAACAACACTCGGTCAGCACCTCATAAGAAACATTCATGCCATGTTTGGTTTGATTCCATTCAGTGGTTCTCTAAAAGAAGACATTTGTATGTATTTCTCATAGGGTCCTATGTTAAACTAAGTCCCCCGCTGGCGGCCATCTTGGATGATGGATCCGCTACAAAGTAACAACACTTGGTCAGCACCTCATAAGGAACATTCATGCCATGTTTGGTTTCATTCAATTCAGTGGTTCTCTAGACAAAGTTCAAAATGTAAAAAGTTAACGCCGACGACGGACGACTACGGACGACGCCGGACGACGGACGACGGACGACAAGTGATTAGAAAAGCTCACTTGGCCCTTCGGGCCAGGTGAGCTAAAAGTATAACAAAATACCGAACTCCAAATAAAGTTTTATACACCAGATGCGAGTTTTGTCTACAAAAAAAAAACAACTCATCAGTGAGGATCCAATCAAAATAATTAAAGGAGTATTAGAAGTTGTTTTCTTAAATTGATCAATGAATGCTGGCGGTTGCTCAAATTTGTACCTACAAAACCAAAATATGTGTCTATTCTCCTGCTAATTTTTTTTTCACAGTTAAGATTCAGATATTAAAATGATAGTTCCATATGGAATTACCTCCATTGGAAATCGCTGATACATTTCTTATTTTGATCCCTGCATTAAAAGCCCAAACAGTTGTATAATATGTCTGTCCATGTTTTAAGTAGTTGTCTGCAGTAAGTTCAATACAAACTTCATGTGTTTTTCTATCATATTCAGTCAGGTTTGCAACATCTGTTACATTAATATCTGGTTCTGATCCAGCACTAACCATGTAATAGCCAATCCCGGACTCGGGATCATAAAAACGATGCCAGTTCGAACAAAGCTGAAAATCAGTTTATAAGATTAATCAACAAAAGGAATATTTTCAAAAATATTTCTGAGAAACTTTCTATCGCTTCATCAAACAAGGCCTCTTGGAGCCTTTATTTGTATTGTTTCCCTGGTATTTTTGGAAAAAAGTGATGTTGCTGATCAATTTTGAAGTGAAGAGTTTAACCTATGACGTGGTAATCTCAAAATCAATAGGGATCTTCGTCTCATGTCCCATATAGGATCATATATCCAGGCAAGTTTCGAAACCTTTATGCAGTATTTAATATAGTATCCGGCAACTAATTTTGTGCACAGATTTTGGTTAATTTTTCGTTACTATGAACTTGACTTTTTAGATAAGTAAGTGAGATATATAACATTATAAGCATGCATCTCATCATACCAGTGTAGTTAAAAGAATGCCAATCTCCTCTAGAAATATCAAATTGAAAAATCCATTTAATAATTTATATTTTTAGTCATTGGTTTGTAAGATTATTTATAAAAACTTTCATATAGACATTTTCATATTAGCCGACTTACATACCATATATTTCCTGATCTTGAACAGATTTTTTATATTAAGAAGAATCAAATTTTAACTATTAATTAAAAAGAAAAATGGATTAAAATGTGCCTTAAAAATGATGCGAATCTAAAAAGTTTTTATCAAAATAAACATATTTGATTGCAGCCATTTTTATATCTAAAAATAAATATCTCAATTTGAGATGTCTAGTGGAAATTGATCTTTAACATGTAATTAAGAAACCTCTTTTAAATTCAAATACTCACATTTGTATTACATCCTTTGAATAAAACTATGAAGGATATTATAGGGAAAGGGTTGAAAACATGCACTGTTGAGAATAAAATCATCCTTCCATATCTATATACCTGTCTGCACATGTATTAAGGTTGTTGTCTAATTGTAAAAGTAGCAGTACATAACTATGAATTGTCTGGTCGACCACAATTTTACCTGTTCAGAATCTTTTGTATACATTAAATCAGTATCAAATGCTGGACCATCATATACATGTCCAGCTATTGGCGGAGTTTTGTCAACTATGATTGGTGCATCTGCTACACGCTTTGTTCTCAAATCCACTAAAACAAAATTATAGAATTAATTTATAAATTGACACTATCTACTGTGTTAAATATCACATTCATAAGACAAATTTACAATAAGCACTAACGTTGTAAAATTCTTCCTGACTGATATACTATAAGTAATTCAATTTAAAGCATCCAGCCAGGTGTAGCTAGCGTTATAAAATTACTTTTTTAGCAAACTATTTGCAAAATTCAATGCAAAAGACATATGCAGTTGGACAAACTATAAGATTGAAAAACTGTTGTGACTTACAAAATGTTAAAGGAATTTTAATAACAAATCTTATATCCCAATGTAATACAAGGCATCATCAGACACCAACCTTCGTTTTCAAAATTAATGAAAATTACAACGAAACTAGATAGAAGAATATTTAAAAACTTGCATTGAGCAAGCTTGCATTCCCTTCACTCAGATAAATAATGAAAAGACCGTTACATTGTCACAGTAAAAAGCGTGTTAAAGCGTAGTTCTATTAAGCAACTTTGATGTACTTGACATTTAAATCCTCAAATTGTTCCTCTTCAACAAAGGATTAAAAAGTAACCAATGCGCATTTGAAAAAACATCCAAGAGTAATGGGTAATGCATGAACACTACCAGTCATACCATCAGCTATGTGTAAAAACTGTGTTGCTGCTTACCGAGAATGGAAATCAAAATGGCAGCAAATATTTACTACATACCTCTGTTAACTGCTTTAACTTTTAACCAGATAGGAATACCATCAGTCAGTTGTGTGATGTATGATATATTCGGGTTAAAGTCTAATCGAGTCCAACTTAATTCATTACAATCTCTTCTAGTGTAACCAAGACAAAAGTCATTATACTCCAAACCAGAATCTGGGTCACTGAAATTTAACAAAAAAACACATAGAAAAGTGATCTAGTGATCACATATGCATTCACCGGCAGCAACTAAGATATGGTAAATGTGTTCCAAAACCACATACTGTGAAATTTTGTAAGATGTTTCTGTCGGAGCTCAAAGGCATGTCAATATAAAAACAGACTTTACCAGAATGTTGGCTTTTCTGTTCACATTTTTATTCAGAGGCCAGCTAAAGACCGCCTCCGGGCGCGGGATTTTCTCGCTGTGTAGAAGACCCATTGGTGGCCTTCGGCTGTTTTTTACTCTTTGGTCGGGTTGTTGTCTCTTTGACACATTCCCCATTTCCATTTCCTATTTTATTCTATTTGAGTCAGGTTTTCATCTGATTTCTGATGTATAGACAAACAAAAAAGTTTTTGGAAGTTGCTTATGTTTAGTGATCCAAAACATACTATTTAAATTTTTGGAAAAAAGCAGTTCTCCATTTGATGTCCGAAAACAAGTTAAAATATTTTCCAACGATAACGTATCTTTACTCTGGAATGGTAAAAGTGAAAATTTAAATTAACCTGTCTGAAGTGGTCCAAAAGATTTCATTAATTAACTTTCAATAAAAGCACTTTATTTGGCTTATCAAATTTGTTTTAATTCGAACGTTCATGATTAGTCTTTTGCAGAACTAACGCGTGCCTGGCGTACACAATTATAAGCCTGGTATATCTGATTTGTTTTTTTTTAATTGTTTTGATTAATTAATTGGTCAATGGTTTGACTTATTCAAGATACATATTACATGTAAGAAAACAATATTAACATATTGCTATATGCATAAATGTACCTTGAGTTGTGTGTTGCTTTCAGTTCAAATGTGTCTTCATTATATCGTATGTCAAAAAGTTCCCAGACAAATGGTGGTGACATATCAACAATGTATTGCGCTGTATGGCAAACAGTAACTGCAAGTGGTCCTCCATACTCAACATTGTTCAATGCTCTTACAGTTACATAATATGGACCATCTACAAAACATAATACAGATTTATCTTAGGTGTAAGCTGATTTACTAGTATCTGGTTCCCAGACATTCAACCATGTGGCAAATTGCTTTCTCTGCTTATTGAGTTAACTTTTTAGAACTTATATTAAGAAAAACAAACCATTGCTGTCATATTAGCAATGGCATGAGTTTAACGTTTAACAAAAACTGCCTAATATTTTGCAGGAGTAAACACATCTTAAAATCATTAATTCACATGTCAAGTTTAAATTGAAAATAAAGGAATCAATCGACTAGTACAGATCTGAAAAAAAAACTTTTTTGAAGATATAAAAAAAATTTAGAAATTTCTCAGGCATCAACATTTACGTTTCAAAAAAGTTGAGTTTATTAATACAAAGTTCAAGGTCACGGTGTCTGACATTAGACTATTTTTTTTTTATAAAATATTGGTTCCCGGCATGGACAATATTTTGAAGGCCATAAATCAGATCTTAATCAATATTTGTTGGATAACGTACTCTTGGTTGAAAATAAACTCTTCATAGATACCCGATTTAAAATTGTGTACCCCAGACGCACGTTTTGTCTACATAGATCTCTATAAATGTGAAGTCACTGGGCAAAAGGGTATAGAAACAACAGCAATCAAAAGACTGAACGTTTTATTTTTGTATAGTTTCTTTCGGATATAAATCTTATTATTTTCAAAGTAACTTTGATAAAATCTCTTGGGAAGTGGAAAATATGGGGTAAACCAGGAAATAACATCAAACAAGCAAAAACAGCTCCCACAGTTACTTTTTACAAACTCGTTAGAGACATGAATTGTTTTAAATTACTGTACGCAACATATGTGTCTCTGGTCTCCAATAAGGGTGGAAGGTTTGTTACAACTACAGGCCCATCCTACTGACGTCAATATGCTGTAAAATTATGGAGTATGTAATTAAATCATTAATAATGAACCATGGTTAGAACAACTCAATTTTGTCATCTGAAGGGCAGATTCTTTGAAACTGAACACACTGAATTTATTGATGATTTAAAGAATGCGGGACAACAAACTGATGTACTGATAATGGATTTCGTTTTTTTTTAAAGTGAACTAGAGCTTATTCATACACAAATTACAAAAAAAAAAGACAAAACCAATATGTGGATACAGAAATGACGGAGTGGAAAAATAGAAATTGTTGCATTAAAAGGGACCAATTTAACATCAGTCCTCCCTGTAGATTCGGCATCACACTAGTGCTCTAACTTTGCGCAAGTCTTTTTCTGTTTCACACATTGACTTGCAGGGAGATTTTATATTCTTCTGTTTGCCAGTTTGCAGATGATACCATCGCCTACCTCAAATAACACCTTAATAATGTGGGACAAGAGGACTTAAATGAATTAGTCAGATGGGAACACTTAAATTGCGTGGAATTTTATCCTGACTATTGCAGCAGCTTGCGGGTAACAAACAAGAGGATGCCAAGTAAAACAACGTATTATCATGGCTATAATTTAGAAGCACAGGCAGCCAGATATTTAGGTCTCACGTTAGAAAACAAATGGGATGACACATAAAAAAGAAAACGGACAAAGCAAATATAGCACTTGAATTTCACCAACATAAGTCAAAAGCTCAGCATACATTGGACTAGCAAGACCACAACTAGACTACTCATCAACTGTTTGGGATATAGTCACAAATGAATCTACAAAAAAGAACAGATGCAAAAAAGAGCCGCCAGATGATTTTAAACCAACTGCTAATGTTTCACAATTGACAAAAAACCAACAATCTAGAATAACATGTTTGCAATATCTATAGAAAGACAACCCCCATCAACATTGCACCAAGGAGGATCTACATCCACAAGCATATGAAGTACCACACTCAATTATTGATGGACAAAAGATGTACTGCGTACCGAAGACTATAAGGGACTGAAACATCTTACCATCGGACCCAACCAACACTAGGTGTCTTCAAAGCCCTAGTATCAAGCTAGCAAAACCTCATTGTTATAAGCTAATTGTTAAAGTTATAATTTCACTTGTAAATAGTTCTTACTTCGGATCTCAACACAAATGTTTTACATGATGTCTTCTTCTGCAAACATAACTTGTAGGAAAACAATTATTGGACTTGTTAAAGGAAGCTTTTACCCGGCAGATCCAGATCCAGATAACGAAAAACAAAAACCAAACTTACTAACATAAAAAGACTGTTTCAACTTCGTTAAATCCGCAAAGATTACAACTCTGTTTACTTTTGTTTTTAATACAGAAGAGCTTTGTTTAACTCTATTACCTTTCTGCATAGCTTACCTGGAAGTATTGTAAAAGGCGCAGGAATGGGTGAAATCATAGTTGAATGTGTCCATTGAGATTTATCAAATAGATGAAAATGTGGATCATGATGAGGGTGGATTAAATCTTCACATATTGATTGGCCAACTGTGACACTATATCCAAGGATTCCCGTATCATGGTCATGGAAACCATCCCAGTTTGCTGTAAACATTTAAATTTTTGAAATCTTCGATATATAAAATATTTTATTCAGATATCTTTATGCTTAAAAACAGGTATGTGTAGCAGGTATGCACAATTTAGGGAATGAAATCAAATGCACATTATAATGGCAATCAAATATAAAATTTATGTTTTTTGTGTTGAAGTAAAAAAATAATCACCTCTTTAGATCAATATTATATGAAATGACTGTGTAAAGAAGCTCTATAATGGTTTACTTTTATAAATTTTGACTTGGATATAGAGTTGTCTAATTGGCACTCATACCACATCTTCTTAAATCTCTTTATACTGTTTATAATGTCAATGAGAGCAATTTTATGTATTAAAATTTCAAAGTATCAATAACAAGAGCGTGACAGCATACATTTCCAGATCAAATATAAAATCCTATTCTTTTAAACAATCCAATGTAAAGTAATTAAAATCTTTTGTTTTATAGTATAGTAAAATTTCAAAGTAATGGCAAAAAATCGAATTGGCTGCTCTACAGTAATAGACATGGCGTAAACAATAAACCTCTGAAGCTCTGATTATTTATAAAATAATTTTGCAGTATACGTCTTTACTAGGCATATATACCTCTGAAGCTCTGATTATTTATAAAATAATTTTCCAGTATACTTCTTTAATAGGCATATATTTTTACCTGAAATATATCTATTTGCTTTTGTATAATATGTCCCTGTCTCTTGTTCTGGTCCATTGAAAACTGTTTTAGATCCTGGTCCATCAATTATTAACCTACGGAAAGTAGTACATCCTATTAAAATGTAAAACTTAAAAAATAATAGAAATACAAACAAGAATTTGTCCACTATACCCCGCCCACACTTTTATATTTCAATCTTCAGTAAACCTTGAAATGTGGGTCAAATCTTAATTTGAAGGTCGGTTGAATACAAAACTTTACAACACAAAAAAAAAAAAGAAAGATTTCGGATTTCTAATTGTGAACTTTCTATTTTTATGTAGCAACTTTCCAGCAGCTTCTGCATATGAAGTATGTATCTCCTAGTTGAAACAATATTCCAAAGCTTGCATTTATCATATGATTTCCTTCAAAGAGAGTTTTTGATTACAAAAAAACCCCTTCTAAACCAAGCTATATATAAAGGGTTTCAAGTTATGGGGTTATTCCTTCAAAAATTTGACGGAGGCCATCACGAGTTGGTTGACAGTTAAGGAATTCTATTCTATGCATTTAGAACATGCTGAACTTCATCCGAATATTAAATAATTGATATGTTAAGCATTTATACTTTCAGAGATATTATAATTAAAGATACATTATAATAAGCATTTAAACATGTATAAAATGTCCTAAAGTACTATAGAGTGGCGAAAAACGCAGATTTTAAAATTGACTGGAAATGCTGTCCACAGAATTCAATGAAAGTGATAGAAATCACCGAAAGAAAGATAAGTCATTGAGTTGTATGCTTTTTTCGGGCTCGTGCATTTGCGCCAGTTTTTAAAACAAAAAGCAGTATTTCATTTGCGCGACAAGGTGATACTTTATTTGCGCCAGAAAGTTACAATTCAGTTGCACCAAAAAAGTATTTATACATATAAATTAAGATTAAAGTTTTAATGTAAGTCGTATCCCAAATGCGAGGCTCATATAAGACAGTTTGAAAGTACAGTCTGAAAATGTCAGTGAGTCTATATCCCATACATTTCTTAAATTAACCTGGGTATGACATTGTTAGTGTTGACAAATGGAAGGTGACGATGTGAACGCAATTCTCACGGAAACTAACAAACGAAGTCAGTAAATATTTGTTTTTATAACAACCCATACAAATTGTTCAGTCAATTGAAGAATAAAGACAAGTTCTTTTTACAAAAATCAGGCTGTTGGTTTTCTTGTTTCAATTATTTACCATCCATAGGTCAACCTCGAGATGGTGACAAGGGGCAACATGTTATGCTGGAGAACAGAGGAGGGGATAACATAAACTGAATTGTTAAAAATATTCTAGTATTTATACCATTTACCTGGATTATTGGCGAAAATGAAATTTGCATGTGAAGCAAATATTTGCACCATATCGTATTATCTTCTATTGCAGTATATGATGTTGAACAAAACAATTGTGCATTTTTAAAACCGTCATAAGATACAAAAGTGACATTCAAACCTCATAAGGCCTAGGCAAACCCACAACGCTCTAGCAAAACATTAAAAACAATGAAAAAACAGGTGACATAAAAATTTCATAGGAAACTAAAACGGAGCAATATGAACTCCATATAAAGCTGTGTGCATAAGTTGCATCACTGCAGTTTAAAAAAAGACAAGTCAACATAAATATATACAATGAGCGTAATGTATATTAACATTAGAAGGTCACATACATTCATATAATTTCTTTTTAATTAAAATTAATATTTTTCTAAAATCATGCTCACAGTTTCAAATTTCAAAGAAACTGTAGTTTACACTTTTTGAAACAGCAGACATGACATAAAAAAAAGATTCTTCATAAACTTTTATCATCGTAATTCCTCTGAAAGCCGGGGACTAATGGAAAAAGAGACTTGAAACAAAAGTGCTTATGTCTTTCAAAATGGTAACAGGATAGCATAGGGAAGTTTTTATTTCATCAATCTTACTATGATTTTATTCTATTGTCTAAAGATGGAGATTCCTATTTTTTCAAGCAAACTGTTCTAATGTTTTAATTTAAGAAGGTGTACTTATTTCATTTATTATAAATGACAGAATGAACAGAAAGATGAATTATTTTTATTCGTTATTGATTTCAGGAAGATGATCTTGGCAGTTGTCAGTCATAATGGTATTTTATGAGTACTCTTACCAAATAAAACAAGATCACACTAACCAGTCAATTGACAAAAATGGTCTAAGATATAAACAATAAACGAAAGAAGAATGTGTCTGAGGACACAAATGCCCCCGCTCAAGCTTCAAACAAACGAAAATAGGACGGACAGACAGACGGAAAGACAGAAGGACAGAAAGACGGAAGGACGGAAAGACGGAAGGACGGAAAGACAGGAGGATGGAAAGACAGAAAGAAGGTAGGACGGACGATCAAGGGTAACACGAAGTGCCCCCGTCGCCTACGACGGGGGCATAAAACTAATCATAGATACAAGATCTCTAACTTTGTACACCAGACGCGCGTTTCGTCTAAACACATTAATCGGTGACGCTCGAATGATAAAAGATAATAGTTAACTAAAGTAGAAAGTGGAAGAACAGACCCGAAATTCCGAAAGGTGTATCCGAATACACATAAGCTAATTTTTTCCTGGATTAGAAAATCAGGATTATTCCAAAAACGTCAAAGTTTTGTAAAGAGTTTATTTCTGAATACGACATTATCAATGAGGATTCATATCTATCAAAACAAAAGTGCTAACTACTGGGCTAGTGATACCCTTGGGTGAGGAAATACCTAGCTTGTAATTTTGTACGTAACTTACTTACTTATCCTCTTCATCCCCAGTGGGACATAAGGCCACAATTTTCTTTTTTGTATGTAAGCTCCAATAAAAAACCCAAATTTTTACAACTCATTTTTACATATTTTCATAAACAAGAGAGGTATTGGGGACTTTATTTTAGTGCGTACCGATTTGTAGACTAACCTGGCTGCATTTTTATGGATGAAGCCGATCCCTTAAATTGTGTGTTATTGAAGTGAATATTTCCGTTTTTTAATATAAAATTCATAGTGGGTCATCACTGAAGATTTTATATGATATTAAATAATTACTATAATCAGCCAACAATGCCCCAAATACAAAAGTCTCCTCCAATACTATATGTCTTTGGAGATGCCTAAAACAACAGATAGAGGTTAAATGAAAAATCTACCTGTGATTTTTTACTTTTGGGTTAACCCCTCTACAGTGAATTGTCCAATCAGGTCTATTGTGTTCAGGTATCAGAGTTAAACAAGGAACTCTCTCTGTATAATCTGATGTAGAATTTTGTATTAATCCTGAAAGTATAAACGGTCAGTGGCTGAAATTTTACTATAGCATGACGAAATTTGTATTTAGTCTATCAAACAAAAAATATATAATATCAAGTTTCAAATTTCATTTTACTGTGACTTGACTGTAAGTGTTGCTCTCCACCTATTGCAACTTATTCAAAGTTCTGACCACATTGCAATTTATTTTTTAAAACCAAACTGTTCAATTGGTCAGAAATTTGAACAAACTGCTATAGAAAACCACAGTCAAGTCGTGAAAGTGCAAGGTGACAAAATAAATACTTACAATGCTATAAGACTTTAATTCCACTTCAATGTTATTATGAAAAAACAGTTTGTATAAACATTTTATTGTTATTGTCATGCTAAAGGTGATAGGTAGTATTTTTCAATTGCTATAAAACTGTCCAAACTAAGCTTTCATACAATTTTTCCTTTGAAAAGTCTTCTATATTCATAAGAATCAGACATCATTTGAATTAAAACATTTTATATTCAGTAAAATATGTGTGAAATTACAATACATTGTTAGGAAGTTTCCATGGGAGATAATCAATTTTTCTTTCGAAAAGTCTTCTATATTCAAAAGAATAATATTTTAGGTTATCTCCCATGGAAAAATTGTATGAAAGCTTAGTTTGGACATTTTTATAGCAATTCAAAATTAGTACCTATCAACTTTAGCATGACAATAACAATAAAATTTCTATACAAATTGTTAGACTGATTTTTCATAATAACATTGAAGTGGAATTAAAGTCATATAGGATTGTAAGTATGTTTTATTTTATCACCTTGCACTTTCACAACTTAACTGTGGTTTTCTACAGCAGTTTGTTCAAATTTCTGACCAGTTGAACAGTTTGGTTTTATAAAACAAATTGCAATTTGGTCAGAATTTTTAATAAATTGCAATAGGTGGAGAGCAACACTAACAGTCAAGTCACAGTAAGAATTCAGAAGTGCATATAGAGCTGTAGAAGTTATTCAATTCCTTTATCATTTGCAGATTTAATAGAAGTAACTTTAGAAATTGAATTCAAAGACTGATTTACGTTTTAAATTCCAAAATCTTCGTGGCGATACGAAGATTACTTCAAGATTGCTAGAGAGAATTGATGTCTTTTTTATATGGATGTGAGCTAGCTTTTTGTAGAATGCCACTGTCTTGATTCTGCCAAAGTAATGTGACATTAGTTACAAGACATTACGTATGAATCTGATGATATACCTGTATTTGGTATTGTTAGATCAATAAGAATTCCTTTGGAGCTGATAACGTTTTCATAATTCAGCACATTTTTCACCCAAAAGTTAAAAAAAAATAATGAATTGTGCTTCAGATAAAGATCCTGATAAACAAACTGTTGTGTCATTCCGCCCACTTTTTCAAAATGTTCAAAAAGTTTAGACTTGGATAGTTTATATCTCTGGTTTTCAATAGCTTCCATAACTTCACAGGTGCCAGTTCCAAAGTCATAATTAAAACTTAAGCACTTGGTGACAGGAAAGTCAGCACAGTATCTGGCACAGTCTCCTTCGGTAGCTGTTTTCCTATCAGGACCAGCTTTTGGTCCTATTAACCTGCCTGTTCGCATTCCTGTGAACATTTTCTCTAGGACCTTATGATTGAAAGGGTCATCACCTGAAAAATATTTATACCAAGAGAAGAGTCTAAACAAGAAAATATGTGTATACCTTGTTTGTTTAAAAACTTATCATAAAGATTGGATAAAAACTGACATTGTAAATTTGTTAATGTTTGCGGAGTTTATATTGAGGTAAACCTGGGTGGCAGGTTTTTACTTAAAGATTAAATTTCTGTTAGGGGATAATTTTGGGAAATCTGCAAAAATAAACAAATTCCTACTTTTAGTTTTGGAGCCGAATGTTCAAGTAATCTACTGAAATGTTGTGTTATTATAAGTTGTTCAGATATACTGATACGGTTCTTTCCATTAACCATCCAAACTTTTCTGATTTGGTTCCATTAAAATATCCTCCAAAAATAGAAACTAAAGAAACAATTGACTGGGCTTACTCCGCCTCATTTTAAGACTTATACCTCAAATTTGACATAAGCGGTATCTCAGTACCAGAATCGATGACAAACGACACGATTTTAATTTTGAAATCATTAATTTCCCCATCCCCCACCTTAGCAGCAATATACCAACTTCACTTGCATATGGGATATACATTTCTCAGCTCATTAGGTATTCAACAGCTTGCCGCTGCTATTCAGACTTTTTAAAACGTCACCATTTTTGTTAATATCCTTTTTGCGTGGCTCGGTATTTATACATCCCGCCATTGTGTTATTGTGTTATGGTCTATTCTTGTCTTTCATGTTTGCTTATGTGCTTTGTCTATATGCCATTTTGTTTTTCTTTGTTGACATTGTTTCTTTAGATTAAGATTATAAATCAATGATGACTGCTTGGTTTTTTTGTACCCCAATTTTTGATATTTTTATCTATTATGTCTGTTTGTTTTGTTCACACATTGTTGTCAATATAATGGAATTTTACATGTGAGAGGCTAAGCTTGCTATAAAACTAGGATTAATCTACCATTTTCTACATAAGAAAATGCCTGCACCGAGTCAGGAATATTACAGTTGTTTTCCATTCGTTTGATGTGTTTGAGCTTTTGATTTTGCCATTTGATAAGAGGCTTTCCGTTTGAATTTTCCTTGGAGTTCGGTATTTTTGTTATTTTACTTTTAAAAAAAACCACTGGTCACCGTTTTTACTTCATACCAAATACTTTAATCAGTATTTTGTGTTTTGCTTGGGATTTGTTTCACCAGAAAGATGTGAAATTTTCATGTTTTACTTATTATTTGTTCGCTTACTATAGCTCTACTTTTTGAGTCAAATTCTGTTAAGTAATTTGTCTCTAAACTAAAATCAGTATACGATTTCTATTGATCAATGAATCAAATTCAAGAATTTTGATTGTCACTTTGGTATCTTCCACTACGATAGCTTGTTTGTCTGATGAATGTTTTTGGGAACAATAGGATATTATTTTCTCATTAAAATAAGGACATAACTGTAAAACATGATTGTTTCTAGATCAAGTTTAACTAATTACGGAAGAGAGAGGTACACGACTTTCGTCTTGTAGAATTTGTTCACATACAGTTGCATTCTTCAAAGTGGTGTGTAAGGGATTGTTACAAACCAAAATATGAAATATAAAATACCGAGACAGACAAAAGTTGTTCCTTAAATCATATCTACTATGTTGAAACAAAAATAGACTCCTATCATTTAAAGTATCATTAATCGTGCTTTTCATTTATAATGTTATATTAGCCATACCAATGCTACCATGACTGTAAACCTGTAAAACAACATCACTCCAGCGAATAATCTGATCTCCATAGATATCTTTTCCATATCCAACACCAACCATTTTATGGTATATTTCTGAATCTTCATTAATCTTAAGTGCAGCTCTAAGTTCATCAGGATTGCTTGACGTTATAAATTCTTCTTGAAAACGTCCGTCTGGTAATGTCAAATCATAAGTCGGTAAAAAGCATGATGTTTTTGATCTCATGCCAGCACTATTTTCAGCTATCACAGTGAAATACAATGGAACACCTGATTCTGTTAACTTCTATAATGGAGAAAACAATATTTATAAAACACACATTGGTTATAACAAATATTTTATCACGTTAGTACCATATTTGTAAAGCTTTATCTAATTACAATATCGATTAAACACATATTATTCAAATATTTTAAGGAGGTAAAGAAGAAATTGTGCTGTGTTTCACGAACCCTTTTTTTTAATACATATATATATATTTTGTTTTTATTTTATAGCTATCATTTTAATCAAACAACATTTAATTTGGATATTTTTTCCTTTCCTCAATGACCTGTTATGCGACCTAATGAAAAATCAGTCAAGAATCTTCGCAGGTTTATCAGCTTTCGTTTATTTCCTACAGCGGTAGATGACGACTCTGCATGAAATTCAACAACACAATTGTGATTTGAGTTGACCTGTTTTAAACCTTACATCCTTAATTATTGTCGATGGACCACCAAGCTGCTTTTCATTCAACACATCAGAACCTCCAGGACGCGTTCCTACATCCAAGTAAAGTGTAACATCACTTTTATCATCGTTTGCTCTGATGGACACTTCAAAAAGAGGTTCTGTATAATCTTGGTCAGGTAACTGTCTTACTATGCATCCTCCTGATGATCTTTTTCTTCTCTGTAAACAAAATATACAGTGAGTAGCTGTTTTAACATGTATTAAAGTTATCATGAATGAAATAACCAATATATTTAAGTGTTTTTATTGTTAAACAGTTGCTGGGTGGTCTTCCACAATGAGTTTGCCTGTGCTTATAAAATAAATGGATTGTGATCTTCCAGGGTACCAATGGGCCGAACACTCATACATCTGGAGTTTAATAACATTTGTTCTCAAATTTAGTTGTTTAAGTGTTTTTATTGTTAAACAGTTTCTGGGTGGTCTCCCGCAATGAACATGCCTATAAAACAAACGGATTGTGATCTTCCAGGGTACCAATGGGCCAAACACTCATACATCTGGAGTTTAATAACATTTTTATTCAAATTTAGTTTGACAAGATCAGCTCAATGCAAGAGAAAAGTTGTTATTTTATATATATATTATATACTGATAACTGAGTTATTTTGTCTTACAAAAATTGGAAAACACCTTATGATTAAATTGACATTAATGTTGACCTTTTGACATTGTTTAAAGGGTAGGAAGAAAAAGAGGGGCAGGTCTACAATTACGGTGCATAGTACAACAATGTATAACCATGTAAACTAGCAGGAATTGCGGACTAAAAATGCACAACACACCGTTACTGGAAACATCTTGCCAAAGGAAGTTCAACATATACATATTAACTAGATGATTTTAGCTGATTTACATGTTTTTAATAACTAGTGAAATGAGGACAGGCAGTGAAAGACACCATTCCCCCTTGGGGAAAAATCCTTTATGCATTTGAAAGTTCTTGTCTGGTTATAATGAATAAGAATATGTATCGCCAATTTCATGAATATATCTTAATGATTTCAAATATTGACCATTTATAAATAAAAGGGGGTTCAGCATGACCCTTTTTGAAAAAAAAAACGTGTGGTGCACAGAAAGTTCTTGTCATGACCATTATTATAAATTTATCCAGATTTACGAGTCACAATCTGAACAGTGTAAAAGATATTTGGATGGGAACAGAGGATTTTCCCTTGGGACCAAAGCTATGATGCACCAGAAAGGCCTTCTTTTGGCAATTAAGCTAATTTGAGCCCATACTCACTTATGATACCCTCGCTATTAGTTTTCCCGTAAAGAGGAAGTCAATGAGATTAAGAATGTGAAAACTCATCTCACAGTAAAGTATGAAAGATTGAAACATAATTACAAATTTAAGAAAGCCTTGAATTGTTATCCTTAGAAGAAAACGATTAAAATTTAACACGTGAACATTATGTGTACGTAAATATAAATATTTGGTATACGTACAGAAAGTGGATGAGCAATACTGTGAAAATGCTTCACACAGTTTATGTATAGTGTTTTCATACCAAATTTCAGGACTATTTTTTCAAGTTTCTGAGAAAAATGATTTGAAAATTTCATGCACTGCGAATATGTGTACAAATAAACAAGTATTCGGAAAACAGAAAGTGATTAATTGATAAATCGGAAAATGCATAATGCCCTGCATTACGGTAAAACATTCACATATATTTCTTGATTTCAAATTTCAGAATGCCATGCCCTGATTAGTAGTTCCTAATAATAATGTGATGAAAATTTTATTCATGGCCATTTTGTGTTAGCATATATAAGTATTTGATAAGAAGTTGATGAGGGATGAATCTCAAAATGCATTACTCAAAAAACAAGAGGCTCTCAAGAGCCTGAATCGCTCACCTGTATTTCCGAGGAGAAAATTTTTAAATGTTGGCAAACTTGATGAACAAATTGTGTAAAATTGTCTTTAAAGGGCAATAACTCCTTAAGGGGTCAATTAACAATTATGATCATATTAACTTTTTTGTAGATCTTACTTTGCTGAACATTATTGCTGCTTACAGTTTATATATATCTATAATAATATTCAAAATAATAACAAAAAACTGCAAAAATTTGTTAAAACTACCAATTCGGTGGCAGCAACCCAACAATGGGTTGTTTGATTCGTCTGAAAATTTCAGAGCTGATAGATCTTGACCAATTGAACAATTTTACCCCATGTCAGATCTGCTCTAAAAGCTTTAGTTTTTGAGATATTAGCCAAAAACTGCATTTGACCTCTATGTTCTATTTTTAGCCATGGCGGCCATGTTTGTCGATGGATCAAAACTTCGGATACAATTTATAAACTAGATACCCTAAGAGACATTTAGTTAAAGTTTGAAGGTATTTGGCTTAGTAGTTTCAGAGGAGAAGATTTTTGAAATAGTTTACGACGACAGACGACGGACGACGACGGACGACGACGGACGCCAAGTGATGGCATAAGCTCACATGGGGCCCTTCGGGCCCCGGTGAGCTAAAAAGGGGATGATATATGATTGCATATGAGACAACTATCAACCAGAGTTCAAATGAAGTGGATATCATGCCAACAAACAAACGGATAAAACATGGACGGGTGTAACCGAGCATAATCACCCTTCCTTTAGGAGCAGGTTTAAATACACAGGATTAAGTAATAGGGGTCCGAACTATATTAAGCAATATGTAGGATAAAGGGCAGAGCATGAACCTCTCGTGACAAACCCTCTGGTGTATTAGACAGGTCTTCTTTTATTAAAAGCAAGCAATAATATATGGTTTCGGGATGGACATTAAAATGTCCCTTAAAATCAGTTATTTAACTTTGAGGTCAATAGCTCATATGTTTAATTGAAGTGATGCTCAGATGTGCCAAACATCCAAACTGATGTCAAAGGACACAATTTTTTGACAGGGACAAGACAATGGTCTAAAAAATTTGGATATGTGAAATATTGATGAAAAATTATACTCTCACTATAAGTGTTTCGTCAACGAGGAATTGAAGCGCAATGAATGTGAAAACACATCGCACAGTATAACATGCTCACATAAATGTTGATAGCAAATGTCAAGGCGTTCTGATTCGTAGATATTGATAAAAATATGAGAACTTCATCAATGGTTATTTACTGTAAGAAAATATTTTCGGTAAATAAGAAGTTGATATTTGAGGAATTTGAAAATTGAAATAAAATTATAAGAAGCTCTGACTGTTCATAGTTCCTGAAACAATTAAGGGTGTACCGGAAACATCTTTTTTGCCTGTGACTGCTGCCGTCAGCGTTCAAGTGTAATGTTGACGGTAAAAAGGGACTATTTGACTTAAAAATACAGAGTTAAAAAATCATTTTTTAATATGCGATTAGCTTCTGTGTAAGTTTCCTTACAATCTATGAAGGTTTACAAATCAATTCTGTCATAAAATTAAATCCAAGACTGCTTGTAAATGCTATCTGCAAGTCCCGTCGCTGCTGTCAGTGTAACAGTGTAAAGTGTAATGTTTACTGTAAAAGGTGAGTCTACTAATTTTCCAAATTTTGCTTCGACATTATTTTTTAAATATTAAAAAGCTTCTAGCAAAATTTCATGACAATCTATAAAGGTTTCACAAAGTAGTCCATCTGATACAAATTATAACCTCAGACTGCATATCCTTGTTAACTGCCTAATTGTGTCAGTCAAGTACAGAAAAATGGAAAACATATATTTCATAATTTGCTCTGGATACTATCTTTTAATAAAAATACTTTTGCAGGAGAAGTTGACTATACAAAACTTCTATCGTCTTTCATAAATATTGCTGAAAATCACTAGGTTCCAAAGTCTTGTGGAATAGATAAAACTCCCACAAACAATTTCATAATAGCAGGTAAGCACACCTTCAACATATATAAAAACTTCCTGTGAAGTTTCAGGGATCTGGGTTGAAAACTGAAGGAATAGTTGATTACACAACACTTGAACCCTCTTTCATAAATTTTGCTGAAAATTCACTAAGTTCCAAAGTCTGAAAACATAAGAAATACTCCCTAAGACAATTTCATAATCGCAGATGCACAACTTCACCATATGTATAAACATCCTAGGTACCCACTTTTACTCCCCCGACCGCCCATTCTCCTCCCACCAATCACCATCATACTATATCTCGATTTTGTTTGAGTCAAACTAGGCCAAAAATAAAAATTAATATTTACAGAATTTTGCTTTAGATTTTGTCTTTTGTTCATAAAAAAACTTCTGTCATAATTTCATAAAATGCAATATTTTACCTGTATTTTATGGTTAATGAAAATTGGTTTAAAATTCAAAAGATTATGTCAAGCGGTACTTTATCATTCCGAGATCAAAAGTGTTGGACGTCGAATATAATTATTGACAACAAGACTAATGAACACGCACCTTTAGTTAGATTTGGTAGATATATTAAAATACAAAGAAAAGAGAGAATATGTCCAGTTGTCATAACCATAGGGCATTCAACAATGAGAAAAAGCCATACCGTATATTCGGTTTAAACATTAGAAAAGGGAAACAATTTAAATTAGAAACTAACGGCCTAATATATAACAAAAACATTTCCAAAGAACAATGAACCAACAACAAGTAATGAACTACTGGCTCCTGACTTGGGACAATCATACACAGAATGTGGCGGGGTTAAACATATTTGTGAACACTTAATCCCCCTAAAATGCGACAGAAATCTTCCAAACGCAGAAAATAAAGTTTGATTTGTCTTAGTGTGATGTACGGTTTCCAATTAAAATAAATATATATTGAGGCATAAATTTTGATGATGATTCATACCTATTAAAAATCCATCTGTAACATAAAAAAAAGGTAAAATTAAAAAGGTATCCATAACGAAACGCCTTATCTGATTTTTTGAACCTTTTGTTCTGCTTCTGGTGCACATCTATAACGTTACTGTAACAGAGAAAAAACGGACTATTTGATCATTAATACTTATAAAATTATACTTTCGATCATGACTCAAAAATGTTTAACTCTAATTAAAATCAAGATGTGTCGAAACGAGACCAATGGCCCAGCTCGCAATAAAAAGTTTGACGCCATTTTTAAAGAGGAAATTTGAGAATAAGAGTCCAATTCCAAATACAGTAATTTCGGTAGTAATAGGCGGAGCGGAACCAAATATAAACTCGATCTGTAGCTTATCATAGTAGACTCATATACTTAAAAACAGCTCACTATGTGAAGGCGTTTAGATAAAAAGTCCGTACAACTGTTTGTTGCAGAATAACGGAATTACGGATTTACGGATAAGGGTAAAACTATATTGCCCCGACAGCTTTGTTACGGGGCCAAAGAAAAAGAAGCAAAAAGCGCTTTATTAAATGTATTTATCATATGTACCAATATGTATGGTAAGAAGCAGATATGTATTGACTGAAAAATCGTCGATGTTGGGGTCTGCGCATGAAGAAGTAATGTTTTTTTGTTATTTTCAACACTCAATGGCTCGAATTAATAAGGTCAATTGTCTTTAGTTTGCCAGTAATCGTGACAACTGCTATCAATACCATTCATCGAGAAATTGTGCAGAAACGTTATTGACATCGTTTTATTTAAGAGATTTTCTCAGCTTGTAACCTATGACGTAAGCTTGATCACGTGCCCGTTATCTAGTTAAAAATCATTGATTATGACAAGCGCTGGATTCTTTGACATAAAAAATGCCGATTGGGAAGGTTTTGATCAGCAAAGTTGTAAAAAAACATGTTTTAAGACTAGTATTTATTGAATTATTAAAAAAAAATCGTGTCACGCCTTCTTTAAGAAATGACTCACTATAAAATCAATCAAAAGGACATTCGTTGTATAGCTGTCAAAACCAGTATAAAAGGTGTTTATTGATGCGGACTATAATTAAGAAGATATATTACTTTAGAAGGATCGTCCACAAAATCTTTTATCTGTGGTGGTGAATTATCCTTTTCCTTTTTTCTTGTATCCACAATTTTAGCGCTGATAGTTGGTGCTTCGTAAGCCCATAAATCTCTCTTAAATAACACCTTTTTGAATGTTACACTGGGAATTATAACTGGAACTGTAAACTCGATTGTAACCAATGCAGAAAATCGTAATTTAATTGGAATCAACTTCAGGTACATATATATTCTGAAAAAGAAAAAAAAATCAATGCAGTAGCTTTATATATTATCCAGTTGAATATGTGATCATTCCAATTAGAACATTCAATCAGTAAATACCATACTAACTGATATTATACATTTGCTTTGTCAGAGCTGTTGCAATAAAAATATCAAACCATAAATGTTTAAGGGTAACTGACATGATAGTCAACTTCTCTTGAAACCAAGTATCCAATTATCCAGGGTGAATTTACAGATAATTTTAAGGAAATAATCAGGATATAAGTACAAAGGAAAGACTTACTGAAATGATTAGAAATTTAGTTTCATTATAAAATTACAGTAATTGAACACAACTACCTGAAAAAGTATTTGAACTATACATCATCTCTTCAAGATAAGTATGTTGTTGTTCCTGCGGACAAAGCTTCAAATAATATTGTCTTTATATGTAAATCGTATTACTACGAGTGTCTTGTAAAAGAATTAGGAATAAATGAGCACTCAGGTAATCCCACATACAAAAACATATCATTTGACAAGGATGAGATTTTGGCGAATCATAAGTCCTTCATTGCTTCAATGAACATTGCATTGAACAACAAATCGGAGGACTTACCTTGTTTGTATTGGATACCTAAACTTCACAAAATTCCGTACAAACAACGGTACACTGCCGGCTCATCTGCATCTTTCACTAAGGAATTGTCCATTAGATTGACTAAAATTCTGTCCGCAGTGAAAGAGGGTCTTCAGAAATACTGTGAAACTGTTTACTCGCGTAGTGGTATTAACCATATGTGGATTCTTAAAAACTCTAAAGAACTTCTGGATAATTTTAAATCTCGGTCTTTTTCTTAAATTAGTTCTATCAAAACTTTTGATTTTTCAACCTTGTATACCACCATTCCCCATGTGAAATTGAAAAAAAACGTCTAAAAGAAATAATCCACAATGCTTTTCATCATAAAAATGGTAGCATACGCTATAAATTTATTACTTTGGGATACCATAAGGCATATTTTGTTAATAGTGAACAAAAGGGTAAAACATGCTACACAGAGGAACAAGTGATCAGTATGCCGGAGTTTCTTATTGGCAACATATTTGTTGAATTTGGAGGTAGACTTTTTCAACAAATTGTCGGCATTCCTATGGGAACGAACTGTGCGCCTCTCCTTGCCGACCTCTTCTTATTTTAATATGAATCGGAGTTCCTTCAGACACTTGTCAAAAACAAGAAGATCAAAGAAGCTATCAATACCGTTCATCAAAAGGTTATTTAATTTCACTTTCAGATATATTGATGATGTTCTTTCCATTAACAATCCGAACTTTTCTTATTGGGTTCCATTAATATATCCACCAGAACTAGAAATTAAAGAAAAAAAAGACACGGCTTCCTCCGCCTCATTTTAGACTTATACCTCGAATTTGATATACACAGTCATCTCAGTACCAGAATCTATGACAAACGAGACGATTTTAATTTTGAAAGTATCAATTTCCCCCACCTCAGTAGCAATATACCAACTTCACCTGCATATGGGATATACATTTCCCAACTTATTCGGTATTCAAGAGCTTGCAGCTCCTACTCAGACTTTGTAAAACGTCACCAGTGTCTGAGCAGAAAGTTGATGAACCAGGGGTATGTCAAAGAACGTCTCGTCCTTTTTTTAAAAAAGTTCATCGGAAGATACCAAAAACTTTTTGATAAATATTCCGTATCAACTTCACAAATAATACACGATGGTCTTGAAGTATAGATTTTGCGTACTGACGTTGTTTATCATCTTAATAACGTGTTATAGTATTCTTTTATATATCTTTATTAATATTACTTTTACTGTTAAGTCTGTTTTTTTAGATATCCATTTGACGTGACTCTGTACTTATGTATATCGTCATACTTTGTACCACACAATTATTTTATTTTATTTATTATATCACTTTTATTGTTATGTCTGTTTTTTGTTATATCCATTTTACTTGACTCTGTATTTATGTATCCCCTCATTCTTTGAACGACAAAATTATTTTATGTCTACCTGTGCGAATTTTAAACGCGCGATTTTACGCCAGTACTTAAAACCTTCCATCCTGTATGGGTGGATTTTACATAGATATATAAAATCGTGTAATATAAGCAAAATGAGGATTTTAAATTTGATCTATGCCTTTGTGTGCTTCTTCGTTACATTTGTTTGATTTTATAGTGATTAAGATGATATCACAATGTTGACTGCTGTACCCCTATTTTTGACATTTTTACCTATTGTGTCTGTTTGTTTTGTTCACGCATCGTTGTCAATATAATGGAATTTGATGCGACTGTCATACAAGTGAGAGATTTAGCTAGCTATAAAACCAGGTTCAATCCACCATTTTCTACATAAGAAAATGCTTGTACCAAGTCAGGAATATGACAGTTGTTATCCATTCGTTTGATGTGTTTGTTTTTTTGATTTTGCCATTTGATTGGGGACTTTCCTTTTTGAATTTTCCTCTGAGTTCAGTATTTTTGTGATTTTACTTTATACATATATCATTGATGATGATATAAATCCTTGAATGATGGATGTACAGGTAAACATGTTCCCCTTTTGTGTATATTTATAATATAATACTGGCAAAAAAAATGCAAACATTCCGTAAAATATCCTTAGACACATACTTACCCAACATCGATAGGAAACTTATTAAATGAGACTTCTGCACCGGAAGGAAATCGTAATTCCATGATCATTCCTTCAAGTTGTAGTTTACCACATACTATAAAAATACAAAGGCCAACCGCTCCATGAACATTAAGGCCTGCGTATGGTTCAACTTCAGTAAAAACAGTCATGCTGAAAATCTTCGCACCAACAATAAACTTAATGCCCCAGTATGCACCGCAACCAAATTCTAGAAACAAATAAAGCCAAATTTATTTGGCAAAAAAAAACAAAAAAAAACCAAGAATGCACATGCTATGCATACCCCCCTTATATTGAAAATATCAGGGGAAAGGAACAGGTGTACACAATATCAAAAAGCAATCTGGTTATCCAACAAAATTAAGATTTTTGGCTAAAATTGCAAAGGAACAAATATCAGACCTATGATTGTTCAGAATGAATTCTAAAGTATTTGTTATTGTGATTCATGTTCGATTTTAAATATCTGAACAGAAATAATCATGTCTTTCAAAAAAACAGCAATTAAAATGTGTAAGACTGTGAACTTGGTATCAATATTTGTAGCTTTGTTAAAGACATTATTACATAGATCTATTTTCATGGTTTTGCTTTAATAAATTAACAATGTATGGTTAGTAGATCATGATCATGATGATGATTATTTGTTAAAATCCTAAAATAAAACATAAGAAATTAATTGTGCTTGTTTTCGAGGAAAATGAGAAGAAAGCAATATGAAATTTTGTACGTACACTGAAATTTTCCGACGATTTGCAATCTTTTTATGCTGGCATTTACCTCTATTTCACATAAAAAACATATGAAATTCCCATAAAAAAGTATAAGAATGTGTATTATCTTTTTAAGGATGATCCATAAAAACATCACGAAACTCAGTGAAGGTAATTTGTATTAGCCACAATGAATAGGTACGAAATATCATGATGTTTATTTATTAAATGGATAAAAGATTTTACCTGCCGGATTAAACAGATTAGACCTTAAACAATGGACACGGGTCTATATTTAAGAATTGAATGCTTCTTTTTGTAAAATAATTGGAGTGTAAAAGCGTTGACTGAAGTACATTTTGTATGAAGCGAGGAAACGCTTCATTCTAAAAATGCGCGCACGGTCAACGCTTTTACAACCCTAAAAAATACTGAAAGAAGCATTCAGTACTTATAATTACCTTTTTTTTGCTAAGATCATAACATCTATCAAGTTTTTCTTTTATTTACTTGTGCACTTTATTGTGGAAGCTGATGTCATCATGAATTACATTTCATTTTCAAAAGGTTAATTTCAGAATGACGCGAGATTGCTTTTAGCCAATCAAAATGACGTATTATAAAGAAAAATACATGTATTGTAATTATTAAAAAATAAAATCTATGGAAATATAAAATGTTAACAAATCACCATTTTTAGCTATTGTTGAGTGTACATGTAAAAATTAAAATAACAAAAATACCGAACTCGAAGGAAAATTCAAAAAGGAAGGCCCCTTTATACCTAGCTAAAGCTTTCACTTGTATGACAGGCAGATAAAATTCCACTATATTGACAACAATGTGTGAGCAAAACAAACAGACATAATAGGTAAAAATTATAAAAATTGGGGTTCAGAAGTCAACATTGAGCTAAATTAGTAATCACTATAGATCAAACAACTATTGTTGGGCAGGGTTGAGCGCCCATAACTTGTTTAACCCCGCCACATTCTGTATTTATGTGCCTGTCCCAAGTCAGGAGCCCGTGATTCAGTGGTTGCCGTTCGTTGCTATGTTCCGTATTTGTTTTAGCGTTCATTATTTTGTACATAGATTAGGCCGTTAGTTTTTTCGTTGGAATTGTTTTAAATTGTGTCATTTCAGGTCCTTTTATAGCTGACTAAGCGGTATGGGCTTTGCTCATTGTTGAAGGCCTTACGGTGACCTATAGATGTTAATTTCTGTGTCATTTAGTCTCTTGTGAAGAGTTTTCTCATTGGTAATCATACCACATCTTCTTTTTTACATGTCAACAAAGAAAAACAAATAGGGCATGTATATACCCAATAGACAAAGCACATGTGCAAAATGAAAGACAAGATTACATAAAATGACCATAAGAAGCCATGCCAAAAAGATATAAGCACAAATGAATTGAATAGTAATGGTTAAAAATATACATCTGCTAGCTCTTGAATACCGAATGAGTTGGGGAATGTATATACCATAAGCAGGTGAAGTTGATTTATTGCTGCTAAGTTGGGGGAAATTTATAATTTCAAAATTAAAATCTTTCCTTTTGTCATAGATTCTGGTACTGAGATGAAAACTTATGTCAAATTTGAGGTATAAGTCTAAATATGAGGCAAAGGAAGCCGTTTCTTTTGTTTTTTTTTCTTATTTCTAGTTCTGGAGGATATATTAATTGAACCCAATCAGAGAAATTTGGATTGTTAATGAAAAAAACATCATCAATATATCTGAATGTGAAATTGAATTATCTGGCTTCTGCGTTTGTTTTGCTAATCTTGCTTCTGTAATTTTTGTGCATCATGATGCTGTCAATTGTACTGGTTATGTATCAGTACTCTTACGTTAAGCCATATGATACTTCGAAGTTAACATGTTTTATATACTAGCAAGAAAGTAGACAAACTTCTGATAATCATAATTGAACAAACTAATTAAATAACCAAAATTGTTCACAGTTCATTTGTGCGGATGTACATAGACATTACTTACATAATATACTGATAGAATACTTTCATAATTCTAAACAACTGCATAAGTTTAATATATTACCTGTCAACATGAATATGAGTAGAAATATGTTATAATTTCGGATTTACATTGTATATTTTGATAAAGTTGCTTTTCGATCTATTTTTTTTTAATTAAAGGATAAACTACATGTGAAAAGTTGGAAGTAGACTTTTTGCAAGTTTCGTCATTTGTCTTAAGAGTAAGCCTCCCCTTATTGGTATTACCTTGGAGTTTTTATTTTTGTTACACGTTTTTGTATAATATGAATATTAAAATTAGACAACTTTCTACCAAAAAAGAGGAGCTATGTTTCCAATACTAAGCACAGTTTATACAAATCAATATGTTGTATAAAACGTAAACCAAAATAAACGGAGAATGTGTCTACGGGCCACAGATGCCCTGCTTGTTAATATGCATGAGTCAATGTACTAATTGTACAAGTGACGCCACTCAATTTCCAATTTGATCTGTTTTTGTTTTGTGTTTTATAATTTGGTTGAAGCAAACTAAAGGCAAACTAAAGTTAGAGCACGGCAACGATAGATTTAGTAATTTTTCCATTTGTAAAGGGACATAACTCATGAACGGTAAATGTGACACCACCCAATTTTGATATTGATCTGGCTTTTGTGGTAATAAGCAGTGTGCATAAGTTTCATAACATTTTGTTGAGGCAAACTAAAGTAAGAAAACGGAAACGAAAAATTCAGCAATTGTTATTTCTATAAAGGGGAATAACTCATAAACGGTAAAATAGACGCCACCAAAAATCGACCTTGATATGTGTTTTATGGTAATAAGCATTGTCTATAAGTTTTATAACATTTAGTTGAGGCAAACTAAAGTTAAAGAACGGACGTACGGACGGGACGGACGGACTGTACGGACAAGGATAACACTTTATGACCCCTTCGCTTTGCGGCGGGGCGTAAAAATATAAAAAAGTAACTATAGTGTAACTGATTTTTAATTAAACAAATACATACCAAAACTTAATAATATGAGACCAGCAAACGGATATGAGTAATGAAAGTCAAAAAAATTGACTTGCTTTCTTGGCATAGAAAAATCCCCATCCAGAGTAAAATCAAAGGATTTAAACTCATTTCCATCTCCACCTAGAATTTTAGAAATTAGTTCTGACAGCTGAAAGTAAAATTGTGAAAAATTAGTATAAGATATAGTCTACAAAAATGACATTAATTTCTGGTAGAAAAATATTTTATTTTTATCAGATTATGATAACGACGAATACTGGCAATACAGGTAACAACTCAATATTAAAGGAAATATACCCGACATTGCGTAACGTATGAATTCAATTTCATGTTGTTCACATGACAATATCTTTATTTATCTCGCTTTAAAACTTATGTTATGCTTATGTTGTTATTTGTCCTCAGAAGCCAACGTTTTATCAATTTTGATTTTAATTTCATTTGTCGTAAAACTATCACAAGATTAATTTTGTCAATATCAATATCACTTTTGCCAAAATGTTTTGGCAAAATAAAGACATCAACTATGCACAATGTCTTTTTCTAATAATCAACAGCAAGAATCTTCTCTTGTCAACCTATCACAACTTATTTTTAAACTAAAAATAATAACTTTTGATTCAGTTAAAACCATTATTACCAAAGCTTTTGCTAAATCTCTAACTTCATTTGTAAGTTTCAAGACTTCTAATGGATCAACATTCTTCATCTCTAGCATACTTTCCAGGTCAGCAATAGTCATAGCTGCTAGTTTATTGCCTAGCAACTTGATTCCATCATTAGTTAACCCTTTACCAACTGTAAATGGTTGATTTTTACGCCACCTCTGCTCCCTTGATCTTCCACTCAACATCCTTGTAATCGATTGATCTGCACATGAATAAACATACAATATTTACACTAAAAAACTCGCAATCCTTCAATAATTTACAGTTACTTTGACAGAACAGAAGGAAATATGCATACAGGGTAATCAATATTTAAATAATATTTAAAAATCATTGTTTTTTTCATTCATTGGGTTTCTTTTCCAATATGACAAGACTGCATTTTGATTTAGATCAAGACATGTTTGCTATCATGGCATCTTCTGCCTTATGATGAAAATGACATTAAAGATTGATTGATTGATTGGTGTTTTTGCCACTATCAGCATTATAGTGCTTTTTTATGGCGGTCAGTTTTTATTGGTAGACGAAGCCAGAGTGCCCGGAGATAACCACAGGGCTTCGGTAGGGAAACTAACAATCCTAGTCAGTTAAGATTGATATTTAGCGCACCTGCCACGTGCTGAACTCGAACTCACAACCTCTTTTTTGACAAGCTAGTAAAACAGTTCATGCAGTAGGTCGACTACTGAGACCACTCGGCCACCGGTGGCATGACAGCTGTATATACTACTATTTTATATTGCAACTGTGATATTTGGTCAGTCAGACTGCATTGTTCGATTATTGATTTGTGATACATGTATACAGTTACTGACCATATATCACCTTGTTTATGACGTTGACAATGCATTTCCGTACAATTTTATTCATGACGTCAATAAAGGTTCTCGATATTTTCTGTACGTAATCCTCTTCAAATTCAAGATTAATGGTTTTGACCCAATCAAGTTTATTTTAGATTCTGAGTAAGCGAGAGGCGAAAATAACCAAAGTATTATTCAAAAGCATAAGTCGAAAACAAACTGAAAATGCCATGGCGATGCAATGGTAAGAATGACAGTTTAGAGAGAATAACCATTCATTGTCTCGAAATATTGATCATATTTTTAATCGTCCTGACATAGTCAACAAAGCCTCTCATTCTACCTGTTTCAAAGACTCGAAATAACATTTTTTTTTTAATTATTAGACAATGCTAGTTACATATTCTTCTTGCATTTGTCAAGATGGCCTTTTTCTCAATTTCTTTCTTTGATTGTACTGTGTATTTTTTACAGCCGAGTAGAGTATGAACTTGATGACCTGACGAGCCAAAGTCGTTTAAGTTGCATACGAAAATAGCAATAAATAGATTATCCATGCTTTATCAACCCAATGGAAGTTTCTCGGTCATATCTCTACTCAAGGCTATGCAAAAAAAAGTACCAGCTAGGTTTGAGAACCATAAATAATCTATATACTCTAATTAATACACCTATTTCATATATAAATCTGAAAGTACAAACTTTTAAGGTTACGATTAGGTCGTCATTATTAACATTGCAAACACTAAAAACTACTACAGTAGTATTCAATTTTAACTTGAAGCATTTAAGAGATCCTTACCATGTAAGTGAAACATATACAATAGAGAGATGTCCTACCGCTTGAAAATTATTAGTAACAAGAATGCACGCATTGTCGTTCTACGAATTAGCACATCCCAAAAGTATCTGAAAACATGAAGTAGGTGTCTGACACATCAAACAGAGGCTCACAAATTTCATTCTATCCCTTCCATGCTGCTGACAGAATATAAGTAGTACTTGAAAAAATGTAACGAAAAAGTAAATTCAATATACATGTTTTGAGAATATCAAAGTATCGGCAAACAGAAAGTATATGTCTGACAGATCCGAACAGAGCTCACACATTGTAACTAATCACTAACACATTGTTGATTAAGAAGTACCGGAGAAAAGTGATACATAGTTAAGAAGAACGAACTTATCGACTGATGGAAGGATGGATAGACATAATGCAGGTCCAACAAATGTAAAAGATGAATGCAAAACATACCCATTCCTTGCGTGAAGTAAAGTATTTTGAAACTTTGTTTCAGTGTCGTATGTTGAGTCAATCGTGCTTTCTAAAACGGGCTCGAAACATAGTTTCTCAAATACTTAGTGTCAACCAGCTGGCCAATATAATATTTTACGGATTAGTTCTTATTATTGCATTATCTATTTTTTTGAGGAGAGGCGAACGTTACATAATGAAAATTTTAACTCATAAGTCGAAATAAACTGACAACCCTATGACTCAAAAAAAAAAGGAGCAACAGACTGGTAACAGTGCAAAAAAACTCACAAAAACTGCTATATAGAAGCTATTCTTTATAACAATGGTATACCGTATTGAATGATTGATTGATGTTTGTTTTACGCCGCTTCAGCACAAACAAAAATATATAGTGGGAATGTAATACAATAACTGCTGCTTACCTCCAATAACATGATTAAGAAGGCCAGCTATGCCTGCAAAAGGAATTGTTGCAGGATTGTTTTTACCAAGGGCTTTAAGTAAAGACCTAGGACCAGTCTTCTTGTCACTTTCAGGAATGTGAGTCTCTCTAAAGTTTTGGCGTCTCTTTTGATTCTGTAATGTATAAAAGTCCATTTTAAAACAAATATTTCAGATATCTTTGCATTGTGTGTTAGGCTAAAACACGTCAGCTTTTCCCCCGCTATTTTCTATAAAAGGTTAATATCTCTAAAAGGAGTTCCGTATTCTATTAGTATTTTTTTTAGCTATTTTCGTTCCTTTACTTATGCTCTTCTGATCTACAGTATCAATTTTATATTCCAGATTTTTTAATTTCACCTGACTACATCCTTAAGAACTTCTAGTTTTCGCAATTCATCATTAGATAGAAACATAACCACTAATAACTAAAATCAATCTAAATATATGCCTTTATAGTTTAAAATGATTTTTTTATTCAAGCTGCAATTGGTTAGAAAAATATAACAACAACTCAAACATGTCTTCAGAAAGAGGTGAAGTGTACCTGATTTTTTTTAAGGAATTCACATAAACAAATATGGAACAAATATTTATAAAAAGTCAGCTTACTGTTAAGGAATTTTTGTCAGTGTATTCCTATTCATCATATATTATATATTTATGATCTGTGCCTATTTACACATGTCACTATAATTGATAATTTACTTAGTATACTTACTTACTTACTATTAACCTTTACTTTGCGTTAGCTGGCATTATTTCAAGGCGACCACAGAACCAGTGATCAGAAAATATGTTAACATTTTTACTTTTGCTATGCTGACATTATTTCAAGGCAATTACAGAAACAGTCAAAAGAAGATATTATCTGATCTATCTTAAGTTTTCTATGTTGTGTTTTGTTTACTGGTGTTTGTCTGTTGGTCGTTTTTGGTATTTTACCATGGCCTTGTTAAGTTTTTTTTCGACTTATGACTTTGAATATCCCTTTGCTATCTGTCGCAATTCTTTTTTTACCATAGTTTAGCCTTTGTTTTAGTTGACATTTTTTCCAGGCAATCACAAAACCAGTGAACATAAGATACATTTACATAGTTAAACTTTGCTTTAGCTGACACCGTTTCAAGGTAATAAAAGAAACAGTGAACAGATGATATGTCAGCAGAGTTGAAACACTTCTTTGCTTTAATTTAGGTGTCATCATTTGTAAGCAATCACAGAACGCTTGAAAATGCAAAAATGAAAAAAATGAAAAAAAGATATGTCAGCATAATTTAACCTTTGCTTAAGCTGACATTATTTTAGGCAATCATTTTAGGAATCATGAAACATAAGATAATTGGCAAAGGAACACTGTTGATTTAAGTGACACTATTTCCTGATAATTTTGGATAATTAAGTAACGTTAGATATTAATACCTCTGTTTCCTTTACCGCTCTAAAAAAGTCTAGATAAGCACTTTCTGGTGCTTGTTGTCCTGCCAACATTCTTAAGCCTTGCATCATTTTATTTGGATCAAGACTGTAAAGAAAAACTGTAGTTCTGACATCAATTTCAAGCAAAGCATAAATTCAAATTATATGGATACAGGTCGAGGATAATTACATTATACAGTATCGATCCCTACTTCTCATTTCTTTTACCTCGAAAAAAACATAATCAATTTTTATTAATCTATTTGTACAATAAACGTTAACGTTGATCAGAGAATAATTAATATGTGATATGCAGCCTTTTATTAACAAATAATTAGATAATAAAACATAATGTGAACCATAATACAGCATAGGAGAACATATTCTTCTAAAAAAAAAAAAAAAAAAAATAAATAAAATACATCTATGAGCACAGTAACATTTTGTCTTGGAAGTTTCACTTTCTATATTTGGATATGGAATTTTTATCTAAATTTAGGTGTTGTGAAGTCACGTGACGTTAAAATATATATGCCTTGAATATTAATATCTTTTCAGAGCAAATGTGTATTGATAAGAGAAACACAATAACTATTGATTTTATTTTTTACAGGTCATTGATGTCGGATCATGCATGCTTTTTTCGTACACATATTTACTGGAGCACACATTTGTATTTTAATGCGTGTATAGAAATTTGATTGTAGGATTTCACTAATATTTGCGAATTTGGGAGCGATTTTTACGTCAATGATTTTAATTTTTCAATCAGGCGGACCGCGCAGGTGTTTAAAGTGCTAACAAAAATACGTACCATTTTGACAAAAAAATTTCAGTAACGACATGTCGCAACAAACATATTGGTTAAATTGTTTTGTAGATACCTTTAACTCTTTCTGGGAAGAGGCGACATAGACAGAGAGTTAGTTTTTAAAAACAAAAGAGAAAATAACTCTCATATGGAGTCTCCGGATGGCTTCGGTCAAAATAATTCTTCTGATCCTGAGGATATAACGAGCAAATTGGTGAAATGATTTTAACTCTTACAATAAAAAGAGTTCGGTTAAACAGGGTCAGTCTAAAAAGCACAATTACTGTTCGATATCATATGCATAACAAGACATGATTGTAACAGGATGCTGTTACGAAGTCTCCCAAACGAAGCTCCCATAATTCGTAATTCCCAGGGTCGCCTGACATTGGGCAACGTCCAGTGAAAATTGGTTTGGTCCAGTAAAGCTATATGCATTAGTGATGCCTAGGGACTAACCTTGTATATCATTCAAATCATCTTGGCATGACAAACCAGAATATATATGGTTTAGGGGTGGGGATCTCGACCATTTACAAGATACTAGAACATTGGGGGTGGGGTGGAACCCCTGGGGACTGGCCCTATACGTCATTCAAATGTTCATTACATGACGAACAGGAATATATATGGTTTAGGGGTGGGGATCTCAACCATTTACAAGATATTAGAACATTGGGGGTGGGGGGAACCCCTGGGGACTGACCGTATACGTCATTCAAATGTTCGAGACATGACAAATAGGAATACATATGGTTTAGGGGTGGGGACTCGACCATTTACAAGATATAAGAACTTTCTCAAATGGCAGGGGGTCGGGGTGACCCCTTGGGACTAACCCTGTATATCAATCAAACCATCTTAGCATAACAAACCAAAATATATATGGTTTAGGGGTGGGGATCTTGACCACATACAAGGTATTAGAACTTTCTTAAATGGCAGGGGGTGGGTGACCCCTGGGGACTAACCCTGTATTTCATTTAAAGGGCTTTATCATTCAGAACATTTTCAATTCAAAAGATTGTGTCTATCACAAACGGTTTTCAATTTATAATCATTTGAAAATTTTAAAAAATAAAATCCCATAGGGTTCTTTAGTAAAACCCTCTTTTCTTTTTGCCCCTCAAAGAACCCCTTTATAAACCCCATTGCACAAACAAAACCCTGATTGCACCACTAGACATGTTAGTCTAACATATTGTGAAACCCTAAGTTAATCTGACAAGCGGTTTTGGAGAACGGGTGCGGACAAGTTCAAATTTAAAAGCGGCGGAAGAAGAAGAAGAAGAAGAAGAAGAAGAATAATAATAATAAGAACTGAGCAAAAACAATAAGTCTTCCCAAACTTCGTTTGGGAGACTTAAAAATATGCAACATCTTGCGAAACCACTATAAGCCGCAAGAAAAAATATGGCGGAAGAAAAAAAAATAATAATCAGAAGAAGAAAATCAATAGGTCTTTCCACTGAAAAATTGAAAGACCAAGTTATGTTTGTCTTAGTTGAATTTAATTATGAAAGAAATTGAAAAATCGAAATTTGAAATATATTGGCAAAATGATAAAATATCATTTAACAGTTAATTCAACCCATTCCTCATCCAAATTCTGAAATATTAGTAAATAACTTGACCAATTCATACACATTTACATAAATATTTTTAAAGTCAATGAACTATTACTTAGGGGAAAGGCTACAACCAAAGCATACCAATTATCAATCACTTAAAGTAAATAGTTGCTCTTGAACTTACCTAATCTTTAAATTAGATAATTAGTGATGTCACTTACACTAGGGAAAGCATAACATTAGATTTGTTTCACCAGCTTTTGTTTTAAATGAGACAAAAAATGATAAAAACCATTAATATGCATATGTAGTGACTTGATTTCAAATTATTTCTCTTTGCCTTTTGCAATTTGTTTCATCATATGAAACTGTTCAACTTGTAGGAAATTTTACTAAACTGATTTAGAAGAACCACAGTTAGGTCAGCAATTATAAAATGACTACCTTACCTTTCGAATGCACAATTACAATAGATAAGGATATAAATTATTAGCAGCACAATATATAGTGGATTTAAATTGGATTGTAAGTTACGCTTTCATTTCTCTATGAGCTTCCTGCATTGATGACTTGATTGTGGTTCTTCTACCATTTGTCTACAGCAGTTTTGTCAATTTCTGACAAGTTTAAATTGATCAATATAAAACGTGTAGTTCGTTTGAAAAAATTCTATTACTTCACATAACATAAGACTTGAACTACACGATTTTACCCCTTCTCCCAAAATAAGATTATGATCATTAAAAAAGCTCAATTTTGAAAACATAAACAATAATATTAGCACATACATGTTGGTACTACGTTTTCTTCTTTTCTTCCTCCTATGACATGCTGTATTCTTAATGTCTATGCCTTTTAAAAGTTCAAAGGTCTGTATACCAGAAGTCAGATAATGAACTTGTAAAGATGCTGTCAATATGTATTTAGTTGGATGTTTTACAACACTGACATTCAGCTTAAATGCGTCTCCTGTAGTTTCAGATATCACATCATCTACAGAAGATTGTCACAATTGTAAAAATAAATTCTATATATAAATATATGAATAAACTTAATAACAATAAATTAATTAAACGTTACAAAAGGTGTAGATAGCACTAAAGGTACCTATACAACTCTGCACAATACAAACTAGAGGCTCTAAAGGGCTGGTACAATCACCTCAGTACTCGAAACTAAACCCCCTAGTCGGCACATATGACCATTTTGCAGAACTGGACCACAAAATGCGTTACTGAAATAGCTGTTGTCCCTAAATATCATCTAGGGGGGACGAGTTAATTGTAGTTCATTTTTCAGTAAAAGGCAAGGAGTGAATATTATTTCAATCTTCAATCTGCATCTTTAAACCTACAATTTATTTCCGATTTCTTATTATACTTATTATCTTCCAAATATAATCTATAAACAAATTACAGGATTTGGTTCTTTTTTAAACCTTATTTACCAGTTTCTTTTAGATATTGTCAAATGTGGATCTACCTTCTATCATGCTTTTCCATTTTTTCGGAATTGCACTAATAATCCCATAAAACTCAACAAAATAACAATTGAGATTTATTATTTTTTAACTTTTGAAATACATTTTTATTAGCATTTAATTCGTTGTCGACTCAGATGAAACACTGTTTCTCTTTTATTGCAGCAGTTTCTTTTCTTTTAGCACTTGGTTAAACATCTGATTTACAATCAATGATCGGGATCAATAATTTATGAATGGGATCACTAAAGTAATCATTTCCAAAAGTTTTGATAGCTGGATTTGTCAGACTTAAAAAATGAAATCTGAAATTTTACCCCAAGGTGCATTTCTTTAAAGCCGTAGTACTCATATTTATTATTAAGTAGGGGTGATGCAGGAAGTATGAAAAAAAAGATTGTTTCAAAAGTATACTTGGATAATAGACATGGGTGTAAAGATCATCCTGGCCCTATTGACCAGGTGTGCTAAACGACAATATTTTTCAGGTACTTGAATGAAGAGGAGGTTTTGACACAACAATGCAGCATTATATCAAATTTAAATAGTGAATCATTATTACATGAATATATTTTCAAATACATGCCTAATTTGAATTCTATTACATTGGAACAATACACAAAAAGAAAAAAAAACCTCAACAAGCATGGTATAAAGTAATGTCTGCATATAGGTCCTGAATTAGAATTATGGAGTTTCTGAAATTTTTCAGGAGTTTCTTATATACAATAATTTGACACAATTCGTGCCTCAGAGTAGTTTTCCATTAAGAGAAAACATTAGAAAATTCAATATATCACAAATATTTAAACTCGTAAAGTGACTGATTTTAAAGAAAGTCAAATCATGCATCATCGTCAACTCAATGCACACATATAGTAAAAATAATAAATATTACCTGTAAGGATGTTTCTTTGAAACTTTTTCCTTTCTATACTGTAATCAAGCTGATCACACGCATTTATTTCAAAAGATGTACACACTTTTCTTTCCCCAATCACAAACTCAGCATCAACACAACACTGTAAACCCTGACAATCTTTTGTCATCTGACATACTACATTTTGTGCATTGGGAATCATCACAGAACATGCTGTAAAAAGACTTACATTTTAACAATGTAAAAATAACTCGATATGCATTATGCACTCACGCAAAGGTCTATCAATTATAAATATACTTTTTCTAGTATTTCTGCATCTATTTCTAAATGTATGATTAGATACTAGAATACTCTTTCAGTATTTCTGCATCTATTTCTTATGTATAATAAGATAAGAAAAATCTTTTAAATAGCCTTATATTCCTTTCAAGTGAATCCATTATGAACAATTTTCCTACAGCTAAATATAAAGGGTCATCAACATTTTGCAGAAGGTATTAGTATTTTAACACTTTTACTGTCTAGTCGTATACTGATCTATAGATGTCTAATTCGTGTGTTGTTTGGTTCATGTCTATCTTATTGAAAAATACTCCACAGTTCCAGGAAAAGATAAATAAATATATAGAAAAGCAAAAATGAAATATCCCTTTTTTACTGTATAATGAGTTTTGGCTTTTAACATTGAAAAAAAAGTCACCTCAATCTTTAGCTGCTTTATCCTTCATCCTCTCCCTCCACAAAAAAGAAGAAAAAGAATCACCTTATAGTATGCAATTCACCGAATAATACTTCGGATAGAAAAAAGTAAAAGAACAAAAATACCGAACTGCAAGGACAATTCAAAGTGAAAAGTTCCTTATCAAATGGCAAAATCAAAAACTCTAACACATAAAATGAATTGAAAACAGCTATCCTATTCCTGACTTGGAAAAACATTTTCTTTTGCAGAAATTGGTGGACTATACCTGATTGTTATAGCTGGCCAAATCACTTACATGACAGTCTCATAAAAAACATTATATTGACAACAAAGTATGAACAAAACAAAGAGACATAATAGGTAAAAATGTCAAAAAAAAAGGGATACAGCTATCAACATTGTGTTAGAATCTTAATCACTATAAAAACAAATAAATATGTCACCAAAGGAAAACAAAATGGCATATAGACAAAGCACATATGAAGAAATATACCTCTATCATTTGGTACCAAGGATGAATCTGTCACTTTCCAAAAATCAAAAGAAATTCCTGTAATGATATAAACACATAGATAACTGTGTCTTAACTCACTAAAATAAATTCAATGTATGCATTAATCAAAAATATGAATACAGACATTATATCATGGTATTTCAGTTTTTGTTAAAATAGAGTTTACGTTTGTTAAGTGCACATAGGAAAGTAGTCTGTAGTTTATAGATGAGGCATTCACAGATCTGAAAAGTGCTCACACCTTACTACTCATTATTTTCAAGCTGATGATAAATAATGCAGTTATTTTGTTTAGTAGCACTGGAGAATTATTGTACGAAAAGAAGATCTAAGTTCATTCAACAGATTGAAATATTCAAAGTATCGTCAATCAAAAAGTAGGTGTTTAATAGATCCAAAAAAGCTATCACACATTAAAACTCATTACTGTCAAACTGCTGACCAAATATAAAGCCATTATACTTCTATGTTCCAAAATTTGTTATTTGTTGCCTTTCATAGCTTACTATATGGTATGGGTTTGCTTATTTTTGAAGATAGTACAGTGACATGAACTGTGTCAATCCACAAACACATAGCTAGAATACATGTTTACCTTTAAACGGAACACTTTCATCGTCAGAAGAACAAACTGTGTACAATAGATCAGAGGCTTTCAACACAGATACGTCTGTCTGGCAATTGTTACTTGTAGCATCAAAGCAAACCTTAATATCAGCATCAACAGAAAATTTACTATCAGAGGGTATGCTTCTCACTCTAAATCTACAATTCACAAATACTGGAGTATAATAATCATTGTAATACTACATTGATATCATATTTCAAAATAAAATTTTTATTTTGTTTAAACCCTGACATAACTGTTTGCAAGATTTCCCTAAACGACTTTAACACTTTCCGTATTGATTTTGTCTTATTACATAAAGCACACTTGGGGTGAGGGTAAAAGTTGGTGGATGGGATGCAGGTTTTCCTATATAAATGTATACACAGACGTGCCACCGGTAAAAAAAAATGTATGGGTCGGACTAAATTTATTGATTTTTCAAATGAAGTTTTTCATGGCTTGAAGTTCAAACAACGATCTCCGCTTTTTGGCGTCGAAATATATTCTAAAGTAAAGTCTTTATATTACTTGTTATGAGTTGTGGTTTCGTTTAAGTTCTTAAAAAAGGAAGTAAGGCTAACATTCAATTTTTGAGAGGGAATTTGTGTTAACTGACTGCACGTGTCAGAATCTATTTCAGCGATAAGACAAATTTCTTCTGACTGTTTTCCGTTTTCATATTTTAACTTACGTTCGATGTTTTGTGTTGTTACAATGAATAATCTTAAAGCTGATAAATGACCAAAAATCTTTAAATACCATCGACTTAAATCCGCCATTTCAAAAGCAATGTTCCTGTCAACTTCAACAGAAGAGAAAGAACTCATCTTAACTTGACGGACAACAACCATTTCATAATTTCTGATCTTTTTCAATTACTACATGTAGGACTGACCAATAAAATATGTATTTGTTTAACGATTGCACAAATAATCTGTCCAATTGTCATATTAACAGACTTATAAATCGAAGTAATCAGATCATCAGGAATAAATGACATGATTATGACTTTTACTGAAAATTTTAGACATAAAATGAAAACTCGAAACCTGTTAACATCCTCTGTCTACAGACGATTTGCAGCTTTACGTAAGTGATCTGATAATAAAACTGAAAGAAGACGGTGTAATTTGCCATGTTTTCATGATGCATTGAGGCATTTCTCTGTCAGTACAGGTGATACTTTCAGGCATCAAACGGCTGTTGTCAGATGATGACTTGCGGCGTCAATGACCTTGAACAGGTAAAACAACATAGATACATACCGCAAGTGCAAAATACATTGTAAAACTGAAAACAGATACGAATATCAAAATGGTTATTAACATTTATCTTCTGTTATTTGTTATTTTGTCATCACATACACAGTTCAATCTTCATTGAATACATTTTACAATGTTCCAGAACAGCAACAAAACCTTTCAATAAAATAAAAACTTACATAAGTCTGAAAACTCCATGTAGCTGAACTTCTTCATCTTTGTCTAAGAAACATAATATAGTGCTTTTAATTATATAACCATGAGTAAATGAACAACGATACATCAATATTCTTGTTTTATATAGTTGAATATATTGTTTTACATTTTTCACATAGAAAATGCATGTATGGTTTCACATGGGCCTGATTTATTCAAGATTTATTACAACTCATAACTAAGTTATTCAATCCTATCGCCGACAGCAGCCCATACAGAAGTAACAAAATGTCAATGGTTTCACTGGTAAAGGAACCATAAAAAAATAAGTTTCAAACCAAATATAAAATTTACCAATATTGATGTTTTTGTAGATCTTATCTTGCTGATCGTTATGATGTTTAAAGTTTCTCTGTATCTTTTACAGATATTAGGCAAAGAAAATCGACATAATTGGTCATCTAGGGCAATTACTTCTATGAGTATTCATCTGGCATTTTCGTGAAAATGGATAGTGGGTAGTTCAAATTTCTGAACATTTCTGCCCCTTAGATTTGTTTCTATACATAGCTGATTTTAGAATTATAAACAAAACTTGCATTTTATCTACAAGGAAACATAAATCCAAAAAATTATAAAAATCGAAAGTGAGCTTACGTTAACTGTCAATAGTTATAAACAAATAACCAAAGTTTCATGAAAATTGGTTAAAGCGTTTTTGAGTTTTAGTCAAACATGTTGATGACGGACGGACGGACGGACAGACAGACGGACGTATAACGGTATAAAAACGACAAGGATTTAAGACGGACACTAAGTGATGGCACTGTGACTTTTGGCGAGACGAGATAAAAATATAACTTCTTACCCCATTGGTAGTTCAAAAGATGAACTTCATAAATGAGATTTTCCAAATAAACTACCAACATATACTGACAGGTATTAACTTCTAAAGAGGCAAACAATGAACGTCTGAATATATCAACGAATACACAACAAGATATCATATTACAGGCAGGTGACATGTAACATTTAATGTTGTCCGGCAGTACAGTTACTGGAGTAGTGTCTTTTGCACAGGCTGAAAGAAAACAAAAGGAACATATATGACACGGTATATCTTGTTGCAATTTATATATGATTGCATATGAGAAAGGCAAAAGATACATGAGATACCAAAGGGATATGTAAACTCATAACTCACAAATAAACTCACAATGCCATGGCAAACAAATGAGTAACGACCAAAGGACAATAGTACAAAGACCACAACATAGAAAACTAAAGACCTAGCAACACGATACCCATAAAAACATGGGTTAATTGCGATGCTCTGGTAGTGTTAGCAGATCCCGAAACTAACTGGCACATTTGAAAAATACAGGTTTTTTAAAAAAAATATAAACATGTACAGATTGGCAAATAATACAATGCTGTAATCTGGAGTTCTTAATATTGCAGTCTGATCAAAATCCAATCCATTAAAGAACCTTTTAAGGTTTAAGTGAGCTTTCAAGTTGCGGCTTTGTGATGTTCAAAATCAACAGCCAATCGTTATCATGTAATATTCATCAACGGTAGGAAATGCATTGCTGAGCATAGTATGAGAGAAATCTATTTTTCTAGTTTATCCTTATCTCTATAATACTATTATAATTCTTCCTAAAATTGATGACGTAATGACTATAAAGAAAATTTAAATCCTTGATATATATAGACGGTTGCAGTCCTAACATGCACAAAAGTTCATGTTGATTAGTTCTTATATCAACTAAAGAAACTTTTAGCAGACCTGCTAAGTTAACTGTATCATTATCAAACTAGACCTTGGTCTGCTTTTTTAGACCTGAGTCTGATGAAGCAGACTTGTTTTCATAACAGATCAGCTTGACACGACGTGACCTAAGACATGTCAGCTTGACCAGACCAGACATGTGGTAAGGTCAACGTGACCAGGACCAGACCAAACCTTCCGACTGGTCAGTTTGACCAGACTACAACAGTGAACCGGTAAGCTTGACTAGAACAGACCAATGGACAGACCAGCTTGACCAGAACAGACTTGTCAACAGGTCTTATGTTAACTTGTCATGCTATTTGAAAGACCAGTCATTTCAGTTACGAAGGCATGTCTGCTTTTGAGTCGGTCCTATGTTTTCACTTATAGGATACTTATATGATATTCATCAATCAAAATGGTTCTGTTTACTAGTAAACTTTGGATCAAGTCAACTTTTACTTGGAGAATATGTAACAGGTCTGGTTCGGACAAAGTAGTTCAGATCGATATCTGCTTTTAATAGCAGACCTCTTCCCAATTTAACTTTTGACAGAGTTAACTTTAATATTAGACCTTTCAAAAGGTTAACAGTCATAAAAACAGTCCTATGACTAAGTCTGATTTATAGAATAACACGAATAATGTTCTAGGACCGGTGGCAGCAGTCATTCATCCTGTTCCAAGTTAAATTTCACCAGTCATAAAGTATGGTCATCAAGTTAACTACATGTAGCTATATAGACTAGGACTTGACTCAAGATAAAATATCAAATCAATATATGTCCTTATTTAGAAAATTAAAAGTCTTGGTATAATTCTTCATTGGTTAACATATTACACGTATAATAAATAACTATGGTGTATCAATTTATGACATAAAATCACTATCAATAGTAAATCTATTTTGGTCTTAAACGGTCATTTAGATAAAATGATCAGTACTGCTCAGACAAATTGATAAAAAAGCGAAGAACAGATCATCTCAACTTTGTCAAAAATGTACAAAGAACACACTCCTCAAGCACAGGGAAAATTTATACACACTAACAAGAGCTTAAAAAAATAATAACGGACTAGAAAGGAAACTGTGTATTAATCAATGACACAAAATCACTACACTAGAGCACCCATAGAAGAACAAGTTAAGCATGATCCTGATGTTTATCAGAAATAATAAAGTGAACTATGAGGTAGCTTTTCTCCTATAATTTTTGTAAGGTTTAGAAATAACCTTGTTTAGACAGTTAAAGTAAAAAAGGCACTTACTTTGCCAACGACACAGTCCAGTTTAGGCATGTTTCTTGATTGAGCCGTGTCATGTAGACCACTTTCACCGAATCGATTTCAACAATTATTTACAATTGATAAGTTTTTAAAAGGTAATTATTTAAAACCTTGCTGGTTCCATGGAAATGATGAAAATTTGTGCAATTAAATATCAATAATTTGTCAGAACCAATTCACTGTCATTGGTTTAACCGAGCACAAATACGGGACTTACAAAACTAACTGTAAGCAAGTTACTACAAAAAAACCTGGGTAGTTAATTTCCACATAAATACATCTGTAAATGTTTTATTAGTGATATGATGTTATTACCATTATTCCATCCATTTACAGCCTCACTATATGGTGATAAGTTGATATCACATTGACTTGAACTTTCAATGAAATCATCAATGCCTAGGTCTACCATTAATTCATTTGCAAGGACATCACCGTTGGTAACTTTTGATTCAATGTGTCTATCACTAATCCACTGATCTAGTTTGAAAGCTGTGAAAAGAGAAGCTTTCTATACAATCGTATCTTATTGTTTCACTCTTTAAATCACAACAGATAAAACATTAACAAACTTTTGAAAATGGTGAAAGTATGATAAAAACACTAATTTGGTCCCTTTAATTCAATGAGAATTATAAATCTATCAAATAACATCTACAAATGTTCATAAGACATTATTCTGTTGGACATCATTTATTTATATTATTTTAATTTTGTGCTTACTTTTTGACATTACAGGTTCAAACGTCTTATATTTAGCACAAAACAGCCCACTGTCAAAATAGCCTCATTTAAAGATCTGGTCAGTAATATTTATATATGAGCAACAGCTTTACCCAAAAAGATATTTTGCTTCAAAATGTATTTCACAAAGATATTAATGAGTATAAAACTTCTTTGCAAAAAACCTTAACCAAAAAAGAAGTGGTTTCATATCATATTACCATGTTCGGTAAAGCGTGAAATGAGGGTCAATAGCGTCAATTGGCATATAACTCAAAGTGTTCACACCATACCATACGTGTGTACAAAGTTATAAGTTGAAAGTGAACAATAAAGAAGATTACCCCCCCCCCCCCCCCCAAAAAAAAGTAAAAAAAATTACCTAACATGGCACAGCTGACGAATGCTCAGACGAGCTGAAAAAGGACAAAAGGACAGAGGGAGACGAAAAACAGAACACGTAATGGAAATTGGTACCATAATGTTTTGTATAAAACTGCAAATTGATTTAAATGATTCAAGTTGTCAGTAATTGTACTAAAACTCAGGCAAAGTTGACTTATGACAGTTTTGATTGTTCTGTATAGGATCTTATGGTTTTTATATGTTCCACAATTTTTATTTTTTTTGTTGCTTTCTTAACTTTTTTCTTGAGTGTATATGATGATCGTAGTTCAGGTAAAATGTGTTGTCCGCATGAAATTTAAGTCCTACATAATTTCTAAAGAATACGGGAGTAGATCATTTATTAAGATGATATATATAACTGGTTGACTTTCAATTTCCCAGAATTAGATGTAAATAGCTAATCTCTTCAAAACTAGAGGTATATTAATGCAAGTAAATATTCAGGCTGTTTACATAATTTCATTTGAGACAAAATCGCCCCCTCCCCAATTAATTTGTATGGGATGCCAAAATATGACCCCAAAAAAACAAATCATTTACATTCAAGAAATTGAACCAAATACAATTTAAATATGCCTTTAGAGAATATTTTCTCATATTTTACCCGATTAAACTTACAGTTATCCAGGAAACCACTTCTATAATCACACTGTTTCCTGTCAACTACATGATCTATAAGAATTCTCAAATTCAGTTCACATCTGTCTGTTTCGTAGCAAACACTTATGTTTACATTTATAACATATGTATTATTAATCTCAACAGAGTCTATCTGGTACCTGTAATACAAATTGAACAAGTCTTACACATTAAGGTCAGTTTTAACAACATAAATATTTTTGAAAAAGTTTGTAGCATGTTTTTTTTCAAGATTGAAAATTATAAACAAATGAGGACGCATGTTAAAACCATCAACATTGAAATAAATAGCTTTGAAAACCTAGTTTCTGCATGGAATGAAGCCCTTTATTTGTCCTCTTCTTATACGAAATTCCTACTCTATTTGTCCAGTTTAAAATGGTCGGATTGTAAAAACGAAGCATTGAAATACATTTTATGTTACGCGCCAGTACTGGGTCGTCAATCGGTCTAATGAACAGAAATCACGATGCTTTAGGGCATCATTTGGCATGCACCATCGTTTGGTATGATAAAGTTTACCTTTAAACTCTGACATTAATTTTTCAAAGGACAAGCTAGCTTATGTCAGTCATCTTCAAATTCAACAGTGTTTCAACCACAATGAAATATTATCAAATTTCTAATGCTATAGGCTTCATACCTTGAAGTTATCACGATCAATATCAATTTACAAATTCCCCTCTATGCTGCAGTTGGTACTTATGTCTTTAAAATCGTTTAGGTACAATACAAATTTTTACACTTTATGTTGTAAAACAAAATAATTGAAAATAAATTACTTTCAATGCAGTAAAAAAATTGGGGATTAGAAGGTATCAATTTATTCGTTTTAAAGTGTAAAAAAAATTCAACAAACAATGATAAGAATGTGGATCGAGAACAAATTCGAAAAACAAAAATTGTACACTTGTGTACATAAACTGTACCTTTTAGAGGCATTCATGTCCAAAAACGTATCTGGTGCAGAAAAAAAGTGGTACAGTTAATGTAAATAATACCACTGTGTGGGTACCTCTGTAGGTGGACTGCTAATATTCAAAGGTATCAACAGCCTAGTAACCAGTATTTCGGTACTGGCATGAACATACGGATATTGTGTTATTAACATTTGCAGTTGCAAAATTTTTGAATTTTGGATATCATTTTGAAATAAGGAATATATCTTCCACATGCTAAGCTCCGATTCCTTACGCGGTTTTGGCTAAACTTGCTGCCCCTTTTTGTTTATAAATGTTGAAAGATCTTCTTTTTCGTATTATTCCATAGAATTTTCAAGTATTTCGGCGTCGAACATCACAACAGAGACACTTTTTGTCGAAATGCGCATCTTGTACAGTAAAATTGATAACGTTAATGGTTTTACTTACCACATCTTTAAAATTCCTAATAAAGAAAACGTGTGTTCTTTTCCTATTAAAAGAATTTAAGATATTCTGAATGTTATTTCACGATGCATAATTATTTTAAGTCCCCTACCGACAAAGGCGAAGGGGCCTTCAGGTTTGCACTCTGTCTGTCTGTCTGTCTGTCTGTCTGATAGCTTTATCATGACAAGATACAGATCAAGTTCGAATTTAGTTCCGATATGATGATTTTGTGCAGAGTTATGGTCCTTGGACTTAGAAAATTCACTCAAATAATCAGTTTTTAACACTTTTTTCGCCATGCTTGAAGATATTGACTTGATATTTGTTATATAGTTTACACCATGACAAGTTATAGATCAAGTTAGAATTTTGTTCCAATACAATGAATTTTAAACCATTAGGGGACTGTGTAATGCCATGCAATACTCACAGAATGCTTGTTATCTTTCACTTCAATCTATTCTAAGAAAGCATGTCAAACTGAGTGTAACTTTAACGCACGATTACGCAATTACATACCACAAATATGGAGAAATAAATTGCCTATTTATGAAAGCTTGACACAAACTGGTCAGACAAGTACAATGGTCCAGTTTGATTCATTGATTCAGAAAAAAGATTACTCAACGTAAAATAATTATGTATAATCTAAACATATTTTAATGTTTTATGGGAGATATCCACCAAATAACTATTCTTTATGGAAGATTTTGCATGATGAATTTTTCATGCATTCGGAAAACTAATATCTACATGTATAGTAAATTAATGCAATCATTTGCTAATTTGGTGAAATTATGCAACCAATCTTGTCAAATGAAAACATGTAAAATTTAGATTTCCTCTAATACATGACATACTATGATATATGATGAAAATGGAGCCTCTCTTTCTAAATGAAGACAATTGTTTGAGACTAATCATTACAAAACCACATACAAAAAGACACAAAGATGATAAGTAGCTCATTAATATGATTCTACAAATCAAATTCAAGTAATATATGTATAAAAATGAAATTATTGGTACTGTTACCTTTCAGAATGATACACAAATACGAAAAAATATATATCCAACCCTTAAGTGGTAGGGTAAAAAGTCCATAAATATGATTGAATTGGTTCTACAGATACATAGCTTGAATCATTCAAACATTTTTTTTTGAAAATTTAACAACATAAGAGGATTTAAAGAACAACTCCCTCAGCAACAAATATTCTGTATGTCCAAGGAAAAAAGTTCCAATAATTTATCATTTCAAATGCAAAGATTGTCAAGCTTTCATGGACATTACTCATATTAATCTTTAATATAGTTCTCAACAAGAATGTGCCCATAGTACACGGACGCCCCACTCGCACTATCATTTTCTATGTTCAGTTGACCATGAAATTGGGGTCATTAAAATAAGAAAGATCATTTCATAGGGAACATGTGTACTAAGTTTCAAGTTAATTGGACTTCAACTTCATCACAAAATACCTTGACCACAAAATTTAACATGAAGCGGGACAGACGGACGAACGAATGGACGGACGAACGGACACACAGACCGAAAAACATAATATCCATAGGTGGGGCATAAAAATATCCAACAAAACAGTAATGAGAGCAGGGGAAGCTTACAATTCAAATTGTTGATATTATTTACATTTCCAGTGTAAAACTCCCTTAAATCAGTTCAATAGTGTGACTAGACCTGCATGCATTCATCCAACTGATTAAGGTTACTTGTATACTGAATCATAACTGATCGTTTCATTTCAATTTCATTAAAACCAAAAACACTTTGAGGAAAACTTTTTTTGTACAATGGGTGTTGAAAACTTCAAACTGTTGGCATATAGAAAGTGGTTGCACGGTAGAGAATGCAAGATAGTTTTGCTATAAACCTTTCTCTTCTCTAATAATTTATCTTATAAGATAGCTTAAATTACAAAAGAGGCATTCTTACCAAAATCAGAACTACGAATTTTTATCTTTTTGTGTAGTTTTTCTATCTGTAAGTGGATTGTATTTCTACATTCCAGAATTTCCCATGCTATCTGCACAGATGTGTTAAGTATTGGTGTGTCCACACAACATACAAATCCATAACATGATGACATGACACAAATCACACCATCTTCGTCAAGAGGATTATCTTGAAACTGATTTGAACATTCTATAGAGAAAAATGAAACATAATAATTACTGATATGATTCATCAATGTGAATATTACAATTTCCGCTTTTCATGATTATTTAATTTTCAAATCTTACTATGAAATGTAAAAAAAAACACTTTTTTTGTCATTTAAAGGACATAAGTCATGTAAGTTCTATAAAGACGTGTTTTGATAATAACGCATTCATGTCTCTAACATGTATGATGCCGGTTATTTTATGACTATGTGTTTTGCAAATCCAAATTGATTGTATACATGTACTTTGTGATAATAATAATAATAATAATAATAATAATAATGAATTCACATGTATTATAAGTATTTAACTTGTCTATTATAAACCATACAACTGGAAAAGTTAACTGATGTTGACTTATACATGTAGATATCTTTGTGTATTTACTGTCACTAGGCTTCTATCTTGTTGGATTTTATATTATAGATACTCCACATCTGCATTTATTCATAATATTATGTTATTGTTTAATATAAGAGGGAGTGATTTTGATCAAATGTAGATTCACGTTATACATTGTATCCTTTGTATTGTGACAGGGTAATACATTTAATATAGAAGAGCCTTGGTTGTCTAAATCCTGGTTTTTAAACCTCAAGCTACAATGATTTTCCATTATTATCAAGTAAATAATGATTTTCCAACGGGAATTCAACGGGGGTTACTTGCAATACATCAATTTGAAAAAAGAAATTCACAGATTTTGCTTAACTTATTACCTTTTATAAGCGGTTGTTGAATCAGATCCATGTTACATACTTTTCCTATCAAGTATTGTTCCATTCCCATATCTTCCTGAAGTTTGGAGATTGCCCATTTTGGGGGAATTTCCTTGGCTGTAACTATAGGAAGTCTGTAACTTGAAAACCATGATACCAACGAAAAATCTGTGAGCAAAAAATGATTACTAAATGTAAGTATAAAAATTAATCAAACTTGACTCAAAAACATTAATCCTTTCTGACTGTAGAACTAGCTCATCACTCAACATTTTTAGTCCAATGTCTAAGATCAAATCAGTGAGCATCACATAACAGATTCATACTTAAGCATAATGTGACTTTGGTATATATACTTCATGACCCAAATGATTTAATTCTTCATCCTGAATTGCTGACTAAATATGAAGTCATTTCTGTACAGTAGTTCCCTGGAAATATGTGTTCATCAATATCAATAGTAAGAGTCTGCTTATTTTGCTTAATAGCTGAATAATGCAACTACATGTACTTTCTCTAATAATCTAATTCTTGAGCAATAATACAGAAATGATGATAGTCTATAAAGAATAAATGATGGTTTACCATTAAGTAATGTATACCTGACTTAATGGGTGAGTAACAGTAAGCCTTTGGTATCTTTGTATCTTTTAAAACAGGAGAAGTTATCATACAAGGTCCATCTGATTCCATACACAGGCTGATGTTGGAATTAATCATGTACTTGTCTTCTACTTGCAGATCATCTATCTTTAAACTTACAAGAAAATATATTTATATCAGAGTTCAAGCAAAAAACACAAAAATAAAATACAATAACTGTGAATTCTGTCCAAACCAATCTCTTCTACGACTGAACTAGAAAAGACAAGTTGTCAAACTACAAATGTTGAAGAACTAAGAAAATTCGCCAATTATGTATTTAATGTATGATTTTCTTCACACAAGATAAAAAAAATGTATGGTAATTTGACAAAATATAACATGAATTTATGTTTCAATAAACATTCCTCTAATATATCATGATCTCTTCTATTGTTTTCAGTACAAACAGAAAACCAATTAACTGGATCCCTATATTGAAACTCTTTATTTATCATTGTTACTCAAAAGATGTCTACTGCAAACCTTCTGGGAATAATTTAAGGGATGGTGTGCAAAATTACGTATTTTTTTCAAGGACTGAAATAATGGTTAATAGGTTTCTACCTCTATGGCAAATTTAGAAGCTTCAGCAACTCATCACATTTTTGGCGGATTTCGTCAATAGGAACCCATGGAAAACCTCCTATTTATGATATTTAATAAAATCAGACACTAGTAAATATGTGTACATATAGCTGTCTCAATGTCAGAATCTATTGAATTATGTTGATTGTCTAAATACTGTATATAGATGATACATGAAACATCCTTAACTTTTAATATATTTGCAATGACATAGCATTACTCATTTTGATAATAATAAAAGAAATGAAATTATCCCTATTGTTTAGAAGTTTATTGGTCAACTGGTTTTTTTCTAGGTTATCTAACATCATAAAAATTAGATTTTTTAAATCTGAAATACAATAACATGACCCTTGGTTCAACTATCTTTCTCACTTCCATGAAGAATTGTGTCAACTTCTTAAATTATCAAAATGGGTTACATTTTTATGATATTTAGAAGCAAGTACTTACTATATCCTCAAAACACCAACCAACGTATACTGAAGAATACTACCTAAAAAGATGATAACACAAACGTTATAATTTTACAATTCTGGTTTCCCAACTAGTACTTGTTTTTTTTTAAAATTTTTATTCAAATACAATATTGCACATGCTGTTAACAGATTTCTTCACTGGTACAGCTATTTCAGTGGAAATCCCTGTATATTAGTACCTAAAGACCAGGGTATCTTCAGGTATATATTTATAATTCTGTTAGTATATATATATATTATTTGTCATTAATACATTATTTATAATTAACACATTATTTATCATTCATACATTATTTCTCTATTATCTTATTATTATAACTCTAAATATGAACTTTATATCAAAAGCAGTACCCCTTGATATGTCATTGTTTACTATCTGATAGATGTTGAGGTAATTGATTACATACATTATAAATCTTCTTAGTGAATATCAAAGTTTTGAAAATTTCCAGCTTTGAAACATCAAGTTGGAAGTAAAATAAAATATGATTTGACTTTTAGGTTTACGATAGCATAACTATTGTAATTTGCACCTGTGACCACCCATTGTTTTAAGTAGTGTTCATGTTGCTCAGTCTTTTTTAAGCAGTGTTTTCTATGTATGTTTGTGTGTCTTTTTAGCTGTTTTCCAGTCTAACATCAATTTGTTCATCTATTTTGATTTATGAGCTTAGATTGTCCTTTTGACATCTATCGACTTTTTTCCATATGCTTTGTGCATTTTTTTTCACGTTGACCGAAGGTCTATCATTTCAGACAATGTTTGCAAGTGTTCATTAAATTTCACTTCTTTAACTAGCTGGACATTTCTAAACTCACCCCATTCATATTTCATCAGGGATATATTCCTTTGCAATCTTTCAATTTGTATTGATACTGTATAATGACAACTGTCAACTGACAATGTTATAGACAAACTTCTACCCACACCAGGTATATCGGTACAACAGGTTATATTAGAACATGTGGTATCCAGGGAACAATGAACAGCAAACGGCAGAGAAGGTAAAGATTTTATTCTCCCACACACTGTCAAATATAAAAAAAAAATCTGTTAATAGAAACCCGTATAAAATTTATGGTATTGAGATTATAAGTAAATATTTTTTATGATAGATATCATATTCTTAACAAAATACGCAACCATAGTTTCATTGAAAAATAAAAATGTGCAAATAAAAATACAAAACCAAACCAACAAACCTAAATGAAGTATGGTTCACTTATTATTCCCATTCTCATAGTGATGAAAAGAAACTCAAAACGGGTCAATAGGTATTGATTAAGCAGATGCACTTTTTGAAGTTGCTCAGAAAAATGTGCAGAACACTTAATATATGTGCAGGACAATTTAAAGAGACTGTCATACAGCCTGAGTTTTACAATGATTAAATTTAAAAGCTAAACTTAGAGGACTTTTCACATTTGTTGCATTCTCTGTCATCTTTCTTTCCAACCTTTAAACATTAGAATGGTAATGGGGAATACTGAAAGTTCAGGAAAAAGGTACAGTTAAATATCAGTCCTGACAACCACGAAACTAACAACAAAAGAAATAAGTTGTATTTCAAACGTTACAATTTTTCCCTGAAGCTCATGAATACGCCAAAAACAATCTAACAAAAACGGAAATCATTCATTTTTTAAATAACTATCTTACTATTATTCCAGCCTGAATTTGATGGCATGTAAGGATAATTGGAACTATTACAGGATTTAGTTTTCAAGTAATAGGATAGTCCTATGTCAGATACCAGTTTGGAAGCTTCATTTTCTGACAATTGTTCTCCTGATATGTTATTTTCTTCTTTCCAGTCAACAAGTGAAAAACCTGGAAAAAATCAATCCTTATCAGTTAAGCATATTCCCAATAATGTAAGTCATTTACTTAACAAATATTCGTGTTTACTCATGATTGATTCAAAATGATATCTCAATTCACATTTTTGTACTCCGTCTCACTAGTTTGCTGGAATTTAAAAAAAGCAGAGAACGTTTTTCTAAGAATACAAATGCAAGGATGAGTGTTGTAACAAAATAATAGGATAACATTTTTAGAATTATGTTCATAGAGTTAGTGTTTCATTTGGAAAATTCATACCCTCCAAAAACCATTATTTCATCATTTGCACATGTATGTGTAATTTTTCATAGTAAGTAGTGTTCCTTGACAAAAATAGATATTGATTAGCTGATTGTCTTCTCATCATTAATGAATCTATGAATATGCAAAACTAACCATGGACTCAAAATGAAATTTAATATACAGTGACATGTATGGTTATAAAAGTCACTTTGATTTAAATATAATTAATACATACTTTCTGTAATAAATCTCATATCAGACGAACACTGTAGTATTGGGAATAGTGCATTTCTTAACACTACTAAGTTCTGTTCGCAAGGTTGGTTGCTTTCTGTACATACTGTAACATTCAGTGACATAACATAAACATGCTCCTTCTCAATCTTGTCAATTATCAATCTGAAAGGTAGAAAGTCATCACACATTAATTATTAACAACATTAACATATTAAGAAAACTGAGTGATAAGAATGTTTAACCCACCAATTTTTCTTCATAAAATGCAAGTACCAAGACAGACATATGGAAGTTGTTTTCCATTTGTTCCGTTTGTTGATATGGTCTTCACTTTTGATTTTATCAGATTTTATGACCCCCCTTTTCCCTATATGAATTTACCTTGGAGTTCGGTATTTTTGTTAATACTTTTTTTAAAAGGGTAACTGAATTGTTGATAAATATATCTTTCTATCCAGATCTTGGTATATGGATTCGAATTACTTTATAAAAATTCATAATCATGTTTTTTCTTTAAAGTGTTTCCTTTTCATAAATGCATTTTGTTTAGAAACATAGAATTTTAGTTGTCTTACATGTTGAGTATTTAGTACCATAAAAATGTTGTAATCTGTTGACTTTCAGTTTAAAATGCCTGTATCGATATGATATTAATCAATCTGCTTAGATTTTGTGGTCTTCCTCCATTATTTTCATGTATTTTGAAGTATGCAAATTTATCATTTCAGTCCGCTTAAGAAAAAAAAAAAACTCGCTTCTTGATTTTTTTCAGAATATTTAACTAATTCATTTAACTACATGAATTTCCATAAAACATAATATACAAATAAATTTGTCTGAAAAACAATTAAATGGTAAGGGCATATATATTAGTGATAAAGCGTAAAATAACAAAAATACCGAACTCAAATGAAAACTCAAAGCGGAAAGTCTTTTATCAAATGGCAAAATCAAAAGCATAAACACAGCAAACGACAGGAAAACAACTGTGATATTCCGGACTTGCAACAGGCATTTCCTTATGTAGAAAATGGTGGATTTAACCTGATTTTATAGCTAGCTAAAGCTCTTACTTGTATAGAGCTCGCATATAATTCCATTATATTGACAATAATGTGTGAGCCAAACAAACAGACACACAGTAATAGGTGAAAGTCAGGCACAGCAGTCAACATTGTGTATAATCGATATCACTATAAAAAAAACCAACTATGTCAACAAAGTAAAACAAAATGGCATATAGACACTCTATAGACAAATAAACTCATCATAGCGATATGCCATGAACCTTAGTTCAGACAATTGAAAACTTACAATATATTAACTATCCCTCCTAATGAAAACTGCTGTTGCTTTCCTGTGAAAAAAATACATTCTTGAATTATGTATTGATCAAACTTGATAACATATCATAAAGGTTTAACCATACCTTGTTCAAAAACAGCATGTGCATTCATTATAAATATGTGAATGATATTTGTTTCCTTTTTTCAAAGTGTTGTATCAACTAATAACAAAAGTTCTCTATGTTTCTCTACTTTCAATAAAGATTCTTCTACAGTATTACTCATATAATAAAGAAATTATTTTTAACACTGTGAACTATAAAATTTCATTAAACAAATGTTCTTGATGATGCATTGAATATACAGGCTCTTACGAGCCTGTATTACTCAACTGGAAAATTCAAAATAATCTAAAATGTTTACCATTAGGAAGAACTACAGTCCTGTCACAATCTAAGTAATTCTACCGAAACGCGCGTCTGGCGTACAAAATTGTAAACCTCCTTTGATGAGGTTTTTTGATTAATAAAACAAAATATGAATATTTAAATAGAAGAGTATATTTTGCCAGTTGTTCAGACCAAAAGTACCTTTTTTTTGTACTACCAAACTTCCGTGAACCAGTGCGATCTTATACGCAATTAAAGGTATGTTTAATTTTTCAGCATAAGCCAAGATGAAGTACTGTTTTGATATGAAATTATCGCGTGTTTTTTATTAATGCAATTAATGCGACTGGCTGTGAACCGCAATAATAAGCACTCGCATTTTGATATCAGATACATATATCTGTAGACAATTTGTCCTGAAATCGCAATAATTTATCTCCAATATTTGTCTTTTCTTCAAAAATTGCATGTTTAAATGAACGCAATAATTTCTGAATTTACAGTAGTCCATTTTGATTATGTTGATGTATTTGAAGAACTTGGTTACACCAGTTATTTTGTTTTTTAATGTTCCCCCCTTTCTGTTATATTCTTATTATAGTTTCCAAGATAGTGGCAACAAACCCTATCATTGTTAAAAAAAGTCATTAATGGCCTACAATGCCTGTAAGAAATTATCTATATTGTTTTCTAGATAATAGACAAGTACTTGCATTTGACCCTTTTGTCATTTTTTTTAGCAACCGCGCGTTGGTCAGTTGGTCGCAATGAAAATTCAAATCACATCTGAGGAGAAAGTTTCTGAAAACAGCTTATGTCGAGTGATAGCAATAGCATTAAAACATTGCCGTAATCAATCATGTCAGCTTAAAGGTACACAGATTATACCTAGTTCTAACGTAGCAACAGAAAGGTTCCTCCTAAATGTTTCAATTCCAATAGTAAAAACAAACTGACAGGGATCCAGAATAACAGTAACTTCGAAAGCTCTTCTCAGAGCATCAGCGTGGATACAACACTCGATACCAGTGCACAGAGATGGAATATAACATGGAACATTCGTGTTGATCTCAGATGGTCTTTTCAAAGGACAGTCTGAAAATTTCAGCAATCAAAATTAAATTTGAGAATGACTTTTTTTATCAAAATATATTTTAATTCTTCCCTCCTGTTCATCTTTTAATCTTGTTATGGTGATTAGATGTGTCGAATTTTTTAAAACATGTTTTTGTGTGATTAAAAAGTAATTCAAAGTAATAAAATAAAGTTGTACATTTTGTTTCTTAAAGTTTGGTAGCATAACTCAAGTTGTCAGAAAAATATAATCCGTTCCTTTTACTTTTGTTTTTAATACCAAAATAGACCAATCTGCTTGGATGGTTAAAACTACCCATCTTGCTTCGAACTTTGAGATAAAAAATCACACGTTAATAATGATCTTCAACCTTTGACCAATAAAATAATTGAAAATAATAGAATATCATTAATTAATCACTTTTTAGGGTAAAAAACAACAAGAACAAATATAAAAACTAACTATCTGGTCAAATATCATTCATTAATTTTAACATAATTTTGTTTTATATCAAGACAGAAAAAAAACCCAACCGTGATTATATAATAAAGGAACAAAAAGCAACTGAATTTATTTTTGAAATGTACTTCTTAACATTAAAGGTAAAATGTCAGCATTTCCCAATAAACGAATAAGTATGACATTTAAAAAGAAGCTTGGTAAGCAGGTAAATTATTCTTTTGGACACATCAAGAATAATTTGCCAAAATGAATTGAATGTAGCTGCGTAGAAATCATCTGTCTGATGGCTGCAATTTCAGTTGAGATGAACCAAAATATTGATTTTTTTTTCTTGAAAAAAGTAAAATACTTAACATTTATAAATTTTCCAGTTCAAGACTTTCTAAATTTGGACTCATCAGAAATTCCAGTGTTCGAGACACAGAAGGTCGAGTATGTGTTATTTACTATTTAATCCAACATATACTATGTCGTCATAACATATTTTCAGTAAAACAAACACTACATCTCTTAGGATGAATATGTATAATTAATTTCTGTGGCAGGCTTTAAAAAAAAAACTTGTAACTAGTATATCATTGAAATATATATTTGGGACAGTCCACTATAAAAATTCAAGATTGTGTTGGTTTTTAGGATAATGTTTATCTAAGTAAGATGTGTCTACTTTATTATCCTTGGTACCTTTTTTCTTAGTTTGAAATGTAAAACTAACTACATTTACCATCTTTGATTGGAAGATCTTTACTGTACTTTGTTATTTCTGTACTGCACTGTTCTTTCTTTAAGAAAGGTGATATACCAATTTCTTCAAACAAAAGTGACAATCCATATGCTGGTAAATGTTGGTCTCTGTTGATATACTTGGATTCTTTCCATTTTTCTAATGAGAATTCTATATTGAAAAAAAACCTTATACATTAAACATAAGGTCAAAAGTTTGATGAAACACCGGTATTGTTGAAGGCCGTATGGTGATCTATAGTTGTTTACTTCTACGTCATTTGGTCTTTGGTGGATAGTTGTCTCATTGGCAATCATACCACATCTTTTTATCTTTATATGGTCTTTTAAATTTTACTTAAAGGTTAAACCAGATTGGCTACAAATAAATGTGACAGCAACCAAAACAAAAACAAAAACGATATCTACATGTCAGCCTACAGTTGACATAAGTATAATTAGTTTAAAATCCTGCTGCATAAACATATTTTGATTGTCAACAATAAGAAGTCCTGTCTACATATTAATGAGACATAAAAGCAGACGAAGAAAACCAATGCGGTTTGTAAATATAGTGTACAAAAGCAATGATTCGCATTTTTGGTCAACCTTAGAGTGCTCAAAATAGACTTAGCTATGATCCTAGCCGTACCTTAGCTTTTGTCTAACCCTAACCAAATTAAACTTTAAGCTTAGTCTAACCATAGCTTTTATAAGTCGTCTAAAGTTAAAAGGCCATAACATGTAGTTGCAGGTGACGGCATTGAAGTTTACTTTAATTTCTTATTAGACATTGACAAAACAACCATGCTTAGTGGGTTCAAAAAATTCAAAGTATTACCAGACAAGATATGAATAGTATACTCATTTTGTCTTGTTATAATCAAGATAAATATATTTCTTTACACTTAAAAAGACATTATCCTTACTTTCTATATAATATTTAGTTTCCCAGGTACAAAGACGTCTAGGCAGTCTAGTATTATGCAGAATCTGTACAGACAGATAACAAGGCTTCTCATCTTCAAAGCAAATGCTTATATTGAGTGAAACAACATACATTCTTTCTCCTGGAAAACTTCTGATGTTGAAAGAGGCGTGAAACACTCCCACCAACCAGAGATCTTGTGTAATTCCTATTAAAAAAATAATTGATTAACAAGGAACACATACATCTTAACCTACTTTGTCCTAGACTGAATTAATGGTTTTCAGAATTTAATAGTTTAGTTTCACTTAAGCTTTAAAAATAATAAATCAATACATTATCTCCGGTGGATGGTAATGGTATCCTTTTTCGCAACTCCTATGCACATATTGTGAATTTGGACATGTTTGATTGCTCGTTTCGAAGCTGAGATATTTTTACATACGTGGAGAATCATTTTGCCGTTGTAATGAGACTTCCTATTTTCAAACAATAAGTTCATTTTAACATATCTTTTTTTTTCCCTTCTTAATTTTGACTTAATCTCATTGTAAGTATTGTCAACTTACAATAAATTGCTATATATAAACCTTTAAAACAGTTGATAATAACATATCATATCAATTCATAGAAATAGGAGAGTCGAGAGGTCGTGAAGTCAGAGAAAAGAATGTTAACCAAAAATCGATTTTACAATGAAATTAATACAATTTTATGGCATTAACACTGCTCTTTTTCAAATATGCTCAAACCGCAGCAATTAGTTGAATGATAAAACTGACATTTCATGCAATGGACCTGTTTACACATGTATGTGTGAGGCTAAAAAAAAAAAAAAAAAAAAAAAAAAAACAGATGCAAACAAAGCAACACATATTTTACACTAGCAATTAATTCGGGTAATGTTATAAGAAACAAAGAGTGCCTGATACACCCATCATATTGAAATTGTTGCTAGAATAATATTGAATATTTAAAAGGTTTTTCATAAGAAGTAAGTAATAAGTATGGCTCTATTGAACAAATTGCTAGAGGCTATACTTCGGTGTCTGAATATTGCCATCTATATGACTGTTACCAATTCTATAACGACAAACCAGAAAATCGTCCTGTAATCAATCTCAATAACAGTGTATAGTTTTAAGGATATCTATTCATTGGCACTGGAGTTAAGTGCGCGATAAGTGAAAACTGTTCAATATCTCATGAACACAGTCAAAAAGTTCTGGAATGACAATGATAAAACACATGAAAATTCAATGCTTAATTTGATCAATTTCATTCCTGTGATAAAATTTATGGAAAAAGTATCACAGGAAAGTTTTTATTATACAACATTTGAAAAAATGCCAAATTTTCCAATAATAAAGTCCCATAACTATGAATTAACAAAACATAGAGTCTTCAAAATGGAAAAGAAACTTTCTTCCATCAATCCAACTGTTATGATAAAGTTTCGTGATAATTGGTTTCATCAAAAATTGAGTTATTGTACAACGGACTGACAGAATACCTACACCATAATTCGTCTAAGATAGTTTTATAAAAAGGATGGCCAACAGATAATTCTACAGAAAAAGCATAACAATTATACAAAATTTCATACATGTCCCACAATAACTCAAACGCAATTAAGATTCCAAACTTTTCTGACATACAAACAAGCTGAAAACTACAGAGCTTCAACATATGAATGTGGGCCCTAATGGACATTAAAAGGCATGAAATTAACTAGTGTCTCTTAATAGCCTATGTTCCCTATTGATTCTGTTAAAAGTTTCCCTCTAAAACATAAAAAAAACTGTTAAAAATTAAAGGGCAATAACCCCTATAAGAACACAACTGATAATTGAATCTATGCTGACTTCTTGAAGATCTGGTCTTGTTGATCATTTTTTTCTATCTATAACAGTTTTCAATATTAATAGGCAAACATAAAACAAAATGAAAGTAAATCATCAAAAAAAGTCAATTACTCCAATAAATAGTTGACGAGCAATTTGGTCCTGTTGACTCATTAGTAGATATTGTCGGGCTGATCATGTTTTTTTTTAAATTTCCATCTATTTATCTAAAATAAAGTTCTCAAGATAAAAGGTAAAAACGCAAAAAAAATAATAAATAGAGAATATCATATGGCTTTTTCAATATCACATCCGTATCAACCCGAGACACCAATCTAATCCCAAGAGCTCTGCTCGAGGGATTATATTGGTTGAGGGTTGATACGGTGTGTGATATTGAAACCATATCATATACAGATCAAGTAGATGTTTTATGCGACATGATGTTATACAGATTAGGGGTTTGATAAAGCCTTTGCAACAGTGACTGATATCGATGACGTGACGTCATACAGATTAAAGGTGTGATAAAGCCTTTGCAACCGTGACTGATATAGTTATCATCACGGATGGCTGATACAGCACAATTGCCGTAGACCGTATTACACATACAAGTTATCTGTATTTACTACTAAGTATATAATAAATACTTTTTAGTGCAATAACTCCTATAAGGAATCAATTTACAACTTCGGCTATTTTGTCTTTTTGTAGACTTTTCTTGCTGATCATTTTTGTTTTTTTAAGTTTCTATCTATCTATTATAATTTTCAAGATCATAGGCAAAACTGCTACTTTGTATAAAATGGTTATTTGAGGGCAACACTCCTATTAAAAGGTGACCAACGTTTATGGCCATGTTGAATTATTTGTAGATCTAGATTTTGTCTTGCAGATTATTTTAACTATCTGAAGTCTTTCTCTATCATAAAAATGGGAACACATATCTGTTTAATTCGTCATTTAAAGTCAATATCTCTATTAAGAATTTGTCTGAGAATCCTGATGACAGTAGGTAGATCTACCACTAGGAACATTTCTGCCTAATAAGATTTCTTTATCTATACCGGTTTTCAAGAAAATAGAAAATTATTGCATTTTACCCCAATATTCCATGTTTAGCTGTGTTGGCTATGTTGGTTGGCATACGGAACATCGGACACATTTTATAGACAAGATATCCTAATGATGATTGTGGCAAAGTTTGGTTCAAATTGACTCAGTAGTTTAAGAGGAGAAGATTTATGTAAAAAAAAAACGGATACCGATGACGAAAACGACGGACGTCCAGTGATTGGAGAAGCTCATACTGGCCCTGTGGGCCATGTGAACTAAAACATGAAGCACATATATTGCAAAAATATCTATTTACTTCTCTAAAAAAGTTACTCACCAAATCTGTAATTAATTAATGATATATTCCTGTAGAATTTTTCTATTCCAACTGTTATTTGATATTCACATGGATCAATGTTAAGGTAGAACATAAATGACCTTGGAATGAAATGAACATCAACACAACATTCTATAGAAGTACATTCCGAAGACAGGAGGCAGGACACTGGGTCTTCCACTTTTGGTAATGAAACTGTATTTGAACAGTCTGAAAATAAAGATAAGTATTTTTTTGTATACAACAACATGATAGTTGATTTAAGGTAGTATAGGTGTATAAACGAAAAATGACAGAATTTTTTCATACTTTGCCAAAATTAAGTACATATTGTAATATGGTCAAAAATATAATAATAAAAGATAGGTCGTAGAGCGAGCTTTTGAAAAATGACACATTTCGCATTAATTATACATAGAAAAAATTAATAGATGATAGAATTTTTAAATACAATATACGAAGACAGCTCTCATAAAATGCATTCAGAATATCAAAAGAAAATATTGGGTCACCATACGTTTTTCCTGCTATTACATGGTATAAAAAAAATTCATGTAGAATTATGCAAAATCTCAGTTACCTCCGCGAAGTTAAAAAAAATGGAATCAAACAAAAATGTTCTACCATTGCAAAAATATTAGTTATAATAGGATAAAATCATATAAATTTGTTCATTCAAATAAAGGTTTTTATTAGTTAATTTCATTTCTGCATAGTCATCTACTGACATGATTAAAAGTCTACGCCAGTAAATATGTTCGGCTATTTTACAATCCAAGATGTCAGAAAACCCCTATACATGAATAAAATCTAAAGTTGATTCTTCAACAACAGATCTATAAATCTTTTCAGTAATACGTATTTAATTACCTTTCTTCCAACCATTGGTACTTTGAGAATAATATATATCAGACCTACGACATTCGTGGATATTAAGATATGAAGAAACACTCATTTCATTCAACATCTGTGATATCATCCAGTCTGGTAATGTGTCACTTGGTGTTAGTCCTTTCTCTATATACCACTGCTTCAGAGAAAAGCCTGAAGTGATATCATTTGGTTCATATAACAAAGATCAAAAGTATTTAGAAAGTAATAACTATCTATGAAATCTCTAAAAGATGAGCTGCCAAACTGACAACAAACCGAGTTTTCTGTAAATTGAAGGAAACCATTGTTGAACTTAAGATGGCTACTAATACAAATGAAATTGGTGTATTATAATGTATGGCGCTTTTAGGATTGTTTGACCTGTAACGTTCTGTTCCTATTTCCTCATTTATAAAGTAGCATATGTACTGAACGATAAAAGTGAAAGTAATCAATATCAAATTTGACCTCCATTTTGTCATCAGTAATTGATTGGTCCTGCTTTGTTTCATAAGAAGTAATTGCCAACGTAGATGCAAGTATCTTGTTATAAGGAGGGATAAAACCGTACTTTATAAAGAATCACTATGATTCAAACAAAACTTCTCTGAAACGGACACAATGAGAATGCTTGATTTCTTGATTGACAACATATTTTGTACGTTTGGACGACGCGTATTTCAACAAATAACTGGCATACTCATGGGAACCAACTGTGCTCTTCTTTTTGCCGACTTTTCCCTTTATTCATATGACGCTGACGTCACACAGGTGCTTCTTAGGAAGCTTAAGAATAAAAAAAGCTAGCACAATCATTTAACTTCACTTTCCGCTATAAAGATGATGTCCTTTTATTAAATAATTCGAACGTTGGTGACTATATTAAAGGATCTATCCCACTGAACTTAAAATAAAGGATACAACAGATACAGTTAAGTCTGCTTTATATTTTGACTAAACTCTAAAAATTGATTGAGGATTGGTGAAGAACAAAACTTTACTACAAAGAGACGAGTTCAGCTTCCCAATTGTGAAATATTTTTATGTAGCAACATTAAAGGAGCGCCTGCGTATGGAGTATATATCTCCAAGGTGATACGATATTCCGTAGCTTGCATCTTTTATTATCATTTTCCTTAAAGAGGATTGCTTTGCACAATGTAGCTATTCAAGCAGGAGTGGTGAGTTGGAATCATCCCTCAGAAAATTTCAAGAGTAAGTTGACCGTTATGGAATATCTGTTTCTCAGATGACGACGGATATGTTCTAATTATCGTAACCACAATCCGGACAATGTTGTGTCAAATGAAGTGTTGTTTTTTTTTATTTCAAAAGTAGTGATAAGTTTGGAATATTTATAACTATCAAGCCAGTACCGTAATGATTTTGATGGCATGGATGCAATCTTTACCCCGAAAAACCATAATTCAATAAACTGCCACAGAAATGCGTGTATATTACAGTAGATTAACATTTAAACAAGTGTTGCCAACGGTTGACAGTTAGTCATCGGAAGGACCAAACAAGTTCCCTGGGTTAGCGGACCTTTTTCAATTCTTATGTAAATGACATTATGGTAATACAAGAAATCAATAAATTGATTACTTGATTTTAAATTATCCTTGGGGAACTCAATGGAACCAATTGTCCAGTAAATTGGTTACTTGATTACAGTGACTTGACTCTTAGTGTTGCTTTCCAGCTATTGCAACTCGTTCAAAGTTCTGACCAAATTGCAATTTGTTTTATAAAACCAAACTGTTCAACTGGTCAGATTTTTGAACAAACTGTTGAGTCAAAATCTGAAAGTGCAAGGTGATAAAATAAAACATATTAACAATCTTATATGATTTTTGTCCACTTTAATGTTGTAGTGACAAAATCAGTCTAACAGTTTGTATAGATATATTATAGTCATTACCATGCTAAAGGTAAAATGTTGTAAATTTGAATTGCTATAAAAATGTCCAAACAAAGCTTTCGTATAATTTTTCTTTTGAAAAGTCTTCTATATTCGTAAGAATCAGACATCATTTGAATTAAAACATCATATATTCAGTAAAATATGTGTAAAATAACAATACGTTATTGATAAGTTTCCATGGGGAGATAACCTAAAAGATTATTCTTTTGAATAAAGACTTTTTGAAAGAAAAAATGATTATCTCCCCATGGAAACTTCCTACAAACATATTGTAATTTCACACATATTTTACTGAATATGAAATGTTTTAATTCACATAATGTCTGATTCTTATGAATATAGAAGACTTTTCGAAAGAAAAAATATATGACAGCTTAGTTTTGACATTTTTATAGCAATTCAATATTACAACATTTCACCTTTAGCATGAGAAATGACTATAAAATATCTATACAAACTGTTGGACTGAATTTTCACAACAACATTAAATTGGAGTTAAAGTCTTATAGGATTGTAAGTATGATTTATTATATCACCTTGCACTTTCATGACTTGGCTGTGGTTTTCTACAGCAGTTTGTTCAAATTTCTGACCAGTTGAACAGTTTGGTTTTCTAAAACAAGTTGCAATTTGGTTAGAATTTTGAATAAGTTGCAATAGGTGGAGAGCAACACTAACAGCCAAGTCACAGTAACAATGAAAACATTTCACTTCAATTTGAATGGACGTAAATGTAAACATATAAACCATCCACATCTAAGGCTTGGTCATATTTTAAACTAAACGCTATTCAAAAATTGGGAAATACAAAAGTCGTGTATTCTTGTGGTTCCATAATCGCAATAATTTAGTCGTTATATTCCGCTCTTCTACGATGGAAAACAAGTAGGATAAATCGATAATTATGAGTGATCTTGGAAATTATGTCACCATCAACTTCAATACATTGTATCATATCACCAGGACTGAGAGAATGAAGCCTCAAATTCTCATCAAAACTGAAGTTAATTAATGCAAATGTAACAGCATATAACATAAATATAAATCATAAGTATTTCTTTCTAAACACCCTAAAAAACCTAGCGTCTAATTATAAAGTCCCTGAAGGTAATGAATGGTTACAATGAATTCTTATGTGATGGAGGCATATGCTCTGACCAATCACTTTAACGTTTCGGTAACATTGTTCTTTTACATGAGAATGATTTATAATTCGAAGACTCACATAAACCATTTGGTATCATTGTGTTCTTACCTGAAGGTGACATATGATCTGACCAATCACATAAACCTTTTGGTAACATTGTATTCTCAAGAACTGTAAACTGGTCATTCTCTGAACACTCCGGTGATGTGCTCTCAAAACAAAACATGATCTTCATAGTTATAAGATACATCTTCTCTGTGTGCAAATCTTCAATATTATACCTGAAGATAACAGTTAAGTAAGGCCACACATTTTGATATGGCAAAGGTTTAAAAGATAGTTTTCAAATAAAAAGAATCACTATGCATTGAATTCTAACATCTAAAATTTTATGAATTAGAGCCATTGTTATTATTATCATGAAAGTATTACAAAAATCCTATAAATAGGTAATGTGAGTATTAGATTAATTAAAATTATGAAAACAAATACTAACATTACTCTCACAATTCCTTGTAGGCTAAAATAGTTGTCAAAACCTGAAAAAATAAAAGGCAGTTTGTTAGCTGGACAATAATGTGAATATCTAAGATATTCTTAGCTTTTAAAAAAAAAGGTAAATCATTGCAGGAAGGTTACAAAGTTTTATTATGTAAAAGATAATTCATTTGTTCAATCTGAAGTATTGTTTTTCACTTGCTTTATATATTTTATGACACTAAAACTTCCAATTTTCGGTTATTGTAAACATTAATTTTCGGCTTTGTATACCTTTTCTGAAGCTCATTAGAATTCTGCTCAATAGATGTGTAAATAGCACAAATATTGTCATATGAAAAATGGCTCTGAAGAACCAGTTTTGGAAAATGTAGTTTTGAGAAAGACTTGTATTTGACTTTTTATATTCTATCAAGGACTTAGTTATAATTGTAATAACAAACTTACTTATAGAGATATTGATAAAAATATACTTGAGATATTCAAAATTGCCTCCATACCTTAATTAACGTGAATTATATCATGCAATCGTTATATTGCTTAAAAAAAGGCACATTGTTAACCAATGATTTGATCATACCAAGATGTGTATTATATGACAAAATCTTTAATTATTAGTGTAAATGCACATAGGAAAGCCTTGGAAGTAGGTATATCCCATACAAATTCATATTTATACATCTTGCAAAACAATATTCGTTTTCATTTCCATCCTTGTATAAAGTAGAAATAAACTAAAAAGAATGCTATCAGAATGGGCAACTACTGTCGCCTTATTTAGTATCAAATTATTTATAAATAAAACCACAAAATAGAAAGGTTTTTTAAATAGTAAGTTAGAACGACAAGTAATTTGATTTGATATGAATGCTATATGATTTGAAGAAACTGACTAACTATACTAAATAAATATCTTACCCCATTTAAAATCTGTCATTGTTGTATTGTAAAACACTTTTTCAATTCCAATACTTAGTTTACTGCTGCAAGGATCCAGTTCAAAATATATTTGGAATGTTCTCTGTAGAAATTCATTTTCCAAACAACATGAAAGTCCCAAGCATGTATCAAGTATGTGACAAGCCACTGATGGAGACAAATTTGGTAAACTCATATTAAATGCACATTCTGAAAGAAAGATGCATATTTCATAATTTATAGCCCCAAGTTCTCTGGAACCCTCATTTATAATCTATGTAAAATACCGGCCAGAGTTTGTCACAGATATCGAAAATGTTATAACATTGTGTTGGTCAATTGAATTCGAACTTGTATCTATATATTATGTGTCTATTTATTTAACAATTTGCATGAAAAAAAAAACCACCCTGTGCCACGAGTGCATAATATATATAAATATAAGATGTGGTATGATTGCCAATGAGACATTTCTCTACTAGAGACCAAATGACATAGAAGTTAACAACTATAGGTCACCGTGCGGCCTTCAACAATGAGCCAAATCCATACCGCATAGCCGCCCACTTTTACTTTTTTACTATTCAAAATCACATATTCCTAAGATAAAGTGAAATCACTTCCTTGGGGCAGAAATGAGTTCTTGACCTTGATTACAATAATACCCAGTACAAATAATATCCTTTCCTGACAAACAAAAAAAAAAAAGATTTTTTAAAAAATCAGATATGACCTGCACAGACAAACTGATTTTGTAATACAAGTAGTTAAAATTTCTCATTTTATCTGTATATGAAGAGAATATAAATGATTATACAAAAATAATGAGTGGCAAAAATCAAATTTGATATAGTCAATATGAATAAAGAAAAAATAGATGAATGGTAAGAGATAGCAAAAAACAAAATAACAAAACGACATCTATAGGGCAACATACAGTCTTCAACAAAAGACAAGCGTCTATACAATGTGTCCAGCTCTAAATAGATTCGAAACAGTCAAAGATCTGTCATCAATATCAAATGTTCAATATCAAAAACAATATGATGATATGATAAAGAGACAAGCAACCACTGACGAGGTTTCTCCCTCATGACAGGCACATGAATATGTGGCAGGATTAAACTAATTCTTTTTAAGATCTTAAACCTCCGGTGAAAGTCTGAACAGAAAAAATCACACCTCACTAGTGATTCCTCTAAAATTGGTAAATGAACTGTTGACACAGAGATAAGTCTCGCCTGTATATTATTTTGAAACTAACATGCAAATGTGGAAATTAAGATAGCAATACTTAAACATGTATATAATGCGAAATACTCAAAGTCAATGAACCATGACTGAAGAAAGAGAGCCAAATAATTTCTGAGATATAAGATAGGTTAGGTCAATACTAATACAACTGCATACTAAATATCATTTTCTTATATTAGTGGTTCCCCTTAAACATAGTTTACCACAAACTTTGAAATGTTAAATATGCAAACGTTTCATAAATTTACCATTAGTGGTTCATCTTAAACTGACATAATCACAATCAAACTTTATCATTTAAATTATGAAATTGTTAAAAGTCAAAAGACCATGACTGAGGGCGACAGGGCAAAATAATCTCCATGGAAATGAGACGTGCCAATGCTTATTGCAGAACTATTAAACAGCTGTATACTATTGTTGCCTTTATAATAAAACAGTATAAATATTAGCACTTTTAATCATTGCAGACAAATTTTCAATATAGACTTATATTGCTTAGAATAGGAGTAAACACTAATCAAAGAGACAATTATAATATCAGTCAATAATATTAGATGAAAAAAAATTATCGGCATGTTCATAGATGTCCACAACACATTTGCAATTTTGCAATTTTAAACTTAACCTGCTTTCCTTTTATGTAAAAAAATCCATACTGAGGGATAAAATTACTCAATTATAATTACAGGACATAGATTACATGATCAAAAATGAAAATTGACAATGTTTATTGTTATTGACATAAGTTTAAGTAACAAGACTTATAGAAGCCTACATGAGGTACATACACAACAGAATTTTTATACCAGTTCATGATTTTATAGAAGAAGAACAAATATTGCCACCACAACTGATCTAGAAAAAGAGAAACTATTGGTACCTTGAATAGATACTTACAACAAATTAGGAAAAAATAAATCAATCCTGTTGATAGAACTGTCTTGCTTTCTTTCAGAGTTTGGTAAATTAGATTTCAAAAGTTGGCCGATTTCTTGCTTCGGAAATGTTTAAGGTTATATCAGAACAACATACCTTTATACCAATCTCCATTGTATGGAGGAGATACTTTCTGGCACATTGGTTCTTCCAGATATGCTGCTAGATTTGTTTCCTCATAAAGTCGATATAAGATGTATGTAGGTAAAGTATCATCAGGTATTAAGTGTCTGTTTATCATCCATTTATATAGTGAGAAATCTAAATTAATAAAAGTAAAATTTATTTCATAACATTGTGGCTCACATTTAATATAGTGGCATATATATAAAATTTGATAAATAGTATAATCATACAAAAAAATACAGATAACACCAAAATGAAAGAAGGCTGCTGAAAACGATTTTATTTCATAAACAGTTGCAAAGAGACTTGTCTTGCCAGCAACTGCTGCCGTGAGTATAACTGTAGTGTTGACTTCAAAAAACTAATTCCATTTATCAGTTAAAAATGGAAAAAACAAGAGTGTGTCCATAGAACACGGATGCCTCACTCGCACTATCATTTTCTATGTTCAGTGGACCGTGAAATTGGGGGTCAAAACTCTAATTTGGCATTTAAATTAGAAAGATCATATCATAAGGAACATGTGTACTAAGTTTCAAGTTGATTGGACTTCATCAAAAACTACCTTGACCAAAAACTTAAACCTGAAGCGGGACAGATCGACGGACGGAAGAATGGACGGGCAAACGAACGGACGCACAGACCAGAAAACATAGTGGCCCTTCTACTATCGTAAGTGGGGCATAAAAACTGTTCTTAAGATGCTATATCTAGATCATTAAGATGCTTCTGTAAAATTTTATAAAGTTAAATGAAGGTTTCAAAAACTATATCTAAATTCTAACTAAAAAAGTCCATCTATCAGAAGAATATATATCGAAACATAAAATAAATATATTTGCAAAATTTTGCTTCAAATAGTATTGCTGAATCATAGATATTTTGAAAAAAAAACTGGGAATTTTGACAAAAAAGTAAAATAACAAAAATACCGAACTCGAAGGTAAATTCTAAACGGAAAGTCCTTTATCAAATGGCAAAATCAAAAGCTCAAACACATCAAACAAATGGAGAACTACTGTTATTTTCCTGGCTTGTTACAGGCATTTCCTTATATAGAAAATGGTGGATTAAATCTGGTTTTAAAGCTAAATCACAGAGCGCACCTAAATGTTTAGGATGTCAACAATGACAAAATTAAGGATCGTTATGTCTCAGGTTAATTGTTCATGTTTTACATCTTTGGTCTTTGATGTACAGCTATCCCATTAGCAATCAGACCTCAAAGCTTTATTTTTATATAAGCGTAATAGTGCTGACAAGGGTGTTAATGGTGGATGACAGGTGGTTATCAATCTATCATATGATCTAGAAGGGAGCACAAATGGAGGAAGTTTTCTGAAACTATCACTACCAAAAACGTCACCAACATGACGACGATAACTTCCCGTCACATAGTCTCGTGTGAGATCGTAGGAATAATCAGGATTTTTCTTAGAAATTCAGAAGAGAGGAACTGATTTTCCACATACTTGTATATGAAGGGCAAAATGGAATGATTTCACGCAAATTTGTAAAATTATACCGAAAAGTATGATGATAAGTAAAACAAATATGACCTGCAGGATCTCATCAAGTAGCACTTGCCTCATATTTATTTGGTTATGAGGGGGATAAAAACATGTTGACACTGATTTTAATTGCCTTTTTCAAATTATAGCAACATAATTATCTCCTGATATTCATTTGCATTGTTCACAATGTATACCTTCAATGAAAAAGTCTGATCTCCATTCACAAGTCCTCTTTGGTAATAAGTAGTTTACAAACAGAACATAAGAAGTAGGTTCGTCAGCTTGAATATTAACACTCTGATTCAGGTTCAATAAGTACTTCTTTTCTTCATATAAATTTTCCAAAAACAATCTGAATCAAAACAAGTGCCAAATTAGGAAAAAGAGGGAAGATTAGTCAGTAAGTTTATCAAAAAAAAATACTCCCCATCCATCCCCACCTGTAAAATATTAACTGGAATGGACCAATAGTATATCTCACCATTGGGAATCTTTATAATCGAGGACCATGAATTTGAAAAAGCTACAAAAGATATGTAGATATTTATGAACAAGGCCATAACAAGAAGTATGTGTGCTTTAAAAATATTCATAAATTATCTACAACAGTTACCAAAAATGTGCATCAATATTATTCATGCACCAACGTTACATATACATACGAAACTTCCATGACTCCATACAAATCAAACTGTTTCTGGTGACCTGTAAACACAATAAATTTGTAATGCCTCTATATTTTCTTATGTAAGTGCATTAACTAATACAGTGTATTATACATACAATATCTTAAATGTTTTAAAAATGATTTCTCAATCAGTAATTTGAGTAAGAGTTGCAGTGCAACAGTTTTTAACTGATTATCCAGAAGTCATGTTCATATACATTTTTATTATTATAATTTAAACGAAGAATCAGATATTTCCTATTATTCAAGCTAAATTAAACAACTAAAAAGTTAATACATTTAACAAATGCTCCCTTAACACCATACTGACATCAAAATAGAAAATTGTAGTTGTCCTACATGTTATGGTAGACTGTAATGCGAACGTGACTATATACTCCCAAAAATGTGTTATGATAGCCAAAAAAAATCATCCCATGACTTTGTACAGATGAAACTATGAAGCCCTAAAATACTTTCGTCGATATTTGTTTGTTTTATTTGACCTACACTTCAACACTAACCTTTTGGGTATGTGACAATCTGTTTTAACTTCTTAACTATAAATTACTCATATATTATCTATGTTTGGCATGAAAGGTTATTTATACCTAGCTTTACATTAAAAAAAAATCAGAAAAATCTTAGGTTTTATAGAATACATACCCCATTCAAAATGGAATAAATCAACTTCAAAAAGTAATCTCTCAATGGCTATTGTCAGTTTAAAATCACATGGATCGATTATAAGTTTAGTCTCAAGAGTTCTTGCTATGATTTCCGTTTCTGTACAACAGGAGATTTCAGTACATAATTCTCCAACATGGCAGACGACATCCTGAGGTATGGTTATAGTACGCAAAACTTCATTACAACCTAAAAAAAAACATATTTCTCAAAGCCTCAATAAAGTTAATTGCATCTCCAATATTTTTAGAATTCACATTCAAATATTTAGAAATCAAATAGACTTGCAGGTTGCAAATTAAACATTCTTATTATTTAGTTAATTACACTATATATAAAGAAATATAAAAGTCAGGTCAATACCTCATAAAGGGGAAATCATCATGAATCGAGGTAGTGGGTAAGTCTGATTATGCAGAAATGATAGCTATTTTGGAAACAAAAGGACGAACATACCTGAACTAAACCCTTGTATATTTTTGCTATAAGGTTCTCTGTATTTGTCACATTTGTCTTTTTGTAGGAATGGTTTGATTCCTAAGGCTTCTGTCAGTCTCAAAATTTCTGTTGGATGTAAATACTGCTTGTCTTGTAAATTATTATCTGCTTTCCACTTTCCCACTGAAAAATCTATTAAATAAAAGAACAGAGTTCCAATGCCCTCCGTGTTAAACATATTTTATCTATCCAAGATACAAGGGCAATAACTAAAACACTTTTTTGTAGCGCTAACGAGACCATTTTCCATACATTTAATATTTCCAAGGGGTATAACTTTTTTTTTTAAAGTCGATCGTCCACCAGTATAGAACTTGTCCGAGATATTGCTGATATTAACCTATAGTATAAGTTTTATAAAAATCTGGCAAGAATTCTACCCGTGAAAGCGCTAACGAGGCCATTTTCCATAAATCTAATATTTCCAAGGGGCATTACTCTTTTTAAAAAAGTCGATCGTCCACCATTATAAAACTTATCAGAGATATTGCTGATATTAACCTATAGTATAAGTTTTATAAAAATCTGGCAAGAATTGTACCCGTGAGAGCGCTTACGCGGCCATTTTTCATAAATTTAATATTTCCAAGGGCATAACTCTTCTAAAAAAAGTCGATCGGCCACCATTGTAGAACTTTTCCGAGATATTGCTAATATTAACCTATTGTAAAAGTTTTATAAAAATCTGGCAAGAATTGTACCTGTGAGAGCCCTAACAAGATCGGACAGACGTACACACGGACGGACACACGGAAAGACGGACGCCCGGTATTTCTATGTCCGCCGCAACGCGTATCACGGGGGACAATAAACAGAATGCAAATTGGTCAATTTGGTCAAAATAACGGAAATATAAACAATTGTCATACGAGTGGGAGTTTTATACTAACTATAAAACCAGGTATAACCCACCTTTTTTGGGGAAATTGTCTATACCAAGTCAACAATATGGCAGTTGTTTTTCACTTGTTCCGTTGATTGATAGCATTTGCTTTTGTCAGTTTCAATGGACTTCTCTTTTTGAATTTGCTTTGAAGTTTAGTATTTTTGTTATACTTTTGTATAAAGAGGTTTCCATTGAAATATGTAAGGTATCTAAGCACGTCATTTGAAATTCTATTTACTTAACATATTCCTTTTTAGAATAAAAAGGAAAAAACCACTTAAGAGAGGGACGAAAGATACCAGAGGGACAGTCAAACTCATAGATCGAAAACAAACTGACAACGCCATGGCCAAAAATAAAAAGACAAACAGACAAATAATAGTACAGATGACACAACATAGAAAACTAAAGACTAAGCAACACGAACCCCACCAAAAACTGGGGGTTATCTCAGGTGCTCCGGAAGGGTAAGCAGATCCTGCTCCACATGTGGCACCAGTCGTGTTGCTTATGTTATTACAAATCCGGTAAATAGTCTAGTTCGGTAGGTCACATTCGTGAAAAAGGAAGGGTATTGTAGTTACGACATAAAGAACATATCCGATATCATATGTGAAACGGTTATTCCATAACGGTCAACCAACTCGTGATGGCGTAAAATTTACGAATGGATGATTTCAACCTCACCATTTGGAACTCTTGGTTTAATAGCTTCCTTGTGAGCAGCAATCCTCTATCAGGGAAATCATGATAGGAAATACAAGCCCGGTAATATCGTATCAATTGGAAGATATATACTCCGTATGCAGGCGCTGCTGGAATGTTGCTACATAGACATGGAAAGTTCACAATTGGGAAGCTGAAATCATCTCTTTTGTCGTAAAGTTTTGTTTTCAACCGACCCTCATTGTCAATTTCTAGATGTAAGTCAAGATATGAGGCAGACTTAGTATCCTTTATCTCTAGTTCGATGGGATTGATTTTGATTTGATTTTTGGTGTTTTAACGCCACTTTTAAGCACCACTTTTGGGCTATTACGTGGCGGCCAATTTTTATTGGTGGAGGAAGCCGGAGTGCCCGGAGAAAACCACCGACCTTCGATAGGAAAACTAGTCAATTAAGATTGAAGTCGAGTGCACCAGCATAAGCGGGGTTCAAACTCACAACCTCGGTGTTGACTGGCTAGTGATTACAGTAATAACTACTTAGACCACTCGGCCACCGAAGCTCCTAGTTCGATGGGATAGATTCGTTCAACATAGTCACCAAATTTTGTATTATTTAGTGAAAGAACATCATCTATATAGCGGAACGTAAAGTTAAAGGATATTGCTAACTTTTTATCTTTCTTCCAAAGAAGTTCCTGTATGAAATCAACTTCATAATAATAAAGAAAAAAATCGGCAAGAAGAGGGGCACAATAGGTTCCCATTGGAATTCCGACAGTCTGTTGAAAAACGCGTCCTCCAAACGTAACAAATATGTTATCAATCAAGAAATCAAGCATCTTGATAATGTCAGTTTCAGAGAATTTTTTGTTTGAATCAGAGTGATTCTTTACAAAGTAAGATTTATCCCTCCCCAAGACAAGATACTTGTATCTACGTTCGCCATTCTTTTTAATGAAACAAAGTAATACCAACTCTTTCAATTTGTCTTTTAGTTTGGAATGGGGAATGCTTGTGTAAAGTGTAGAAAAGTCAAATGTTTTAATACTATTGCAAGTGTAATTAGTGTATGTTCTGCTTTTTAAAAAAAATTCATATAGTTTTAAAGAAAATTTTTAAGTCCAGTTTTTTATTTTAATAAGAGTTGTTAAATGTTTTGATTGTTTAATGTTAATAGGAATTGAGGCTTTTCATGATTTTTTTTTAAATGATTCTTGTTGCAAAAGCGTTATCAATGTTTGATGTTGGTCGGGGTTGTAAAATATAATTCATGAAGTGGATCTTAAGGTGGTACCCAACATTAATATTAATTTGGCTCGTTTTATTTTCATAAAATTTTGACAAAATGTTTACTTTGACCCTTTGACAAAAATATAAAAATTTCAAAACATTTGAACCAACCACTTTATCAGAAAAATTTCATTGGTTATATAGCAGTTTAACAAACACTAATTTTGATCATTGAGAAGCTTAATATTTCCTTAACAATACAACGTGATTAAAACGTTTTACTGATTTTTACAGAGTTATCTCCCTGTAGTGTTAGGTACCACCTTAATATAGCTTCCTAAAAATTGGGTAACAGTTGGTCTTTTACAGGATTTTCAGGTCCTTTGTAATTGAACAAACTTTTTGACACAACGCAAGTAGAAAATACAAAAGTATTAACTCTATATCATCATATTTACATTTTATTCTAAGTAAGAAGTGAATATCGTTCTAGTTTTATGTATTTTAAAAAATAAACAATTGATAAAATGCAATACTTACTGGCATTTACAAAACCTGTGACCCATTCACATGGTTTCTTTACAAGAAGAGTCTTTGTTAATACTCTTTGGGAAAACATGCAAGATCCAGTAGTTTCAAAACAAGCACTTATGTTCATATCAATCTGGAACAATCTGCTACTTGATAGGTCATAAATGGAGTAGCTATAAGGTACAAAATGATATACTATATATTTACATTTCAACCAATTGATTTTATGCCAATCAAACCATAAACATTTAATAATATTTTGTTTAGGGTCACAATTTGAGGAATACCAATATTTCAGATAACTATAACCCTGAAATGCTGCATATATATTCAATCATCTTTAATTTGGTCGAGATGTTTAAATTTACATATAAATAGGGATGTCAACAAGAATTGTACTTGGGAAGTTCTCGCTACATCTGAGTGTTAGATTTGAAGATGAAAACTTATCATTCTTGATCTTTACAACGATACTCTGCTGTGCAATCTCAGTTATTGAACGACTCCACATAATAAAAAGAGATAATAGAGACCTGAACGTAGTTTTTTCTAAGTATTAAACTTCTCCAAGTTTGAAGAGGATCTGATAAAAAGAAGACAACATCCTGTTGACAAGGATTCATATGGGATAATTTACAAGTCCTACATCCAGCGCAGTGATCTCCCATTTCAGCTTTTTTCTTATTGTGAGTTGAAACATTTTTGAAGAGGATCTGATGAAAAATGTAGGTGTTATCCTGGTGAACAGAATAAATATGGGATTTATTTTACAAATCTGGAAATTAGGTCAAAAATGAACTGACAGCTTAGAAAGTACAAGCCATCATTTGAAACTTCCAGATCAAATATAAAATTATCATATTGGACAGGAGGCGAGTAATATGTAAAGAAAGAAAAATGCAGTATACCACCGTGACATAGATAAAGTTTATTTATCCCAACATGCTAAAACACAGTGACAGAGTATATAACTTATTGATTTTTTTTCTTTGATATCATGCGAAAGGTTTTGTTTTGTGAAATGTACCAGGTTAAGGGGAGGGCTAGGCTCCCGCAAACATACTTAACCCCCATATTCTGTATGTGCCTGTTCCAAGTTATGAGCCTTTAATTCAGTGGTTATCGTTTGTTGCTGTATATCAAATATATTTATTTTTCGTTTGTTGTTTTGTATATAAACCAGACCGTTATTTTCCCTAATTTAAATTGTTTGATATTTGTCATTTCGCGGCCTATTAAAGCTTGCTATGTGATTAGGGTTTTGCTCATAGTTGAAGGCCGTGCTGTCACCTACAGTTGCTAACTTCTACGTCATTTGGTTTCTGGTTGTGGGATGTCTCGTGGGCAATAATACCACATCTTCTATTTTTATTCATACCTATAATGTTCCTCATAAATTGATACATTTGAAAGTGAGTTAACATATTCATTTTTGTTAAAAAGGAAAGATGGTGAAGTGTATTTAATTATCTTTGATCATTAGAAAAGGAAGAGAATTTGTATATAATTTACTTACTCGATTCGGAATACATTTTCAAGAGAAAACCGAATGTCACGACCTGAAACAAAAACAGACAACACTATAAATCATAGCATTATCTATGATGTTAGCAAGCCAATTGGATACTCGATACATTAAACTTTTTACTTTATTAACAAAGTTTTATTCAAAGAACTTTCAACCTTATCACCTTAGAGTTTATAATAGTTTAGGAAACTGGACAACTTTTAAATATATAAATAATATAAACAAGATTGCTGTGCCGTAGCGGTCAAAATATGGAAAATGTCCCACAACCCCGATACAAATCGTCAATTACTTGTGACGGTATAATGTGATCGAGTACACATAATGGCAAACAATAGTACCAAGTATTAGAGCTTTCTGTCAAATGGAGTTACGTTCACAAATAGTTATCGGCACACATTCCCACAAAATAGTCAAAGTCCCATTACCCCTCCGGAAGGGAAAGAAGATCAATAAATATACAATCGTATTCTAGTCAATGACTTAAATATAGTAAACTTTTGCCTTGAATCTTTATACAGTGATTTCCTATCTAATATTGCCATGGCGTTGTCAGTTTTTGTCGATTTATGGGTTTGAATGTTCCTTTAGTATCTTTCGCCTCTCTTCTTATAGTTTTCAAGTAATGCTGTCTTTCATTCATATAGTCATAACGATAAATCAACTGTTTACCAAACTTTAAATTTTTCGAAATACTAATTAGGGATCGTCTACCCCAGGAAAAGATTACCTTAGCTGTTTTGTGCAAAAGATTTCGGAATGTTGGGTCCTCATTGCTCTTCACTTTGTACTTTATTTGGCCTTTTAAACTTTTTTTTCTTCAAGCGTTACTGATGAGTATTTTATAGACTAAACGCGCGTTCCGGGTACAAAATTTGAATCCTGGTATCTACGATGAGTATATTTTCATCCGTTGTTTTAATCCAATATCTAAGTATGACAACAAAAGTAATTAATGAAGAATTTAATAACCTACCCCAATCAAAGTTAAACAGTGAAATGTTGTATGAAAGATTTTCAATGCTGAGTAACAAGATATGGTTGCATGGATCAAGATCAAGCTTGAAAAAAATAGATCTATCAATTAATTCTACATCAAGACAACACTCTACACCAGTACATGAGTGCGTTAGTGTACATGTTACTCCATTCTGTAACTGTGGCTTCACAATAGTCAATGGACATTCTGAAATGTATAAACTAAAACTAATACTATCTACTTACTGGTAACAAACTATATTTTACTTGGGAAATTCCACACAAAAAATTACGACAAAAGGTACGATTTTTCTTTTCCTATTTATAGTTTCTTTTTTTTTTGGATGGTGATGTTCCTTTGACATCTAACGGTGTTTATATATGACAACTCGGTCGCAATGCCCGTATCTGTAGTGAAATTTGATATTTTGAAGAACGTAGTCTATGTATTACTGGTACATTGTCAAGTTAAGGATTTCGTTACCCCATATTAGTTAAAACCTTTACTGAATTATTCCAAAAAGATTTGGTTTGTAAGTTTTGCTGTTCCTGTAGAAAAACTTGTACCAAACCGGATAGCACATCCTAATTTTTACAAAGGTGATGTTAATCGAGGCCTGAAATTTAGATACGATCCGGGTAAACTTATCGATCATTTAAATAAACTTATTCTAAAAGGTTACCTATTCAACACTGTAATTATATCTTTGAGTATTGTTTTAATTGGAATAAATATGATTTTATTATCAGTAAATTAAAACAAAACTAAATATTATTGTTATACACATGTTTTACAATTTGTCGATACCTGTCATTTGGCATTGCACAAGGTGATGTTTTTCTCTGACTGTTAATGACGATTTTATGCCAATTCCATTGGATGTTGGATATGTACTGATTGATATTTCAGTCTTAGATGCATGATTTTGTTATTGTTATTGGCTTTGAACTAGCTGTCAGTAACTGCGAGTATTCTCAGATCTGTACTTAGCGATTTTTGTTGTTGTGGGGATGTATAAATAACCTGCCACGTCCGGTTTGTGTTTGTGTTACTTGGTTTTCTGCGTTGTATCGTTCTGTTGAGTTGTGCCCTTTTCAACTTATTTTTATAGTTTGTTCATATGTTGTCCTGTTACATCGCGGTTCCATGTTAAGGGGAGGGTTTGGCGCCCGCAAACATGTTAAACCGCCACATTCTTTATGTGTTTGTCCCAAGTCAGGAGCCTGTAATTCAGTGGTTGTCGTTGGTTCATGTTTGTCATATTTGTTTTTCGTAATTTTTTTTTATAAATTAGGTCCTCGTTTTCTCAATTGAATTGCTTCCTATTTTTCATGTCGGAGCTTTTTATAGACGACTATACGATATGGGTTTTTTTCTCATTGTTGAAGACCGTACGTTTTCCTATAATGCTTACATCCACTTCATTTGAACTTTGGTGGATAGTTGTCTCTCTGGCAATCATACTAAGTCTCCTTATTTTTATAAGAAGAAGTTAGAGGTGGATGGATCAAGATTGATTTCAAAATTGTAAAAACATTTACAATTTATCTCAACTCGTGGCAATCTAGAATTTATAATGGGTAATTGATGCCTGCCATTTCTTAAAGACGGCTTATTTTGGATAACTAGGATTGCTTGCTGATCGATATGTACCAAACCTCCTCTCAATTCTATGTAAACACATCCTTTTTTATTCCCTTTCATAACCAACAAGATTTCGCAATTAATGAAAATAAAGAAAAAAGCAAACATGATAATTTTTCACAAATGTTATATTGCATGATTCGATTCTATAATTATTTAAATGATAGTTCAGGGCGATATCTAACTTGAAAAAGTAGTTTCTTTTAATCATTTCTTTGATGATCAATTATATATATCACCGAAGAAAAAAGTCAACGGGTTTTTTTCTCCTTCTCCACATTAGTGGGGTTGGTGTTGCTCGGTTTTTAATTTTCTAATTCTTTTTTTTGTATATTGTTTTTGTTTTTTCGTCTTTTACTTTTATGGCGTTGCCAATTTATTTTCGATTGTTGGGTTTCAATGTCCCTTTGCTATCTTTCGCTTTTCTTCTTAAATAGGGAATTTCGGTTTAATCTCTAATTAGTTTTGATGCTCAAAAACATTTTTATGTATTTAACGCAATAAAAATGTAATATTGGTTATACACCATAGGTTACTCGAAAAACAGGTGTCCTGTGCACTGAAATCAAAATCTTTTTGAATGTGTGTATAATATTACCTTCTATCCATCTATTCACTGTCATTTGTTCCAGTTTCCTATTTTGATGACAAGATTGTTTAAGAAGGTGATTAGAAACACCAAGTTTTTCCATCAACAGATAGTTAGCATACACAGGAAGTTTATTGTGAATGCTGAATTGGTTTGATTGCATCCAAGATTTTAATGAAAAACCTAAGTAGACAAATATATCACATTATCAATAAAAGCTCTTGTAGTATTTTGGGTAATTCTATTACTTTACTTTCAATTCAATAAAATAAGCTGGTAAATCATTAACATATTTATATACACATTTTACGTTGGTAAATAAATTTTAGAAACAGTATATTGTCTTACTTTACAAACACATTAGCATATTCAATTGACAGCTGGTTATCTTTAGATTTTCAATTGTTTTATTTTACGGATACTTTTTATAAATAAAATCTTTTCAGAAATGAACTATTTAGACATCGTCATACTGCTCATGTTGAATAATCTTTACCTTTCAAATATTCCCAAAGACTTAATCCAGATTTATTTTAATATCTTTCTCTGAAGCAAATCCTTTCTATGATATAAACATGTCAAACCTATTACAATTCTCTTGGTAACTTATGAATGTAAAATACACATTATTTCCTGTGGGAAATGAATATCCATATTTTAGTCTACAGGTAATGCAATAATGAAATTCCTTTTCCTTGAATACCATGCTTCAAGACCAAGGGACACTCGGGTATCATTGTGTTTTCATTTGTGTCCTTTTAAGATATGTTGTAGATTGATATGAGCCATTCGACAATCAACAAACATGACAAAAGAAACATTGGTTTAATTTTGGACAATTTTGTTCTAATGAAACTTTCCGCCATGTGACTAGATTCTTTTACAATGATGTTATAATAAACAAAAACGGTACATTGGTGTTGAAAAGTAACTCTCCTGAAACTGTATCAACTCTCATTGGTAAAAAAAAAATGTAATACATAAATAATATGTTCCAGAATTTTTACCTGGTGTTTTGAAGTCCATATTCCAGTTACACTGGGGCTTACTGATGAGCAGATCTTTGGCTATTGGTCTCTGTATATAGCATTTAGATTTGTTTGGTTCAAAACATACACTTATATTAACAGACACCAAATATTCTTTACTACTCTGTAATTCTTCAACTATATATCTAAAAAAAAAAAAGATTTTTTTGTAAAAAATATAGATACTTGATTTAGTTATACTATTTCAAGAATCCAATCTCACATGAAACATTCCAAAACTTTATGTGATTACCAAAGATCTCTGTCTTGAAAGTGAAGTAAGTTGTCACAGATATATAGCCTCCATGAAAGCAAAGTAACAGTGATATAACATTTTCATGTCAGGTTTAAAAAAAGTTTATAACCCCGCATATCTTATTTCCAAATTATCATTTCAAAAAATTATTTCATTATGAAAGCCATCACCAGTTGGTTGACCGTTATGGCATATCTGTTTTACAGATGACGACAGATATGTTCCAATTGTCGTAACCACTATCCCGTCCTCTTTTTCCCGAATGTGACCTACCTAATTAGACTTATAACCGGATTTGGTCTTACATGAGCAACACTATGAACGCCAGATGTGGAGCAGGATTTGCGTACCCTTCCGGAGCACTTTACATGACCTCCGGTTTTTTTGTGGTGTTCGGGTTGCTCAGTCTTTAGTTTTCTATGCTGTGTTTTGTATACTTTTGTTTGCTTGTTGGTCCTTTTCTTTTTCAGCCATGGCGTTGTCAGTTTATTTACGACTTATGAGTTTGAATGTCCCTGTAGTGTCTTTTGCCTCTTTTTTTTAGTTCAACTATTGTTTATAGTCAAAATAAGTCCACTTCAGTAGCTGGAGATTAGTGTATTAGTTAGTACAGCTGTTGTAAATGGTCAATGTTATGTTTCCTAGAGTAGAAAGAGATCAGCAAAATCTTTACAAGATTACTTCGATCCTTCCGAATAAAAATTTATTCAACACATTGATGTCCTTAAAATAAAAAAAAAAACTCACATTTTTGAGATTCCGATAAATCGTGTGATATTTTTGCCAAATTAACATGGTTAAATATGTAATTAACAATTTTTTTGGGGAAAAATATTTTTAACTTAAAAAGGAAAAAAAAAACGTCTATAGCATACCTTGCTACAAACCAAAAGTATGGTATCACTGTGGTGGAAATCAAAAATACACAAAAAAGTACCAAAAAAAATACTTACTCCATTCCTAATGTTCCTTTAACGTAGAATTCGTTTCTCTCTCCTGAAACACATTGAAATATTGAGTCGGCTTTGCAAATGTTTGGACCTCAAATTTCCTAATCAAGAGATCGGAATTATTTGGTCTTTATAGTTAAAAAAGGTTTAAAAAACTAGTGCCTACTGATGTTTCTCGAAGTGACTATTTATTGAGAGAAAATATTTTTTTCACGGGTTCAAAGTACCGGTTATTTAGGAGAGACAAATAAACACGTACTTTAACTGCTAACTTTTCGCCTGTATAAATGTGTTTCAATTCATGGTGTGATACTTTCTCGAAACCAACTTTTCAGGAAATCTTTTTTAGTAAAGTGACCATGAATTTTGACCTGTTGACCAGAACGATTCAATAGTCTTCTTCACACTCCGTAATATCTTGTGTCTGTTAAATTTTCGTTCAATGCTAGCAAGGGAGACTAAAGCTACCATCAGGTAACCAATTTTCCTCCAAATTTTCTATTTTTTGTAACTGACCTTGACCAAATTTTTTTGCCCAAAAATTAATTGACTTTTTCACTTACCTGATTTCTCGTCTGAATAAGTCACAGCGAATAATACTCAGGATATCATTTTCAAAACCATTTGTTTCGGACAAACAGTTGGACAAACAAGACGATTACTATATGCATTGTCCTAAATTATTTTCAGGCAGCATAATAAAGAGATAATTTAAAACATGGTGACGAGTTTTTTTTGCAGATAAACACTTACATGTGTATCTCAAACTACTTTATTGAAAATAGGTCAATCAGTTTTAAAAAATCAATTCTAAAACTTGTTCCTTAAAGTTAATACACCAATGTTTGTTGTTTAAGGAGGCCTTATGCAACTTTTGAAGCGGAGAGAATAAAGGATAAGGGTTAAGGTAAAGTTCGTTGTTTATAACCAATCTATAGCATCTAAAGACGAACTAATGTCAGAAATAAATAAAATTTCGGCAAAAAAATGTAGGTTTAAGGGTGTTAAAAATGCATTGTTCAATATAAATTACATTTAAAAAAATCTCCTTTAGAAATAATAGATCAACGCTGAATTTGAAACTCACCCAAGAAATGTAGATATGAGAATGCTTAAATGCACTAGTTTCCAAACATGTCCGAGACATTGCTGATATGCATCCTTGATATAAATTTTATAAATATCTGGTAAAAGTTATACACGTGAGAGCGCTTACAATGCAATTTCATATAGACATTACATTTCTAAAGGACATAACTCCTGTAGAAATAATTGACCAGCACTGAATTTCATCTTGGTCATACGACATTGCTGATAAAAACATTTGATAAATTTCTGCATACTCCTAAAACTAATGTAGGCTTGAGAGCGCTTACGATGTCATTGTTGATATAAACCCTTGATATAAATTTCAATAAAATTTTGCAAGAATTGTACATGTGAGAGCGCTTATAACGGACGGACAGATTATATGAATTATATGTTCATCGGAACGCGTCAAGCGGGAGACGATAAAAGTAACATTACCAATTTTAATGCACTTAATGCGCATTTCGAAAATAATGCTCCAAAATATTAGAAAAAGAAAAACTTATACATACGTTAATTAAAAGATCGAACCATCTTTACTTACCAAATTTAAATTCTATCAAAGATTGTTTAAACCACATGTTCTCTATTCCAATGGTCAGTGTTGACTTACAAGGGTCAATCTTTATAAAGTACATAAATGATTTGTCCAATATACCAACATCTACACAACATTTAATGTCTAAACATGATGCTTCCAAAATACAGGTAATATCTGTGTCTTTCAAATTAGGAACGGAAACTGTTTTTTTGCATTCTAAATTCAAATATAAATATATTTACTATACTCATAAATGTCCGAACATATTCTGTAAATAAATTCCATGGCAAAATTATTTTCACATTTGATCTGTTTATTATCAAAGTATGCCTAGGATTGATGTCATATTGAAACTCAAGAATCATTATACGTATCAACAAGACGTTATTCCCACATAACCTTACTCATCATTCAAAGTATCAGAGAACAGGATGTAGGTACAAAATGTATCTGACGGATCAGAAAAGCCGTAACACATTTTATGATTGGCAAGCTGCAGACCTTATATATCAATATTCTATTCTGTAGTATTGAAGAAATACATGACAAAAATTTCATTCACGCATTGAAAAACAAAGTATTGGTGAACAGGAAGTAGTCAGCTTTCCAATCCGAATAGCATTAACAACTCATTACTATCAAGCTGCTTACCAAACAAAAAAGTGCAAGCGTTGTTGTGCTAGGTTTACACCCACTTGTAATTCAAAACAATGGATATCAGGAAGTAGCTGTCTTACATATTATTACAACTTGTCACTGTCAAGGTGCTGATCAAATAAAAATTAATTCAGTTTACAAGTTCCAGAAAATGATCCTATGTATTCAACATATTGAAAATCTAAAAGTACCTTCAAACAGGAATTAGAAGTCAGACAATGTCTGAAAAGTGCTAATTAGTTTCAACTCAACATTGTCAAGCTGCTGACTTAAATATTCAATTAATTGTTTAGTAGTTCCTGAGAAAGTAGGACAATAATATTTGCTGGAGGCTGGGTGGACAAAGTGACAATATAAAAGCAATATAACCTTCAATCCTGGATAAGGGGTATCAAATGAAATCGATAGTACTGTATAAATTTGTAAAAACAATATTCAACTCATTCATCTTTTGCACAAATTAACGATCTAAAAAAATAGGTCGGTTTCTCACGGATCAAAAACGTGTTCACATCTTTCAACTCATCACTGTCAAAAGATGAAGTCATTTGTTTTGCAGTTCCTGGTAAACGAATAAAAAAACAGGCAGACAACTCCTATTTTGTAAATCAATTTTCATAATCCTCATATGATATGATAGCTTGAAAGTTATCTATTTCCCCAAAAATTATGATAATTTGAATCCCTGTTATCATGGATATGCAAGTTTTGAGTTAATGTTAGAACCAAACAACACAAGTTAACCATAAATAGCCTATATTACCTTTGATCCATCCATCAGAGTTTTGTTTAAAAGTTGCAAACTTCCTCCTGCATAATGATGCATTGATGTATGGTGAGATATTGAGATCCTCCATCAAATGCAAAGCTGTAGTTTTTGGTAAGACCGCTTTATCTTTCATTTGATTTTGTGTAAGCCACTGACTGAGGAAAAAGGCTGAGTAACAAATAAATAAATTATTATCAAAAATATTTTGCAAGTTTATGTACTGCAGAGAAGCAGTCAATTATGAATAAGTCCAAATTAATTTTAGTTGAAAAAAAAATAGTTGGTTTTTGGTCTTCATTCATAGGTTTTATATTTATAACTTATAAGCAACAACAAACAAATATTCTTATAGAGCAATCATCAAAAGTTCAGATTTCCAGGTATATATATAAAAAAGTTTCATTTTGTTCAATGCATACATACTAGTTTACTCCTTCTGTGTTATTATTCCTTTAAAAGTCAAATGTAAATACCTTCTGTGTTATGCTCCCTCGAGAAATCACACAAAGGCTTTGTCATCAACGAATTCTTTAAAATCTGAGTTGACATGAAACAAGGTCCTCCTGACTCGAAACAAACTGTCAAGTTCATATTCAGAAGTATATATCTTTCTGCTGTTAAATCGTGTATGGAAAAACTGTAAAACGAGAAAAGTTCGACCAATCATATGGATAACGATTAAATCATGTACATAAGTGTAGTGTTTGTTTACATTTTTATGTAAATAACAATAAACTGTTTAGATTTACATGAAACTAACACATCTCCCTTTATAAAAGGCATAACTCTTTTTTTTCCTTTTAAATTATATACCTATATGGAGTTATTTTCTTTCAGAACGATAGGTTTTTCTTTTGAAGAATCAACCCGGACGATACCAAGTTTCAATGAAATTTGCTTCCAGGAATAAAATAATGACCTGTGTGGGGGGGATGTATAAGATATAATCATTATTATCAGTTTAAAATATTGTCAAACAAAAGAGAAAAAACAACTATCCGCAATAGTTATTTTAAAAATTGTTGAAAAAATAATCTGCTTTCGAGGTAAAAATGTAAAAAAAAAAATAATAATACCATCCCTCTTTTCATAAATTAAGTTGGTACAATAAATTACTTACAAAGTGACTTGTATTTTTCATATACCGTAACAATTCATTTTATCTGCTTCATGTAGTTACAGTAATATTTTTATTGTAACTGGATAAAGATTTCTAAAGTTAATATGTAGATTATAATTAGTGAGTTGTATTTTACAATATAAATTAGCCGTAGGCGTATAAAAACCTAAACGCATAAAAAAAAAAAGAATATCCACTTTAGTGTGGTCGGTAAAAGAGGATGCAAATCCTGTAAATCTTTGAGGAAAATTTTTGGCGGTATATAAGTCAGATAATGCATATTGTAAGGTTTTTCTTGTCGTATAACACACCTCGGGATGTCAGAATTGCCCAAAGAAAGACCCCCTACGGTTGGTCTTTCATTTGATCAATCCTGACACCCCTCGGTATGTTATACGACAAGAAAAACCTTAAAATATGCATTATCTATAACCGAAACTTGATTAAAATTAATGACACGTCGTCAAAAAGTTTACTTTTGAATTGGTGTTCAGTGTACAGCACTGATATGTTAAAATTAAACATAAAATTGAGAATGGAAATGGGGAATGTGTCAAAGAGACAACAACCCGACCATAGAGCAGACAACAGCCGAAGGCCACCAATGGGTCTTCAATGCAGCGAGAAACTCCCGCAACCGGAGGCGTCCTTCAGCTGGCCCCTAAACAAATATGTATACTAGTTCAGTGATAATGGACGTCATACTAAACTCCAAATTATACACAAGAAACTAAAATTAAAAATGATACAAGACTAACAAAGGCCAGAGGCTACTGACTTGGGACAGGCGCAAAAATGCGGCCGGGTTAAACATGTTTTTTGAGATCTCAACCCTCCCCATATACCTCTAGCCAATGTAGCAAAAACAAAAGCACAACGGTACGCACAGTAAAACTCAGTTTAAGATAAATATATGTAACACTCACAAACGTGTCCATATGACGTTGTTGAACCCCAAAACATGTCTAGTTGATGAAGTACGCCAAAACGTGTCAATTTCATAAATTTTCATATTTTAACAACGCCCGAACGTTTTAACCTAAATAAAAAAAGTTTTTTCGTTATGACAAATGTTGTTCGAAATAAAATCCAGTCGATATTATTACAGGGACCTTAGACTTGAAGTGCACAGAAAGAAAAATACTCGATAAGGTTATTGAATAGTCTTCCCTGAATGTTGTTTTTCAAAGGGTGATTTTTTTGTTGTTGTTGGCAAAAGGGGGAAAGTAGGACAGTAGGTTTTGGAAGACACGTTTAAGAGTGTTTTATTTATGGATAATGGTTAGAAATATAATACTCGAAAATATGAATGACTGCTTCAAGCAAACTTACTACTTAAATAACACCAATTTTACAGATTTATATACTAAATATGTAAAATGAAATGCTGATAAATATAAGTAATTATTTTGTAAAAAAGTTGCTTCTGTTTTCCCAAAAAATCAATATGAATGAAAGTAATTATAACACGTAAATGGATATATATAACAGTTAAGACTAAATATATTATCTATAGATGAATGGTAGAGTTGCATGATCTTTGAAATTGATAAAAAAACTTTTGTTATTTGACAGTAGAGATCAGACGTAATATATATATATATATATATATGTAGTTTCATTAAAAATGAATACATGCATTTTTATGCAACTTTCCTAAAATCTTCAAACTAATGGGCTTATGTAGAAAGGTATGCCAGGGAGAACCTCTTATATTTTGTGTTTGTATACAATAATTAACATGTGTAGCTTGAGGAATTATATGCAATTGAAAGAAGTTGACTCAAAATATGCAAGTTCGTGTCCATTTCTTTAGCTCATTAGGATCCCCTGGCTTTTAGGACCTTTATCCAAATTATAACCCATATGTAAACGAATCGTTTTGAATGGTAGAACAAAAATTGAAGCTTCTAAATTCTGTTGTGAAATTCATAAATGGGAAATGAAGTGATGCTGTTTAATGATCTTGAAGTCTATAACAGCTATTTTTGTAATTTACAAACAGGTTTCAGAGAGAATAATGTAAAAAACCAACAAAGAGGTAAACAAATGTCATTAGATGTGCTTTTCATTAATTCCGTGGAGCTTACAAGCATAAAGTACAAGCTAATTCATTGATCGAATGTAGAATAATGTTAAGCTTACCATCCGATAAAAAATGCACACAAGAAAAGATTAAAGTACTTGCCTGATAGTGACAACACCATCAAGTGACATTTTCAATACTGTTCCTAAAACATATGAATTAGTTATATCATTAGAAATACATCAAACACTCACTAAAAGTGCACTGATTGGTATCACTTAAGTTTACTATACTAGTTTTGCCAACTTTTTGTTTTGTTAGAATTTAACGGGTGGTGGAGGGAGGCAAATGTTGAGAAAACACTTTCAACATGTTGTTAAATGTTATCATAGTTTAATTTTATGGTACATTTAAAAATGCATATTCTTGATCTCCAATGTGGAATGGAACCTGATTTATGTGATGGAGGTCTGCTGATCATTGTGACTTTTAATTATTTGTTATTACTTAAGTACAAATAGAAATTAAGGATCCCACTTTTCATTAAGGGAGTAAAAAGACAAACTAAACATACCCCATTTGTAATCAAACAAGTTCAATGTGTAATTCATCCTCTCTATTCCAACAGTCAGTCTGTAGT